AGAAGATCGAGGAGCATCGAAATGGCCTGAAAGCAGATATTGAGGCCGAGATCGACAAGAAATTCCAAGAGGTCATTACCAAATATGAAGATGCGCAGCTCCTCGTGGACTCCAAATTTACTGCCGCTGAAGAGCGAGATGCCCAAAGCCTTGAAGCGCTGACGAGCACTAAAGCCGTCGCTGAAGACCTTAAACTCGTTATTGGAGGAATGGGCCAGAGCTTAACAGAAACATGCGATAAAATGAACGACGACGCAAAAACGTTCTTTGGCAGAGTTGATGAGTCTTTTGAGAGGTTTGACCACTTGCACGAAGAAATGAAGTCGTTCACTGGGCGAGTTGATGAGTCCTTCGGCAAGATAGACAATGTAAGAGAGGACATGAAAACCTTTACTCAACGGGTTGATGACTCTTTTGGTAAGGTAGACAACTTGCATGAGGACATGAAAGCTTTCTCTGGACGAGTTGATGCATCTTTTGGCAAAGTTGACAACCTACATGAAGATGTGAAAGCCTTCTCCGGGCGGGTTGATGACTCTTTCGGCAAGGTGGATAACTTGCATGAAGACCTGAAGGCCTTCACCGGACGGGCTGATGAATCCTTTGGCAAGGTGGACAACTTGCATGAGGATTTGAAGGTCTTCACTGGACGGGCTGATGAGTCCTTTGGCAAGGTGGACAACTTGCATGAGGATTTGAAGGCCTTCTCTGGCCGAGTCGATGAGTCTTTTGGAAAGGTAGACAACCTACACGAGGATGTGAAAGCCTTTTCTGGCAGAGTCGATGAATCCTTTGGGAAAGTAGACAACTTACATGAGGACGTCAAGACGTTCTTTGGCCGGGTTGACGAGTCTTTCGGCAAGGTTGACAAAATGCAGGAAGACGTCATGCTACAGAATGAGGATATGAAAGCCCAATTCGACAAAGCAGTTGCAGCTACCGACCGCATCGAAAGTCAGATTTCCCAAACACACCCTGAGCTTCTTAGCTCCATTAAGGAAATTCTCGCTGTTGTTGGTCAGCATTACGAACACTCTCAACAATCCAGTAAAGACCTAAAGACAGACCTTTGTGCCCTGCCCAATTCCATCACACCACTTCTACCTGCCCTCCTCCCCCCTCCTCCAGAGGTTAAGGAACCCCAATTTGAAAAATACGATGATACCTTGATGCACGAAAAACTTGACACTATCATTTCGCATGCTTCTAACAAAGAGAGTTCTGACGCTCAAATGGAAAAGTTAAACGCCCTGCAGGAGCAGCTCAATGCAACTGCCCGCGAAGTTAGTGAGATGATGGCATCCCACTCCAAAAAGACCATTCAGGATTACGAGGACAAGAAGGAAGAGGCAATGGAAGCAGCCCTTGCGCTCGAGAGACGGCTTGCCCAAAAAGAGAGCGTGGAAGCTGAAGTCTCTGCTCTCAAAGAGGAGAAAGAGAGGCTCCTTCAAAGCATTCGGGAGCTAAGGGAAGAAGAAAGCGAGCTTTCACGGAACAGAATCAAGCTGGCCAAGGAGGTCGCTGGAATGGAGACTGCTTTGCGCATCCGCCAGGAGGAAGTCCACTTAATGGAAGATCGTGCGGAAGACCTAGAGAGAAGAATTGTGGAGGGGGTGTTGGACCATGCTCGAAGTCAACTCGTAAGCCGTCACTCAGGGTCTGACCGCATGAGTCTCAAGCGTGTTCCAAGTACGGCCAGCACCACAAAGGGAGGTGGTATTCTTGGCAGTAGTGTTGGAATGGCTCTCAATCGACGCATGAACAAGCGAACAAATGGGTCTACAGTGCCAAACGGGAAGAATGAACGTCGTATTCTTAGTCTCAGCAACGTTTCTGGCAATCGTGGAAATCCAGACCGGGGCCCATATAGTGGCTCCCACAATGGCCTAGCCAGCCTGAAGCGCAGCCATTCAGTCAAGACGAGCCAAGGTTACCGACGACAGTCCTGCGATACCCGGCTCCTTGGTTCTAACAAGGAGAACGAATCCGTCCGCGAAGAAGAGGAGAGCATGAGCGAAGTCGAAAGTGATGCAGGAACTGAAAGAAGAACAAGCTACACAGGTACATATGCCGATAGCGTTTCTTATATCACGGGAAGCACAGTATCCCAAAATCGCAGTGCAAGTTACTGCTCTACTAACATGGATGGTTCAGTTGCAGCAGGAAGTGAGTCGTGGCAAGAGCCCAGCGAATTGAGCCGAGCCACCAATGACGAACAGTCTGAGGTAGCTGACAGGGCGGAGACTGAGGAGCATAGCTCCAGTGAACTCGAATCCGAAGAAAGCGAAGACGAGGAAGAAGATGATGAGCCCACCTTGCATGCCCTAAAGGCAAAGGAAGGTGATATGGTGCTCTACCATCAAACCACCGATAGCGGTGTAGGTATGACGACCGATTAACTGTTCGTGAATCATTCCACCGTACGTGAATAATACTTATTGGGTGAATACTTAATCCGTCGTGTGTGTCTTTGACGAGTTATGAGATGGTTTGAGGGTATCGGTTCTTGGGCGCTTTCTTGATGGAACATATATTTTCCTTTGTATCTGCTTTGTTTTCTCTCTTTTGCCTTTTTTGTTATAGTTAATGATGTTCGGTTAGCAGCCTTCCCCTTTGATATGAATTAGTTTATAATCTGTTACGACGTTTCACCTGAATTTATAGCAGAATTATATGGAGTTGACGTACGAGAGGCAGATGTCGTCTCGATTTCCTAATTCGGCCATGGCTTCTCATTCACGTGAATGCCGAATGCGTTGGGGTTCACGTGATGACTAGCCCTAAAATAGACTAGCGACCCCAACGGGCCAAGGCGGTAAGCCCACATTTGGTCATGCCGAGGCCGGCAGAAAACAAAAGTAGGCCCGCGCGGGCGCATGGTCCAACACGAGGCGCGGTCAGGCACGCGAGTCATCTTTCTTTTTTAACGACATCCCTCATGCTTGCACATCCTCCTGATCTCTGTATATATCATTACCTAAGAGCTGCCGGCAAGCAGGCCCTCTATAAAATATCACCTAAGGTACCCCCCGGCTCCTACTGATCCGTAGCAGACGGAGAAGAATACTCCAAGGACAGTAGGAAGCAAGGCGGATCCTCTGTTAACTAGCTGCTTTCATCCGAATATTCAACTTCCAGCTGCGGCTCTCTCAGCTACTATTATAGCTTTCTGCCAATATCGCCAACAGTAATGTTGGATCCGATACCGCCTCCTCCACGATGGCTTCAGGATCTGGTTACGCCGATCGCACAGCGTTGGTCCCTGCCGACGCTGCCATACCACATACATGAAGTCATCCTCTCATTCGCCTTGTACCAGTTCATCCAGTCCATTGTCGCACCCAGGATCTCGACCTGGCTCTTCCCAAAGCTTTATCCTAATTTCTCTAAGCGCACGAAGCTCGGTTGGGATATCCATGTCGTCTCCCTCACGCAAAGTACCCTCATCTCCGTCTTGGCGCTGTGGGTGATACTTGTCGATGAGGAGAGGAAGAACATGACACCTGTTGAGCGAGTGTATGGGTATTCTGGAGCTTGTGGCTTGATCCAGGCCATGGCGACAGGCTATTTCCTGTGGGATCTAATCATCAGCGTTAGGCATGTCAACGTCTTTGGCGTCGGCATGCTATTCCATGCGATCAGTGCTGTATTGGTGTTCAGTTTAGGATACGTGAGTTGCTCCTCTCCGTAATCGCTGTTACTCTTTACTCCAAAATCTTTCTTCTCGTCTGGGATTTTCTAATATAAAATGATTAGAGGCCCTTTGTCAACTACTATGCGCCAACCTTCATCCTGTATGAGCTCTCAACTCCGTTCTTGAATTTCCACTGGTTCTTCGACAAACTCAATATGACCGGATCCCGTGCCCAGTGGTACAATGGAATGGCTCTCCTTTCGGTATTTTTCTCCTGCCGCCTTATCTGGGGTTCATGGAACTCCTTTACTGTATTCTCCGACATCTACAAGGCGTTTCATATATCCGACAGCTCTGTTCCACTTAGCAGCCCGGAGTTTTACTCCTTGGTGTTCAGCGCTCGCAACTCGACCATTTGTCTAGATGACAATTGTATAAAGGCAAATGCTGAAGTCTCTAAGTTTACAGACTTCTCCGCTGCCGGTATTCCACTCTGGCTTGCGCTCACTTACCTTGGCAGCAACACCGTTCTCAACTCCCTTAACTGGTACTGGTTCTCAAAGATGATTGATGCAGTTCTCAAGCGTTTCAGAGGCCAGGATTTGCCATCACCGGACAAGGTTGCTCCTCCTGAATCCATTGAAGGAGACGCGAACCCAATCATTCTTGAAGCTGCTTCCACCCTCGAAAAGGAAGAAGAAACTCTTATAACTGGAGCCTTAGACGCTGAGTCAAAGGCCTCCAACAATACTACACAATCAATCCCTATGAATGGCGGATCTGGCGCTCGAAGACGGAAGGCATAGATGGATAGATATCATTGATCTACTCATTTTCTTTTTCTCTATCCCGGCTTCCCTTGGTTGCATGATTCACGAATGCATCTTCCAATAGTTTATCCTCCTATTATGTCATAGCGTCGATTGGTTTGCATCATCCCCTCTCTACCTGTATGCCTTAACTTTCACCTTCTTTCCTTGGTCCAGATGTGTTCCTTACTTGCATGAGATGTGTGACGAACGATTTGGTTGAGTCTGTAAATGATGTCCATGCATGGACTTATTCGTCTTTTCTACCCTTGCCTACAGTGCTGCTGATGCACGCTCTCACTTACTCCGGCCACCTTTACTCCCCCCATTTGCCAGCAAGAACTAATACTTATCCATATACTATCATTATTATCATGACGAATCAAAAATGTTAATAGCCCTACTGAATCGTAGCTTACAGTTCAGGGATGGATTGGAGTTCACGTCGAGGCTATTTGACGGTATTCTTCGTTTATTGGTAGGCCATTGAAAGGTATCATAGAGAAGACGGGAGACAAGTAAGGTTACAGACAGAAAACAATACAAAATATCATTCATTACCTTGTTGCGCGAGGCGGCTTTGCGAGCATATATCTGACGGATTCTCTCGCAACAGCCGTATCCCATGCACTGCCTTCACCGCCACGCCTAAACTCCATACCTCTTTCACCTTGTCCAGGTCGTGGTGTTTCCCCAAGCACGGTCTCTAAATCTCGTTTCTGACTGTTTATCCACCGTTTCATGAAGTTCGCTGGATCCTTGCTCATGGCAGTGTAGAAGGAATGTTTTGCCTTTGAGTGGTGCAGAGCCTGGATGGCGAGCGCTACCTGATCGTCAAGACTGGATACATGACGGAGCATTGTGGGGAAATCGGGGGAGTTAGTAAGAGAGATAAGTTTGGCGCGTAAAGGGTCGTCGATAGCGACACGGATATCGTAGACTGTGGGCTTTGGGTCCTTCTGGAACTCTGGGTCGACGCGAATGGTGTACGGAAGCTTAATCGGCTGAAGAGTTGCAGTGTGTGTTGAGGTGCTCTCAGGGATGGCAGGGAAATACATCTTCTCACAGCCAAAGATCTGAAAAGAAAACATCTTTATTAGTTTCTCACATTTGAATAGATAATACCTTGAAGAGTTCCAACTTACAGCTCTCAAACGGTCATCGCATTGAATCGTGCGCTTTTCCTCATTTTCTTGTAGGCCCATTGCCTTAACATATTCCCATATTCCGGCCACGATTCCAGCGCGTGTATCATTTTCTACGTCAAGAATGGCGGCGAGCTCTCTACTCAGCTGAAATCGTTCAGGTGTCTCATCTCTAACGAGGTTAATGGTCACGTTCAGGTTAACTTCTGCTGCCCGGGAAAATTCAAGGGTATCGAAATCAGCACTAGGCGGCATCGTCGCAGCATTGACTGGTACATCAGGTTTATTCCAGGTTATTGTGGCCAAATCTGCGACCCCATTCTCGGTCGGCTTATCAAAGTCGATAGTTATCGACTTGAAAAATTGAGATAGTCTTTTTCGCTGCGGTATTGGTTTGCTGGACTTTGCGCTTGGTGTGTCCTCCTCCATTGCGCCAGGCTCACCCCCTTGGTTTTCAGTTTCTCCTTCTTCGTCACTCTCATCTGGTGCAGTTGGATCGGCCTCGTCGAGCAGTCGCCCTTCGATTTTAACTCTGTATCGTCCGGCACCTAGCTTCGTACCTATCGCTCCCTCTGAATTAGAGGAATCCTGTTGTTGCCATGGTTGACTCTCGACCGTGTTGGATATCCATATTCTCATTGTCCTGTACCTCTTCGCATTTTTATTTATGGAATCGTAGATGTCCAGTCTCTTCCGAACCATAGACGCGTCCAGCCGTTTCTCAACCTCCCGAAGTCGCTTATAATGTTGCGCAACATCCCCAATCACAATATCTTCCACATTATCTGGTAGATTCTTATCCGTCGGCTTTCGACTGCGCCTTACGGCAGCTTCAACTGGGTTCGACGCATGTCGCTGGCCGAGCATCTGCTGGTTTGGCATTGCCTGCGGTGGGTGTTGCGGCATTGGCATACCTACTGGGTTCAGGTCAGAAATCTCTGGTAAGGGGGAAGTTGAATAGAACTGGCCCGAGTTGACACGAGAGCAAGGATTGTCATATTAATAAGAAGTATGTAAGACACTCACCAGGGACAGGACCGTGTCTGCGTGGCGTGGCTGGAGATCGGTAAGTGGCCTGTTGTGGATAGCCACGATAATTGGGCTGCTGCATGGGAGCATTCATCTTGGCGGTCAGTAAAGAATCGCCAATATAAACGACCTAGTAACGCCGGTCGCGACCAGTGGAAACGGGCAGGATTCGTTGAGATGTGTTGGCTGTGGTGGATGCTGGTAGGTAAACGAGCCGCGCATATCATGATGGAGCAAAAGTTGTAAGGATCACGAACGCTTTCGTTCTTTTTTTTTTTTCCTTTGGTCGCGTCACGTGGTGCAGCTGCTACCTAGGTAGGTTATCTTCGGCGCATATAATAAGGGAAGCCCCTTGACTACTCCGTACAGCTTTACTACTACGAATTATACAAGACAGGCCCTCGATGAGTATGTCGTGTCGACCAGTTGATTTCTCTATATGGATATGATGCTGCGCAGGGGCGAGGTAGCTAAAGGGGCTGGGATAACTTCAGGCTTGCAGAATTGTGCCACAGAAAAGGGGGAATAGTCACACCTCAATATCGGGCTTTCGAACACGAGTCTCTTCACGAAGCATAGAGTTACTCTAGCAGGGAAGCTTTGTTAGTGTACAACAGGTCAACAACTGTGCTGAGCCGATCAATAGTCTCCAGAGCAGCATCGTATCCTTTGTCTCTTTCTGCCTCGTCAAAGATGATCAAGCAGCCAGCACCTTGGTCAAGAACGCCGATTATGACTTTATCAAGAATCATTTGAGATAGCTTTTTCTCGACCTGCTGTGTGTCCAAACCCACTATCTTCGCAATATGGGCAATTTCTACCCTGCTGAATGGTTCAATGACCTTGATGAGATTCTGCTCCAACATGGCGTCGTATAGTCTTCGAAGGTGGTTTCGGACAAACACATCACCACCCAGCTCATATCGGTAGTCAGACAGAGCCTTTTCATACTCTTCTAAAGATCTGTTCGAGTGTGCACGTGCAACCGCTTTCATGGCCTCCAGGCTTGTGCCAGCGTATCGAATGGCGTGCTTCGAAGAGAGCAAAGTATTCACGTCGTTTCCCAAATTCAACATTATTTTGCAAAGAAGCATATACTGAAGCGCAGATGTTGCCTTGCTAGCATCTTCCTGAGCATGGTAACCCTCAAGGGCTTCAATGAAGTAAGAGAAAGCTGTGTTGAAATCCTTATCCTCAGCGTGTAGCATTCCGCTCTGCATATCTAGACCGGCTTGTAGCAAGGGAGGGGTATAAACTGATGCTGCGGAAGTTCGAGCGGATGTCAACGCAGCACGCGCTTTCGGTTGGTTGCCAAGGGCATGATACACGCGCGACTCGAGTAGCTGGACTTCCACCAAGACAAGTTTATCATCCAAGCGCTTAAGCTCACGGAGAAGCGAGTTGATGAGGGTAAGGGCATCATAATATGTCTGCTTCTGCATATATATCACAACAAGTCTGGTCTCAAGGTTTTGTCGGAGGAAGGATCGTCGCTCAGACACAGCCCATTCTATACACGACTTGATGACAGTAATCTGTATGTCAAGGGTGTTTGGGATATCGGCGAAATAGTCAAGTAACTGGCGGACTGAGAGAATGAACCGAGTTAATTACGGGTAGACTTTATTTATCGATCATGTAGTTAAAACCTACCCAGCTTGGCCGACTTGGCCTTTGCAAATGAAGAGAATGAAGACCTGCTGGTTTTCAAAAGCTCCGCCAGCTCCTTGGGCTTCTTCTGGTCACGATAAATCTTTCCTAGGCCCAACAACGCAACTTCATAATCTCTGGAGGCAGCTTCGCTAGAGCCAGGGCCTTCAGAAACAACCTCTTGGTATATCTTCTGGGCTTTAATAGGATTCGTCTTTGCTACTGCCTCTGCTTCCGCGAGCCGGCCGGCTTCACTGGGGGCTGGTGCCATTGTAAAGATATGGTCGTACAAAGCAGCTCGTTATCAGGTAGTAAATAGTCAGCAAGCTACTTCTGAGCACCGGTTTCTCGAATATCGTAGGCTAACACTTGGAATATGGGGTTTGGTTGATGCAAAGAGTTGCCGTCAGCTTGTTTTGCCCGACAAAGGTGTCATTGGAAGCTAGGGCCATCGAGACCTTCTGGAATATCATTTCGCCGTACTCCGCTTTAAGGTTTCATGGGCAATCAGCGTTGACGATAGCCAAAAAAAAAAAAATAAAATAAAAATAAAAAGATCGAAAAAAGATATCAAAAAGATGTACAGGTATCTGAGCTAACCCGTCACAATGGTAAGTTGAGCTCTAGAGATATTATTCTGCTGGAAGATTACTTTAACTGACTCATCCTTTAGAAAATCAAAGCTCTTTCTCGGTCTGCTGCTGCGCAGCAGACTCCTGGTACCAATGTGCAAAGGGTACAGCGGAATATTGATCCGTCCCAGCATCCGTTTGAACGAGCTCGCGAATATACAAGAGCCCTTAATGCAGTAAAGATGGAGAGAATGTTTGCTTCCCCGTTTATTGCACAGCTAGGAAATGGACATGTCGATGGGGTTTATAGCATGGCGAAGGATCCAATTTCCCTCGAACGGTTCGCCAGTGGGAGCGGAGATGGTGTTGTGAAGATCTGGGATTTGACCACACGAGATGAAATATGGCATGCACAAGCGCACGAAAATATTGTTAAAGGGATGTGCTGGACTTCCGATAGAAAACTCCTCTCGTGCGCCAGTGACAAGACCGTCAAACTTTTCGATCCATACAATACCCCCTCCGATTCTGCTCCGCTTGCAACATATCTTGGCCAAGGCGCGTTTACCAGCGTATCACACCACGAGACGCACCCATCATTTGCCGTAGCTTCATCCGTCATATCAATCTATGACCTTTCAAGGCCTTCATCTACCCCCTCGGAGACTCTTAGCTGGCCAACTAGTACAGATACCATTACGTCCCTAGCCTTCAACCGGACCGAGACATCCATTTTAGGCTCGACTGCTACTGACAGATCCATTGTGATGTATGACCTACGTACCTCATCACCAGTCTCCAAGGTGATATTGACTCTTGCTTCAAACGCTATATCTTGGAACCCCATGGAAGCATTCAACTTCGCTGTTGCAAATGAAGATCATAACGTATACATTTTCGATATGAGAAAGATGGACCGCGCTTTAAACGTTCTCAAAGATCATGTTGCTGCTGTTATGGATGTCGAATTCAGTCCAACCGGTGAAGAACTGGTATCTGCATCTTATGATCGTACTATCAGACTTTGGAACCGGGAGAAAGGACACTCAAGGGATGTTTACCATACAAAGAGAATGCAAAGGTAAGAACAACCTGAAACGAGATGAATTCCAATCTCTTCTTCTTGCCCTTTTTCCCCCCTTCTCTCCATGGAGTGCTAAGTCTGCTTCTTTTACAGAGTGTTCTCAGCAAAATTCACCCCAGACAATAACTATGTTTTATCTGGATCCGATGATGGTAATATACGACTCTGGAGGTCAAATGCTTCCTCCAGAGGAGGTATCAAGAGTGCCAAAGAACGCCAAAAACTGCAGTATGATGAAGCCCTGAAACGCCGGTATGCTCATATGCCTGAAATCCGCCGTATCAAACGGCATCGACACCTGCCCAAAGCTATAAAGAAGGCCGGTGAAATTAAGGGAGAAGAGATAAAGGCATTGAAGAGACGTGAAGAAAATGTGAGGAAGAATAGCAAGGTAGTGAAGCCGCGTCGAAGCGAGAGAGAGAAGATGGTCTTGGCAACAGAAAAATAATAGTGGCCCAATGCTGGGATGCATATTAGTTGAAAGGGAACCCGCAAATTCTGCCGAACTAGGAATATCATATTGTGGATACCCTATTAGACGTCGCTGTCATCCTCGGAGCTATCCTCGGAGTTACTTGTTGACAGAGACACTGCTGCATGCTCCCTATTCTCTGCAGCGGCTGAAATTGTTGCTTTGGCGACTGCTGAATCGACACCGCTTAGGTATCTGGCAAGCCTCTCAATGGATGCTGGGAGTATAGCATAAACTCCCAGGAATGTGGCGTAAGCCGGCATTCTGATCACTCCTCCATTTCCGCTATCGATCATGGATATTATTTCGCGTGCCACTTGGACCGGCTCTAATACCGGAGCCCAAAAACTATTCGGTGTTTCCAACCCTTCAAATAATGGTGTGGCGATTTGTCCAGTTTCTACCAGAATGGTTTTTATTTTCTTGGAGGCACCCAGCACCCGTATCTCTGCATCTATAGTTCTATGTACTGCAGCCACTGCGGCTTTTGAAGCGGTATAGTCTGACAATCCAGCAGCCGTAATATGGCCTAGAACAGAGCTGACAGTGACGATGGTACCCCCTGTCCGAGAGGATAGCATTTCTGGGAGGAATGTCTTGAGTGCATGGAAATGGGAGAGAATGTTTGTTTTAATAGTTTTCTCTATCGCCTGGTCTGAGAGGAAGAGCAAGGGAAGGCCATTGATAGCTGTTGCCACGCAGTTCACGAAAACCGTTGGCCTTCCTAGCTGTGACCATAATAATTTTAGTTAGTAAACGACAGACAGCCAAAAAGAGAGAGAAGATATATGGTGACATACGTCCTTCACTATTTTCTTCGCCACCTCCTCAACCTCGTTCTTGCTGCTCATGTCACATTTATAATATTCCAGGCTGGGGAATTCATCCCATCTTACGTATCCACTATCGTCGACTGGGTCCTTTATATCCAAGACAGCAACGCTCACCCCGCGCATTGCATATGTTTCGGCTATCGCAAGTCCAAGTCCGCTAGCGCCACCCGCAACTGTAATAACCTCCTTTTTAAAATCGACATTGCGCGGTAAGCCGTAGGCTAAGCGCTTGTTTATATAGGATAACACAAGAAATGTGCTCAGGCAAATAGCATATGCCGCAGTAATGAGAAACGAGGGATGGGAATATGGTGTGGCTTGGGCGACAAGGCACAGGGGTATCAACCAAGCAATAAACGGATGAAATACTGTCTTCTTGAAGACATTCACAAGTATATCAAATGTTACGGCGGGGTGACTTGGTTTATGTGCCGATAACGGCACGCCACTTCGCTGTTTCGTAGAAGGCATTGCTGTGGTATGGAAATTATGGGAGCCTAGTCAGTACATAGAAACCACATACATATCAACAATATTTTAGCTTAATAAATTTATATTAAAAAAATGGTAGACAATAGTATTCTCGTTTTAAACTAGAAACGATCTCATATGTCACGAAAATGTCAGATATCAAAAATACATGCCGACGTCTGAACAAGCGCCGCTGGTTATTAACTAACCAAGTTAGGCTTAGCGTTTTCTCCATTTCAACTTGGCTTGGAATAAAAATAAACACGGAGAAATTTCTCGTTGACCGATTTTCCCAAAGGAAACTTCACGATTCTTGCATCCCACTACAATCACCTAGTCTCTCAGCAGTTAGCCCTGCCTTACCTGGCATGCGATATCCAGCTTCTAACTGACGTTGGTAAGAGACTTGTCGCAAACGTTGAGACTCTCCAGGCGTTAGCTGCAACTTTATCCTGCTGTTAGCAAGATATTTCACCAGCAGCCTCTTAGTGACTTATACATACATATACCTCCACCCCGATGGCGTGTATCAAGATAGCAATCCAAATTGCCATTCCGAAATTAACCCCTATAGCTGCCGACACATTCTCATCTCCACCATTGAAATCTGCAACGACAATCGCCTGTTGTTGGGGATTTGATCCGTCATAAAACGTTGAACAGGCCGGATACTTGCTCAAGGTCTCGTTGTGGCCGAGAGTATAATCAAGTTTTTCACATGGCCAAACTGCATTATACCCACCAATAGCAGTTATTATTGCGGCAGCAGCGGAAAATATGAACCTGTTAGTAATAATTGCTCCCATCTACCATATTTATATTAGCAGTGATCAGAGATGGGCGTATAGGGCGAGGGGTTGTACGTAGACAAACGACCTGATCATCCACGCCCTGTGCTGATCAATCTGGAGCTTTTTGATGTTATAATAAGCAAGTCCAATCCCAACAGTCGTCATTAGCACAAGGGCCCCTATCCCCGCTTGTATGTCCAATGTGCCGCCAAATGCCCGCCGTGCGATAACAAGAGCACCAACATTGGAGATGAGTACCAGAAGTATGATCAGATACCCAGAAATTCGGTGCCACATGATAAATTTGTGTCGGATTATAGGAACAAATTGGAAGCAGACCAGGAATGACGCCGCTGCATCAATTCAAGTTAGCTTGTAATAGGAAATAAAACACGTGAGGAAATATCCAGGAGATAAGAACCAAGCTTACGCAAAATACATCCCAAGTGAAGAATTATCCCAACATGGTACCGAGTTTGCTGGAGGTAATAGAAGCATTCACCTGGCGCAGCATTCCCTCTCTTGCAAAAATCGCCTCTGATGTCGAGGTATTGGAAGCGCGCCAGGGTAAATCCCATAAGCGCCCCAACAAGAACGAAAACTATGTTGAGATCAGCTATGAAGATATTGACTTGAAATTTGAACACTGACATAAAATGAAGTTATACCCCTTGGAAAACCCAACTGGTTGATACAACTTTCGAAAGAATAACTTGATAGCTTCAGTCATCTTTTCAATCTTGAGTAGAGGAGACTTGATATTGGACTTCGAATCCAACTTTGAGGATGGAATGTTTGCTCTGTAGAATATTTGTTGCATTCCTCTCCATGACGTTTCTTCCCAAGCCCTTTATATTCCAATTCTCAAGTGAAGCTGAGACGAATATGAGCTACTACGTTCTTCTTTCCTACAGTTACCCCTAGACATCTTTTGCGCCATACAAAGTACTACGTAATGGGCCAACGTATGTTTATTTAGCTTGAACTTCGACTGCCTGAAGCTGGAACTACAAAGAGCATCGTGATTCTATTTTTAGCTACAAACTCAAGGTTTAGATCGAACCTTAAATTAGCGCTTATGTCACGTGGTATACATCGCGCAATAGATTTCCCAAAAAGGAATAAGTAACTTCGTACAACTCAACACCTGGCGCAATTACCACCTTCATTCATCATCGCATTATTATAAATGCAAGAAAGATGGCGCCTTATTTTCCCTCGCTGCCGGCGCAAATGGGTAGTGAAAGAGGAATTTGCGTTTTTACCTGAATTATGAAGCAAGATGCCAAAAATATCTGCGGGATGCAACACTTGCCGAAAACGAAAGAAAGGTGTATGTACTATGAAATCACAATCCTCATACTGGGTACCTGCAAGCTGACGAAGAGTTGCAGTGTGATATGCAGCGGCCTTCATGTGGCCAGTGCAAGAAATTAGGCCTTCCATGTGGAGGTTATGGACGGGAGCTCAAATTTATCCATACTTCCAACCAGCCATGCAAGCAAAGCGAAGTCCACGCAATCCCAGGTAATGCAGTGTCATGCTCAAATAAATTTCGAAAGAGCAGCACAGTTATCTGCAATACCACTGGACAAGCATTGACCGGTCACGTAGAGACCCTGTCAAAATCGGTTCTTGTCGGGTCATGTCCCGGATTGTTTTTGAACATTTTTCTCGGAAATATTGGAAGCAGTACGGAAAATTTAAGCCAATCATGCTTTACTGGCTGGTTGGTTACAGCGTCTCAGAGTAATTATGAGAACCCGATATTACGCAATGCATTGCTTGCCTTGGGCCTCGCGAGAGTTGGTAAACTATCACATGATTCAAGAATCGTGTACAAAAGCCAGCAATTCTACTCCTCTGCCTTAGTGCAATTATACCAGCGCCTCAATGTCAACTCAGAATGTTTGGGTGACGAATCACTGGCAGGGATTATGTGCTTAACCCTCTATGAGGTACTGCAGAACCCAATCTCGGGCTATTCGCTGCTTCATCTACTAATTATATCAACAATCTAGGCTATTGAAGGCTCTCCAATGAGAGGCCTTGGCTGGGCAAGTCATACTGATGGTGCCACGCGGCTCATAAAATTACAACCGAATTCTTCGAAATGGACGGACTTCAAGAGAAAACTATTTCTCGGTCTGCGTTACTTTGCTGTGAGTACTATATTCCCTTGACTGTAGTTCGTTGTACGCTACTAACTCATCCTAATGGATAGGTAATCCGCGCTATCGGTTCTCGACATCCATCCTTTCTTGCGGACCCCGAATGGACGTGTTTACCTTGGCTACAAGCTGGAACTCAGCACAGCCACCAATTACTACAACTATTAGCCGCAATACCATCCATTCTCCAAGAAATTGACATGATTCGAGACGATCACTCATCCTATCTTCCGGTCAGAGTTCAAGAAGTCTCCAGGAAATGTTGTGACCTGTTGGAAAACTTAAGAATGTGGAATATTTCGTTTCAAGATAATAGAGGATTGCTACTTTGGGAAATGCCCTCTGTGATTTCGATCAAAAAAGGAAAGGGCTTTACTAGAGAACACCTCCTATTCTCCACTTACATTCATTTCCTTGACACAGAGACTGCCCATTTGCAGATGCTTTACTGGACTGCTCAGCTGCTGATTTGCAACAACCTTTGGTTGGTATACCAGTTTGTGTCAGGACATGAGAATAGATCATGGCATAAAATAAATGAGCCGATAGTCAACTCGCGCCTGGATTGTTGTGACGGGCTTCCTTATCGCATGCCGGAATTGCCATTATCCGCGTATGAACTACGTGCGATCGCTGTCAATATTGCTCGGTCTCTGGAATATTTCCTTACTCCAGAATTGATGACGATCGGAGTAACCATGTTCGCTTTCCCAGTCACTGTTTCTTTGGGGTATTTCCAATATTTTGACCTCCCTGAAGCAAAGTGGTTTGATTTTGTGTTTGAGTATATTCTGAATTCTTCCGGTATAGATGTAGGCGGATTCCTTGACGCTGTTGCTAACGAAAATTCACTCCGCCTGGTTAAGATTTAGATGTATGATATATTTAGATTGGTATCAGAATATCCCTAGGAATGAACCATCTGTTATTGAATTCTTTTTCTTATCGTTTCTCTTCTGGGGTGAGTATGACTCTGACAGAGGATTGTGGCCAAATCAGTTGTTTATTGGCTAATAAGGTAATTTTACGAACGCTGTTGCCTAATTTCCAAAACATTGGCTCGCCGGTTTTTTCGCCCAAGCAACAAACGCATCATAAACCACTGGAAAGCAACCTACACAGATCTAATAGCCATTTACCCGTCAAATCTACCTGTTCAATAAACGAAAATACACAAAACCAAAAGCTATGGCGAAATGTTCACTCTCTGCGTGGAAAATTATCCCCCAATTTTGCAGTACCTCAATACCCCAGACTATTGAATTTTACACGAAATCACTCTACTTTACCCTCGGAGGAACACACCCGGATGACGATGCAAATACGGCCCCGACTTTTTGCTCAGTATTTATCGGGAAAAAGGCGGATGCCAATATATACTTTTTTCAAACAAAGTTGTCATCTTCAAGGCCAACTGAAACAGAGGATAGAGGTGCCAGTGAAGACAACCAGGAAATATTCCACCCGTCTTCGACGATGATTGCTCTGGGAACCGCGGAGCTAGACGAATACTACGACATTCTGGTTGAGGAAGGGAAAGTCAAGATTACCGAGCCTATCGAGGACAAGCAATGGGGTTATCGACAGTTTACTTTGGAGGATCCTGACGGCAACAAGATCACCTTTTTCAAATTCTTGGAAGGGGGAAATCCTGGGTCGGAATGAAGGTATCCAATATAGCCTGTGGATGGAATGTTCATCGCCTACCTCCGGGAACTGGTGTTATTCTATATCATTTTTTGAGCGGTAGAGATGGAGATTTGAAATGAAACCAAATTCCTGAGCTGCGTTGTAGCTTGTCTTATTGGCCAGAATTTGTAATATCACGTGATTATAATTAAGTGGAGTGGAGCTGGAGCTTGGCCATCAAACCTTAAACTGCTTTTCGAAAATCCAAAAAAAAAAAAAGAGGAATTGAAGAAGCTGAGCGGAAGGAGAAGAATATTGAGAAAATATCGTCGCCATATAAGCAGAATCATGCCTCGCGAAAAGAAGAAAAGAGGCCGTCGGGCAGAAAAGTCTCAATCGAAGCGCAAAAGAGAAGATGAAGAAGTGTCCGATTCACCAAAGCGACAGCGAACTACGAACGAAGACAACGATGCCCTAGCAGGAGACGACTACATTCCCCTCGATACCCACGATACTGAAAAGGAGCAAGAACAAGGGCAGGAAGATGACACCCCTTTCTATGGGCTTCTTGACACGGAGGAGCAGGAGTATTTCTCAAAAGCCAGTCAGACATTGGAACTCAACTCTTTCGAAGACGACGACGACAAACGACTGTTCATTGAAAGCGTTTACACTGAAGCCAAAGGGAAGGAATTGAAGATTGCTTGCAGCCAGTCTTGCTCCAGACTCATGGAAAAATTGATTGCAATGTCTACTCCAGCCCAGGTAAAGGCTCTGTTCGAGAAATTCTCGGGCCACTTCCTACACCTTGTTCAACATCGCTTCGCGAGTCACTGTTGCGAGTGTTTGTTCATACGCGCAGCGCCGATTGTGACGTCTGAGATGGAAAAACCCAAAGATAAAAAGAAGGATAGGAAACAAACCATAGAAACCAATGGAGAGGATGGGGAACTGGACGAGCCAATAAATCAAAAACCTGCTATGGATTTGTTCCTAGGCGTCGTCTCAGAGCTAGAAGGGAATTGGGGGTATCTGCTCACGGAGTCATTTGCTTCGCATACGATACGGGTCTTGCTCCTTATATTGGCCGGTGAACCACTTGCTGATCATTCAAATGCGAGGGTACTTGCCAGCCGGAAAAAAGAAAATGTGGATTCTATCACGTCAACGGCTCAGGCAGAGCTAACGATCCGGGAAAGCAGACAAGTTCCTGCGGAGTTCAATAACACTCTAAGAAAAATGATATCAGATCTGAGTGCTGGCCTGAATTCTACCTATCTTCAGGCACTTGCCACCCATCCTATTGGAAGCCCTGTTCTTCAAGTCATTCTTTCAATAGAGCTTGGGTGTATGGGGAAAGAAAAAGTCAAGGACAAATCTTCTGTTTTCCGTAGGCTTATACCAGACGATACCCTTGAAACAAAGGAGGAGGGTGTGAATTTCCTAAACAGTCTGTTCTATGATCCAGTTGGATCACGACTACTAGAAACGATTGTTCGAGTTGCTCCGGGAAAATTCTTCAAAACATTCTACAAAACAGTCATTCGCGAAAGGATCGGCTCTTTGGCGCGAAATGAGATAGCTTCATATGTTGTTATCAAAGTACTGGAGAGGGTGAGCAGAGAAGATCTTCAATCAGCAATTGAAAGCATTCTCCCTGAAATACCTTCACTAGTCCAACGGTCAAGGCTTAATGTTATCAAAACAATAATAGACAGGTCAACAGTTCGGAGTGCTGATACTACTTCATTGGCTAAGGCATTGGAATCAGCGTATGGCGAAGATGGCCTTGTTCGCCTCAAGACGATTCTAGGCGTTGAGGCAACAGACAAGGATGCTGAATCAGTGAAACCAAAGGCTGCAACTTCTGCTCAACATCTCCATGGATCGCTTTTGGCACAATCCATGTTACAGGCACCTGGCGGGCTTGCAACAATGATACAAACCAGCTTTCTTGCTGCACCAGTCGAGATACTAATACAGATTGCGAAGAATCCAACAGCATCTCGTGCCCTTCAAGAGGCTCTTAAGCCTTCGAAGTCCAACACTCAATTTCGTCGACAATTGTTACCTCGATTTTACGGACAGATGTGCGATTTGTCGCTGGACAACAGTGGCTCTCACGTTGCCGACGCGCTCTGGGATGCCACCTCTGACCTAGTATTTATCAAGCAAAGATTGGCACAAGAACTAGCGGACAACGAATCCGCCCTTCGCGACTCGTTCTTGGGTAGGGCTGTATGGAGGAATTGGTCGATGGATTTGTACAAGAGAAAACGGGGGGAATGGATGTCAAGAGCGAAGGGGCTAGACAACACCAGAGTCTCAGCACCAACTGCCGATTCGAGCGCCGAGCCGGCGAAGAGCAAGCTCGACCTCGCCAGAGCGCGATATGCGGCAAGAGCCGAGCAACAGGAGAAGCCAGACAGCAGGGAACAAGGCCCTCGCGGCAAGAAGCAGGCCCTGTCGGCGCCGAGCGGCCTTCTGAAAGCGCAGTAAAAAGCCGCAGCGTCTATGACGTCACGCCATGTTTATCTTTACGTAATGTCGATGACAAATTTTGTTGGCTGGAACTTTACTCACGTGATACAGCAAATAGACCTATGTAGCAATCCAGGTATATATCAGATCGCAGCCACATCCAACATGAAACCACCCTTCCTATGCCCTCTCGATTGTCTGAAACGAGTTCAGCGTGTCTCCAATACGATATAATGGAGCGGCCTGAAGAAGTGCGGAAAGTGAGTCTCCCAGTGGTCTCTCCATCGTGACACCAGCTCTGGCCTTGTAATCATTTGGATAAGCATTAAATTACCAGAATAATTAGCTAAAGGATGTCTTTTAGGTCTTAAATTCCGTCCAGGAACGCGTTGTTGGATTTGTTGAGCAGGCAGATCGCGCGTCCCAGGTACCAGGACAGAAGAATAATGATGATTCTCGGCCAAAGATTCTGGATTTTAAGCCCCCGGAAGAGCTCAAAGCAGTGTTTAGTGAAGGCTTAACAAGCTCAGGACAGGGACATGATGGGCTTGTTCGAATTGTAGATGACCTTCTCAAATATTCCGTCAACACATGGCAGCAAGGATTTCTGGACAAGCTTTACTCATCACCAAACGCTCCTGGGTTGGCCGCAGAGTTACTTCTTGGGACATTGAATGCCAATGTGCACGTCTACCAGTCGGCCCCAGCATTGACGGTCATCGAAAAAGTGACCACAAGACGATTTGCTGAGCTTTTCGGTCTTACAGGACCCAACGCTGGCGGAATCTCTGTCCAGGGAGGGTCTGCATCCAACACTACAGCAATCGTTGTAGCAAGGAACACTCTATTTCCCGATACCAAGAAGAATGGAACGGGTGACCATCGATTTGTTATATTTACCAGTGCGCATGGGCACTACAGCATTGAAAAAGCTGCGCAAATGATCGGCCTAGGAAGCAACGCGGTTCACAGTGTACCTGTCGACCGTGAAGGACGAATGATTCCACAGAAGCTTGATGAGGAGATTCAGAAGGCAAAGGACGATGGTAAAACTCCCCTCTTCGTCAATGCCACTGCCGGGACTACTGTTCTAGGGACATTTGATCCATTTACGGAAATCGCGGGGATTTGCCGCAAACATAAAATCTGGTTCCACATTGATGGTGCTTGGGGAGGTGCTTTTATCTTTTCTAACCGCCAGAAACACAAGCTTGAAGGTTCACATATGGCTGATAGTATTGCCATAAATCCTCATAAAATGCTTGGAGTACCATTGACTTGCTCGTTCCTATTGGGCGCCGATATGACTCAATTCCACGGATCAAACACGCTTCCTGCAGGGTATCTCTTCCATAACGATGTGTCTGATGGCTCCGAGGTATGGGATTTGGGTGACTTGACTTTACAATGCGGCCGTCGAGGTGATGCCCTGAAAATGTTCCTAAACTGGAATTACATCGGCTCATCAGGATACGAAGAACGAATTGATGCTGCAAGTGATGTCGCTGTCCATCTCTGCAACCTCATATCGGAATCCCCGGATTTAATTCTCCTTAGTGAAAATCCACCACCATGCTTTCAAATATGTTTCTTCTATGCACCGTTCAAACAGATGGTCCACAGTTCCGACAAAGTGGCAGATGAGGCAGAACGTGGAAAACTTAACGGAGAGATTACTTCCATGATTGCCGATGATCTGATCGAACAAGGATTTATGGTTGACTATGCACCACCAGCTGCAGCCCAAGTTGAAGGAGACGGCAAATATCTTAGATGTGTCATCAATCTTCACACTAAGAAAGAAACAGTCGAGCGACTCGTCGAAGTAGTCTTGCAATTGGGTGCCAAAGCGGTCAGGAAGCAGCGTGGACTCGAGTTGAACGGGACCTTTGTAAATCCGAACCAGGCTCCAGCACCTGGCCAGCGACCAAAGCACCCTCTTGAGATGGGTCGTGGGCCTCAAGGCGCTCCGGCTGCCTCGGATTTCGTGCTTTGAAGTTTTTCTGTGATGTACCTACAATGTATACCTGGCTTTATTGTTTCCAAAAGCGTCGGCATTGTTACCTTCAGTGTATATAAGATTTGTGAAAAAATAGAATATAAAAGGGTTGGTGAACTGAGAATCTTTCATTAACATATATGCATCATGTTTTAAGTTGTAGTTTTGGGTATATCTAACTGCGAACCTCAACTCTTCTCTCCAAAACCGATCTTGCATCAGCTTCAGTCAATGTGTCTATACAAAGCTCAGATAAAACACCTCGTGCGCTTTCATTATTGGCAAAGAGCCTCTTTTCAGCTTCCCATAAACCAAGCGCTGTTCCAGCAGCATCACTAGTGTCTGGTGGTTGATCTTTTCCTGCTTTAATTTTCAGGTTCAGGATGAATAAACCGTCCCGTAGCTTTTTCATTGTACGTGCTGCGAGTTCTTCACCGGCCTTTACACCTATAGCAGCATCTACCGTGTCGCAGATATTGGAGATATCGACAGAGAGCTGTGCCGCGCCGGAAGTAGAGAAAGAGTTCCGCATCAGTATGTTATCCCAAATGTACGTCTGAATAGCGAGTAGGACGTGGTTAGCAACGCGGCGCCTTGGGGCAATAGCTAGCGTGCGGGAGAGAAACGAAAAGTCAGCAGTGAGAAGCCGTAGGGTTTGCACAAGATCTACTGAGGGTGTGGTAGGAGTGCTAGGGTCATCAGAAGACGAGCGCAGAGAAGCCCAAGTGGACACCTGATTATAGGGCCGTAGGGAGGTCTGAACGTTCGAGGCTATTGTAGATTGGATTATAGATTCAGATCGCATTCGAAGGCGGCGGTATGCTGCAGCCGTCTCATCGAATAGAGCACCTTCCGCTGCATCGCTGGGGTGATCATGGTTGTTATTGGTGACCGACGATGAGGTTCGTGCTGCAATCTCTGACACCGATAGTGCGCCGGCCACCGGCTTTCCGGTCTGGCCTTGCCTTGCTACCCGGTCCTGGAGCTCATACCAAAGTTCAAGGAAGAAAACGTCATCTCCCCAGTCTTGCATCTTCTTCTCAAGATATTCGGCAGATCCAAATATTCTGCATAGTCTCTCTAGGCCAGAAACTCCGTCTAGATTAGGTTGGCCGGCTGAGGAACCCTGTACCGTGCGCCCTATGGCGGATGTCATAGCAAGGTATGCTTCTAGACCAGAATGTAGCCTGCCGTGAAATAAGTCGAAGATGGTGATTTGGATATCGATTAGGAATCGAAGCTTCTGGCTAAAAGACGACAATGGTCGGTAAAGCTCCGTGACATTCTCCAGGAGATCATTAACTCGGAGAGCTGCCTTTGTCGGCTTGGTTGCCGTGGGTGCTACTCCATCATAATCAATTTCACCGCCATCTTCGGCATCAATGATACTTTGGTATCGTGCCAGGGCGAAATTCTTCTCTACCTGAAGCCATTCAGAGAACCAATTCTCTTTTGTTAATATTTCCCAGGTTATTCCCTTCCATGCATTTTCTTCCATTGCATTCGATGGATAAGACCAGGACGACTTAAGTTCATTATCAAAATTCATCAATTCATGAATTAAATGGCTGAAAGCTTGCGGGTGCTTGGATACCGTCGGCAGTAGACTCAATGCTTTTTGCCGTACCATTGGCAAAAGGGAGGATATAAACGACGAGACGGCGTCTGAGTATAGTGACCGGAGCATTGGAGCGCCATTAAGTGCTCTTCTGTTCAATATTGGTTGCAAATATGCGGAAAAGAACTCAGCATGAGTGTTGATTAAATCCAATACATGGGACATGAAGTATTCTGGCTTGGGGCGGGTTAGTAAAAAATCAACTCCATTGTATTGCGGGAAGACGATAATACCTTGTCTAGCCTATTTGTAGGTCTGTCACCGCTGAAGTGATACTTAAACCGAAGCTCTAGGGGTCGAGACATGACTTCTAGGGGAAGTAGAATCGGCAACTCAGACTGGTCTTCGGGGCCTTTTTTAATTGTGACGCTCCCAAAATCACTATATGGGTCTAGCTTTCAGCATATTGTCACGTTGAAAGGACTGATTTATATACTCACGGCTCCTGGAACTCTAGGAGTAGATCACACCAACGCATCCATTCATCGATCAATGATTCCGTTGGAAGTTCCTTCATGGGCCACTTCATTTTGTCCAGAATATTTTGTAATTTATCCGTATATTCCACACGAATGGAGTCTTTTAAACTCCCCGAGACTTTCATTACATAGTCAAGGAGGTACGGAGTTGCCCCTTCAACAGTATCCTGGCCAGTTGATATAGACGTCTCAATGGAACGAAGCTGCGCATATGATCGTAAGGCATCATGCGGGGATGATTTCATGGTCTTCATCGCATCCTTACTACAAACACGTTAACCTTGTTTCTTAGCATAATGAGAACATGAGTACATACTTCAATTGATCAACGGAGCTTAACAACTCCAAATAGCCTTGAGACACATCAAGTCTCTGTAATCTAGCAATGCTATCTTCAAATTTGCGAACCGCCTCATCGCTGTGTTCCGATTGCGTCACAACCAGTAAGCGACGGTCTATATCAGCCTGGTGTTGTTTGAATGCCTCTGCCTCTTTTCGAACCGCCTCCGCATGCTCATTCGAAGCCTTCGTGGCATTTTTAAGGATCTCCTCCGCTTCCCGTAGCTAGAGAATGCAAACGATCTTAGTCTAGTAAATACTTCGATGGATGTAAGGGGGCCAGTTACCTGTTGTCTCTGGATATCTTGCTGCTCTTGGAGGCTCTGAAGAAGGGTATCCAAACTCTGTAGGTCTTCGATGCTCTGGATCTTATCATTCACGAAATCAACAAGCCTTGTCGCATCTTCCGCTGATAAGTTACCTGCCATATTTCTTATACAGGCGGATTCCTACGCCAGAGAGTAAAGCAGCAGGCTGGTTGATAGTTAGTTATCGCTTGGTGTTATCTTTTAGTTAACTACTTGCGGAGGCACAAAACTCGTGGTCTCTTGTCACTCGGTCTTGGCACCAACAACACCTTAACTAGTCATCTTCCAATGATCAACACGATTTGGTAAACATCATAATTCTGGCCTCTCCATCAGGCATCACTCACCTGGGAGATCCAAGGCCAGAATGCAAAAGCATTTATAATGGCCGGTCCTTTAAAAAAGAAGAGAAAGGTTGATTCGACTGGGGTGCCGCAGAATACCCGGAGCATTGCTTCATATTTTCGTGCAGGGAATAAAGCAACGTCCTCGCAAATCATTAGCACCGAGCATCATCGGCTTACGGACGAGCAGCTGGCCCGGAAGCTTCAAAAAGAATGGAATAAAAAAAGCCAGGATGAATCTGAATCTTCCACTCCTGGTCATAGAGCAACGGAAAACCTTCAAGAAGAAAAACTGCGAGCGTCTGATGAAGTAGCTGATGCGAGCTCAAGCAGCGACAAAGGCAGCTTAGCTGATACTCCAGCTCTTACACCCGGAAAAGAGAACAAGCCCAAGGGAATACTATCTCTACAGAGCTCTTCAACGGCTGAGGATACCATATCATTTTCATTGCCTTTTGATCTTAGTCCGTTGGAATTCGATCCACATGAACAAAAGGAGAAACTCCAGGCACACTGGGATGCGGAAGGCGGGAAAGCATCGTATGCCATTTTAGCTCGTGCCTTTTCTCTTGTCAATGGCACACAGAGTAGGATTAAAATAGTGGACATTCTTGTGAACCTTCTTAGGCTTATAATCGTTGGTGACCCGCAGAGCCTTCTTCCCGCGGTGTGGTTGGCAACAAATGCATTTGCTCCGCCCTACGTACCAATTGAACTGGGGCTAGGAGGGTCTGCCATATCCAAAGCATTGAAAAGAGCATATGGGCTGGATAACCAGGGTCTCAAAGCACTTTACAATAAACATGGCGATGCTGGCGATGTGGCCTTTGAAGCAAAGAAAAAGCAGTCATTTACGCTGAGACGACCAAAGCCGTTAACCATCAGAAGTGTATACGATGCGCTGATGAAAATTGCGAACAGCAAAGGCACAGGAAGTCAGGAGACAAAGCAAAGAATTGTCGAGAAATTGCTCCAAGACACGCGAGGTGCAGAGGAGAGTCGATACATCGTTCGTACACTTGTTCAGCATCTCCGGATTGGAGCTGTTAAAACGACGATTTTGATTGCACTTGCAAGAGCGTTTCTCTACTCAAAACCGCCGGCAGCCACATTTCCCCTACGTTCGCGCGCAGAGCTCATGAGCTTGAGTAAAGAGGAGTTATCAAATATCTACTCCCAGGCTGAAGAGACTATCAAAGCTTGCTATGCCCGGCATCCTAACTACAACATGATTGTTCCATGTTTATTGGAAAATGGGGTTTCTGCTGAACTTCTTACGAAATGTGGCATCACATTACACGTTCCTTTATTACCTATGTTGGGTAGTATTACACGGGACCTTCCGCAAATGTTAACCAGGCTACATGGCCGATCCTTTACCTGCGAGTACAAATATGATGGGCAAAGGGCACAGGTACACTGCGATGCAGCGGGGAAGGTCTCCATTTTCTCTCGCCATTTAGAACTCATGACGGATAAATACCCGGACTTAGTGTCTCTTGTCCCTCAGATTCGATCTGGAGCTGTTTCTAGCTTTATTATGGAAGGTGAAGTGGTTGCTGTTAATAATGAAACCGGAGAATTGCTTCCTTTTCAAACACTCACGAATCGGGCGAAGAAAAATGTGGAAATAGGTAGTATCAAAGTCAATGTCTGTTTATTCTCTTTTGACTTGATGTACCTGAATGGACAGCCTCTGCTTGACAGAACATTCCGGGAAAGACGAGAACTTCTAAGGAGTTTGTTCGTTGAGATCCCAAATCAATTTACATGGGTAAAGAGTATAGATGCATTCCCATCTGATTCGGACGCTGTTCTGAACTTTTTCAATGATGCCCTTCAAGTAAAATGCGAGGGCATAATGGTTAAAGTTCTGGATGATAAGCCAGTTGACCGCCTGTTGCAGGCAGAAGATACCGCCACAGCTCTTGGTGATGGTGAATTACTACCTCCCGAAGAGGATAAAAAACAAGAGTCTACGGATACTGCTGAGAAGCAGCGAGGGAACAGGAAACGGCCGCTGCTGTCAACATACGAGCCTGACAAACGCCTCGAATCTTGGCTTAAAGTGAAGAAGGATTATAGTGCTTCTTCGGAGACCTTAGACTTGATTCCCATTGCGGCATGGCATGGCCAAGGTCGAAAGGCCAAATGGTGGTCTCCAATACTTCTTGCTGTGCGAAATCCTGAAACCGGCTCTCTCGAGGCAGTTACCAAGTGTATGTCCGGTTTCACTGATAAGTTTTATGAAGCGAATAAGGAGAAGTATGCGGAAGGCAGCGACAATATAATCTCACGGCCAAGCTACGTGGAGTACTGTGGCGAGCCGGAGGTTTGGTTTCAACCTCAGGAGGTGTGGGAGATGGCCTTTGCAGATATCACGCTGAGTCCTACGTATACTGCAGCCATAGGCCTGGTTAGTGATGAACGCGGGCTGAGCCTTCGATTCCCAAGGTTCTTGAGAGTGAGAGAGGACAAGAGCATTGATGAAGCTAGCACATCCGACTATCTTGCCCATCTTTGGGACAAGCAGGCGGAGAGAGCAAAGGTGGCGGAGCCTCGAGCTGGGGATTGAACTTGACACATTCCTTGACCAGAGACGGACCATATAGACCTATCACTATACAAGCACTTTTCCACACGGGCAACGCACCCACTGGAAGCGAGAGTGGAATGTCGAATGTTGATATTGGCGTATATAGATCTAGCACCTATTACGTCATACAGAGGCCCAAACAAGCGAGGTCGTGAATATAGCAACAACCAGTCCGTTGCATAAAGATAGGGATTGCCACTAGACCGTCATTAGTCTCCGTAGAGCATGCGGGATAAATGGCATCTCGATGGCAGATTTCTGTATACCCCGATTTCTCCAGGAAAAAACACACTACTGTCAACAATAAGTTAGACCATACTTTGAAAACAACAAACAAAAAATATGCCTTTGCCACGGAGAGCTTTGATTGCTGTTACCAGCGCCAACCCTCACTTCTACCCCGACGGGAAGAAGACGGGGCTGTTCTTCTCCGAGGCCCTACACCCGTTTGATGAGCTGCAGTCAGCCGGGTTCCATATCGACATTGCCTCGGAGACCGGGACCTTTGCCTTTGACGAACATTCGTTGGAGAAGAAATTTCTAAACAAAGAGGACGAGGAGGTGTTGCACAACGCCAACGACCCATTCAACAAGAAGCTGAACAGCCAGATGTTCAAGGCTGGAGACCTGTCTCCGCATGAGTACGGTCTGTTCTTCGCTGCCGGGGGCCATGGGGCATGCTATGATTTCCCTCACGCAAAGCACCTACAGGCCATTGCCTCGGACGTCTACAACCGCGGCGGCGTTGTGGCAGCCGTGTGCCACGGCCCAGCTATACTGGCCGGCGTTAAGAACCCCGAAGAAGAGCCTGTGGTGAAAGACAAGACGGTCACTGGCTTCACTACTGAGGGTGAGCTCGAGCTCAAGGTGATTGATCAGATGAGGCAGGACAAGGTTCATACGATTGAGGACTGCCTGGCGCCGACGGGAGCTCACTACGAAGCTCCTGCCAGTGCATTTGACAACTTTGAGAAAGTTGACGGGCGGATTGTTACGGGGGCGAATCCTGCCAGTGCAAGGGATACGGCGAGAGATGCTATAAAAGTGTTTGATGGGTTGGATTAATTGGGGGGAAGAGAGAGGGAAAAAAAAGGCATCAATTATCGCCGTCAACCAAAAAGTTTGATTTCTGCTGCTGGGATTTATCTCCTCTCACTGAGTTGGACTTTTTTTCGGTTGTATATCTACCTACCTATTCGAAAAGTGTATCACTACTGTGAGCTAGCATGCCTCTCTGCAATATAGTTCTTTGATGCACAGGCCCCTTTTTGGCCATTGGGTTATCCTGTCATATATCAATGAAGCACTTCTATGAAGACTACACCTAATTAGATTGATATATAACACTGGTTAAGTTGACTCTAGTCGAATATATATATATATATCTACGTAACACTCAAGTGAATTTACCGTTCACCTTTTATCTCATGGTACTATAAGAAGGGTAAGACTACGCAGAGAACTCCCAGTCCTCGGAGAACCAACCAAACTGGATGTCAGGGGTTACCCTTGAAGATATCATCGTAGTGCGAGATGGTAGTCTCAGGACGTTCCTTTTGCAGGTAGTATGCATGGACAATCTCCTTGATCTTGGGATGGGACCACATACGTTTCATCCACTCGAGAGCTTCCGGGGTAGCACCGGTGAGAGGCAGATTATAAGATCGGAAACGCTGAAGCACGAAACAGTCAGACTTACCACTTGCAATAATAGAAACAAAAAGTAGTGGAACAAAAAAAAGGGAGAGAGGGGGAGAGGGTTCAACCCACCCATAAGACCGGCCAGAAGAAGGCATCCGCAATGCCGAACTTCCCAAACAAGAAGCCCTCGTCTTCGCCCTCCTGGCCGAGCTCGGCAAGCCTGGCGCGCGAGAACCGTCTGCTCTGGCCCCAGAGCTTCAGACAGTTCCCCACCTCTCTGGCCGCGCCGTCATACAGAGGTATGGCGCCGGTGTACTTTGCCAGAGCATTGGTGGGGTAAGAGGCCCGTAGCACGGTGCAGAGGCCAGAGTGCATCTGTGCGACTGCAGTGCGGGCCTGGGCGCGCAATGCAGCGTCCTTGGGCCAGAGGGGCAGGTCGGGGTATGCTTCAGCGAGGTATTCGCATATGGCGAGGGAGTCGTTTATTTGGAACTGGGGTCCCAGAGCAGGCACTTCTAGCGCGGGCACCAGGCCGGATTTCGATAGTTTGGTGGACTAGAGTAACGTGTAAGAGAGGGGGCGGGGGGTATTATACTGCTGTACGCTGTGAACAATGGGGATGTAGAGGGTACCTCTGGGAGAGAAAGCAGGACGGACTGGTGCGGGATGCGGTAGTAGTCGAGCAGCACAGCTACACGAGCAGTCCAGCCTGGGAGAAAGAAGAAGGTTAGGCTTGGTTGGCGGACTAGTAGACGGAACTATTTGATGTTTCTGTTTTTTGCAAATTTCATAGTCTAGGGGGGAGGGTAAGAGAAACACACTGGAGTAGCGGGTGTAGGCTCCAATGAGCTTGAGCTGGCTCGGATCGTGGTCCTGGTCCTTGTCCTGGTTCTGGTGCTGCATGACGGTGGTGTTTGTTGGATGTGTTGGATAGTGTGTCTCTGTGCAAGCGCGGGAGATGGAGCTGTGCGACGTCGAGGAGTGCTCAACTCCGGCTCGAGGAGGGTCGTACGCCCTTTATATACTAATAGAAAAATAACCCGGGCATGAGTCAGTCCTGTGCTCCCCACGATTTGATCGATGGAAGGACTCCGTCCCGCTTACTCTGATATATTCTCCGCGCCAGTCGATGGAGTCCACATGGATACCGAGCAGGCGAGTCGAAGTGCCGCGGCCGGCCAATGGTGCGTGCTGCCGCGGTGGCCCATCTCGTATCGAAAGCGATGCTGACAAACGCGATCTCGACCTCGGAGTTCACATCGTCTTCTCTGCTTCTCTTCGATTGCAATTGATATCCATTATATTTTCAGCAATTCTTCGGTGTCGTCGACTTGTTGTATCTTCTTCTTCTTTTGGATATCTCGAGATTCACGAGTTGATGATGACATAATATGAATGTATTACATAAGACACAATCTCTTACATAACCAACGCGAACCTGACGCGTCGACGCGCCTGACGCGATGATGGGATTTAGAGTTTGACGCGAAAACAAGGAAAAAGAAAGATTTTGATAGAGAAAGAGAAAGAGAAAGAGAAAGAGACGACGATGAAGCCACGACGTCATTATTGAAAAGGACGAGAAAGAGAAGTCGATAAAGTATTCAGTATTCAGTCATGGTTGGTCAGGGACCGGCGACAGGCTACGGAGTACAGGCTACATACATACAGGCTAGGCAGAGCACTCCAGACATGGATAACAAAGTGACCGTAGTGTTGGGGAAGAGAAGTAAGGTAAGGCGAGGGGGATATTAAGTATGTTTAGCAGATGGCAGAGAGGTAGATGGAGAAGAAGTAGAAGTAGAAGTGCAAAGGGGGAAAGGGGGAAAGGTGTTGTACAGCAAGACAAGGAAGAAAAGAGAATAACCTGACAAACAAGACCGCCGAGTGTATCTGGTTCATGTATCTGCATCACAGGTAGATCGAACGGAAGGAGGTAGGGAAAAAAAAAAAGAGGAGTAAAAGGAAGAGAAAGCAAAGGATTATATGGGCAACTCCTCGCCGAGCTGTAGTGCTAGACCGGCCGCACTGGACGAAGCAGGGCCAGCATGGGTAGAAGCGTTGTGACGCTTGATCGAGCCTCTGACGGGGCTGGGGGGCGCGAGGGCGTCAAAGTTGAGTCTCTTGCGGACGTCCTTGGTGGTGCGAGGGGTGCGAGGAGTGCGCGAGACAGCTCCCCCGGACGCAGAGGCAGTAGTATTATTAGTAGTAGCCGCAGCGGTGGCGGCGGTGGTAGTGAGCGGGGTGCGAGAGGACCATCCTCGCTGGGCCGGGCTGGGAGTGACGTTGACAAAGTCTGCAAAGTTGAAGGGCTGGGAGGGCGTGGGCGTGGAGAGCAGCTGGTAGGGAGCGGCGTGCTGGGTTGGCGGCGTCGAGGGGAGGAAGTCGTTGCCGCTAGCAGCACCAGCAGCAGTAGTTGTCGTTGTCGTTGTTGTTGTAGTGGCAGGCTTGCCGTTGATGGTTGCTGGCGTGGGCGAGTTGGCGAGGTAGAGGAGCAGGTCTGCGCCGGAGCCTGAAGCTGCAGCGTCGTCGTCTGCGTGGGTGAAGCGGCTGCGTCGGGGAGGCGGCGTGCATGGTTGCTGTTGTTGTTGGTGGTCTTCTTCTTCTTCGTGATGATGGTGATGAAGATGATGAAGATGATGACGCCGGGATGATAGCTGGGGGTCAATGTCGGTGCTGTCGATGTCGGGATCAGGGATGGTGTCTGTCTCGGAGACGAAGGAGGGCATGGCCTGGTAGGTCCGTCGCTGGTGCTGCCGTCTGACCAGGGGGGAGGAGTGCGGCGCAGCGGAGGCACTGCTGCCGCCGTTGAAGGACAGCCGGGGCATTTTGGGGACAGTCTGACGGCGGCGCCCCGAGTCTCCTCTCTCTCCTGCTGTCGCTGCCGCCGCTGCGAGTGCAATGGCCGGATCACAGCGCCGTCTCTTGCGCGAGCTGCCGCCGGAGGTCATGCACTGCATCGTCTTGATGTCGAAGGTGGCGGCGTGTCTGCTGCGGGCGGACCGGGGCAGCTCCCTGCTCAGCATCGGGGAGCGGACGGGCGAGGAGGTGAAGGGCGTCGAGTAGCGGGCGTCTGCCGAGTCCGACGAGGAGCAGTCGGAGCCTGTCTCGCTGGGGAAGCCATTGTGCTGGCCGTAGAGGTGTTGCTGCTGTTGTTGCTGCAGCTGCTGGCTCTGGGGGCGGCTGTCGGCGTCTGAGTCGCTGTCTCTGCGGAGGCCGTGAAGGCGCTCGTAGCGGACTTTGGCGAGTCCCAGCCGGTCCTGGAGATTCAGCGAGACCTACCCAACGTTAGTTACTGGAGAAGAGCAGAATAGAAGAAGAGAAGAAGAAGAAACGAGGCCTACCTGGGCGATGTCAATCTTGTGGATGGCCTTCTTTGCAGAGGCGGAGGGCGAGGTGATGGACATCCCGGCTCGTAATCCAGCGTCCAAGTCGACCAACGCCGTCTTCTCTCTCTCTCTCTTCCTCTGTATCCTTCTCTGTATCCTATCCTCTATCCCGTTCTGTATTTGCTGTCTGTCTGGAGTCTCTGTCTGGAGTCTGTCTGCAGGGTTTTTCTGACGTATCGCGGAGTCAGGGCGCGCCAGCAGCCACAGGGACAACTGCAGCAAATTGACTGCCTCTCTGCCGTCTTTCTCTTCTCCTGCTGTCTCTCTCTGCTGTCCAACTATCTCTGTCTTCTCGCTGCTGTCTGCTTCTCTGCTGTCTGTCTGTGGAGTCTGGCTGTGCTGGCAGAGGAAGAAGAGGAAGAAGAAAAGACAAGCAAATGGAAGACGGCCAGCCACTAAGCAACCAAAGAGCCAACCACTCAGCAGCCGCAGCCAGGACAGGCACAGAAGCCAAAGCGATGCAGGGACAGGGACTTCTCTCTTCCTCTACTATTATCTTTGCTCTATGATCTCTACTCTTCTATCTCTATCTCTGTCTACTTTGTCTCTATCTCTGTCTACTTTGTCAATTGACTATAGATCTATCAATTGACTATCAAATCGTCTCTGTCGACTATTACATTGGCATTGCCACTGCGACAGCCTGCGAGCTGCGTAATGCCGGCCTGAGTCTTCCGCATCTTCCTGCGACGGCCGGGCTGATTGGCCCTGCTGCTGCCCTGCTTGCGCTGGCTTATGCCTGAAATTGCTGAAAAGCTGCCCCAGCAGGCTGCCGTCCCAGCCAATCTGCAGCATCGCTGGCTGCCGCTGCTGGGTCCCTCGATGGAGCTTGCTGGCGTTGCTTTTGGCCGGTGAAACAGGATCGCCCAGAGTCTTATCGTGACAGTCAAGCCGATGAGGTAGAAGCTGTACAGTAGGCATAGATGAGGTAGAAGCCGATGAAGCCGCAAGCTGTAGATAATAGAGATTCAGTCAAGCCGTAGGTAAGACTTAGCTGGTCCTCTTAACGGAGGCCAACTGGGATGCTGCCATCTTTGCCCCGGGGCCAAACTGGATCTCTCCAAGGCCGTCTTCTTCTCCTGCCTGGCTCTTCTCCGTCTCCGTCTCTTGTCTAGCTGTCTCTCCTGTCCGTCCCTCTGGCTGTATCTCTGGCCGTATCTCTCGCGGGCTGTATCTCTGGCTGCTGTTTCTTCTTCCTGCCGCCACCCTCAGGCAAAGCAAGCATGTCCCAGCAGCTCCTCTCCTTTTGCTGCCCTCTGCTGCCCCTGTCTCCATCCTGATCATCCTCGCTGTCTCTTCTCTCTGTCTCGCTGTCTCTGCTGTCTCTGCTGTCTTTTCTGTGTCTTTTCTGCGTGAAAAAGTCCCGATGGTTGAGCCTGCCAGTCGACGCAGGCCAGTGAAGACGTCCTCCTCTTCTTCCCTTAGTCCTTATATATAAATATAAATATATAAACAATAACATAGAAGAAGAGAAGAAGAAGAAGAAAGACATCCAGCTGCTGGTTGCACTGCAGGCTTCACACCAGAAAGACTATTCCCTTCCTGCCTGCTTCCTCCCAGCGTCCTCCCAGGCCTGGTCCGGCTCCCTCGCGTGCCCTCAGCCATCGAAGACTCCAGACATCGAGACATCGTCAGTCGAAGTCGCCCAGCCAAAGGACTCGCGATGGCCTCTGGCTCTGCTTCAGGCGCTGCCTCTGCCGCTGCCTCTGGCCCTGGCGAGAAGAAGAGCTCCGGCATGGGCTTCTTCAGGGAGCTTCGCCGGCGCTCCAAGGCTGGGTTTCACTCGAAGCCGGCATCGCGAGCGCCCACCGTCCCCGTCCCCGTCCACGTCCACGCCTCGCCTTCGCCTTCGCTTCCCTCCAGCAGCGCCGGCGAGTCCCTCGTCAACGGCAGCAGCAGTCCCAGCGGCGTCCTCGTCAACGGCAACGGCAATATCAATATCAATGGCAATATCAATGGCAATGGCAATGGCAATGTCAACGGCAATGGAAATGTCAATGGCATCTCCAAGACGTCGACCGCGGACTCGTCTGTCCACAGCAGCAGCGGGAACACCCCTCCGCCGTCCATCAAGCCCTCGCTGCTCTCCTCCGGCCATCTTCCCTATCAGTCCAAGTCTGAGGGATGGCTGCCGCCGCCGCCGCAGCGCACAGTGCCCATCTCCTCGCAGTCGTGTCGAAACAGCATGCTCGTACGTATTTTATACTTGTTCTGATAGCAGTGATAGCAGGCTAACAACTCGCCCAGGGCGTCAATCCAAGCGCCGCCAGCTCGACCAAGAACATCGCTCCCAGCTCGCCGCTCGCCCCCCGAGTGCTCTCGATATCCGACAACTCCTGGGTCAGTGAGACAAGCCGGAAAAAACGAAGAGACAGATGCTAATAATAGGTGTTGCTCTAGGTCAACCAGAAGCTGCTGCTGCTGTACGGGACGATAGGCGACCGAGACCCCCAGAAGACCCCCCTCGATGGCAGCATCACCGTCCACCACCTCCAGGACGCCTCCTTTCCCGCCATCTCCTGGCCGGTCCGCGCCTCCTGCTTCAAGGCCCTCGTCCACCTCGTCCCGGGGCCCAACCGGGTCCGTCTCGAGTACGTCTCACCCAAGCAGGCCCCCTCGGCGGCGCCCCATACCGCCTGGATCAACGTCAACTACCTCCCGCTGGCCAACTCGCCGCCGCTGCAGCTCGCCATCCTGCTCGGCTCAGACTCCCAGGCACACTACGACGCCGCGCCCGCCAGCAGCAAGAAGGCCGCCAACGACCTCGACCATGCCGTCCGCAAGTTCAGGATGGCCGCCTATCTCTGGCAGGCCTTCACCGGCGAGCAGATGTACAGACACAACTTTGGCCGCAGATGCTTCCACTTCGAGGAAGAGTGGCAGACCGGCAGCCTCAGCGGGCGAGACCCCGAGAACAGCATCATGCGCAGCGAGGCAAAGGTCCATATCATCCGCTGCGACCAGACCGTCCAGCAGCTAAGAGCACTGAGCAGTGCATCTACTTCTACTTCTACTTCTACTGAAGACGGCCTGTTCAAGGTCGCCATGGACGCTGTGCGCAAGTACTTTGACCTGCGTCCCGGAGAGCAGCGCTACGTCTCGGCCCTCTTGCTCGACACCCACTGGGACAGCAACACCAAGTCCCTGACGGCTCATGCGGCCCTGGGATCCTCGCAGTCCGCCGATCTCAAGCTCGCCCTGTTCGGCTCCCACGGCCTGCACAGCTACCCGGCCTGTCTCCAGGATATCGTCCCTTGCTTCTCAGACTGCGCCCGCACAGACACCGCCTACGTTGCCAACCACAACAACGAGTGCGGCAGCAACTGGGAGACCGCCAGCTCCTCGCTCGGCCGCCACCTGCACGAGGTCGGCCACCTCTTCGGCTGTACCGACTCAGACTCGGGAATCATGGGCTCCGACTACCTGCGTTTCAACCGCACATTCATGACCTGGGAGCCCTACTCGACTCGCACCAAGGAACAGGGCGCTCGTCTGCTCCTCCAGCCAGACGAATGCCGCTGGAACCGTCTCGACGCCCTCAGATTCCGCTTCCACCCTTGCTTCAAGATGCCCAACGACCCCAGCTGTCCCTCCTCAGACATCATCCAGCTCTGGTCCGTCGACGGCGAGAAGATGCTCGCCACCTCCAGTGCCGGCATTGCCTTTATCGAGATCTTCACTGCCTCACAGACTGATACCCCTGCTGCCTTTATCGAGTACGTCGATTCCAGCGCAGGCAACAGCGGCATTCCAAAGGAAGCCAGCTTCACAGAGGCCGAGATCAGAGCCCAGCTGCCCGACAGCTCCAGAAAGTCCAAGCTCGTCCGTCTACGCATCTACTCGGGCTGTCTCTCCGTTCTCAACGTCCCAGACCTCTCCGTTCTGACTGCCAGCAAGGCCAAGGACTGGTGCGTCAAGATACCCACCGTCACCGGCAGTGAACAGGCAAACTACCTTCCATACATGCCGCCAGACACTCTGCAGGGCTCTCTAGAGAAACAGGACGTCTTCTTCGAGACAAACAAGCCTGTCACTACGATAAGAGTGTATTCAACGGAGAAACCCGGTTCGGATCCTGGCGGTTCGTCCAGGACAACAATTGCAGGCATTGAGTTCCGCTATGAAGACAGCAGCAGCCAGCTCTTTGGCTCCAGGGGGCAGGCCATGATTGACGACGAATACACAATTGGTAAGTTCTTCTCTCACCTCTTCTCTCTACTTTGACTATATCTAACTGCTTAGAATCACGGCGAGGTGAAATGATGATGGGCTTCCATCTCCGCGCCGATAAAGACGGAGTACACGGCATTGGGATTCTTACTAGTTTCGGGAGACGGTCTGGCGTTTATGGATGTTCCAAGGCAACTCAGGGGTATGTCCACACTCCCTACTCTCCTACTTTATGTTTGTCAATGCTAATTTCTCCAGTGGCACTCTGGTCACCCCCAAGGGTTTTAGAATAACGGGAGTCACAGGCACCGTAGGCACAGGCATGAACCCCGGCATCATGGGATTTTCTCTTATCATTGCGCGATAGACGGGAGGGAGGCATTCGTCTGCATCTAGATCGTTCTCAACCCACTCTACTACTTACATCACCAAGCATCAACAATGCCAATCCCTGCACCCCGTACATACCAACGGATTTTTTCTGGTACGCTAAGGGAGGTTCATGCTGCGCTATGGCTACACTACGCTGCGCCGCCTCTACCATCGAACCCATGGATCGGAGCAGCATCCATAACTCAACCCTTGCATATTTGATTTGATTCGACTTTCACTACTACATTCTTCTGTTTTTCTTTTTTTTTTCTTACACTCTTCACTGGCACCGACCCTCAGGCCCAGCATCAAGCTAGCCAGCCTACTTTTTTCCCCCCCAAATCCTCCTAACCTCCCCCTCCCCCCTTTTCTTTCAATCAATCTCTTCTATCTACATCCGGAAACGCGAGCACGTCCTCCATCCTTCTTCTCCACTAACTAACACTAATCCCTTCCCCCCCTTCCTCGAGGCTCGTGCACCGTACCAAACATTCCATGATCGCTGGAGGCTCAACTCACGACAACCAGACGAGACCAGCAGCTAACAACGTCCAGACTTGAGCTCCTTTTTTTTTTTTTTTTTTTTTTTTCCCTTTTCTGCTTCTCTTTGTTATCCTTGCTGCCTTCTGTTCACTTATCATTCGACGTGCAATGAGCGGGGGAGGGAGGCGGAGGGAGGTTACATCAATTACACCTTTACACGGTCCATCTATCTCGATCACCGATCTCAAACCGTGGATTGGCTGCACGACCCAGACTCGTACCCCCCTCTCGCTCTGCTGCGTTACTTCTTCCCTTTCCACGCTTTTACTCTGCTTCCTTTACTCGGTACATCGTCGGCTTTTTTCCCTTTGGCTCATTTACAATTCCCCCGGTGCATAAGCATGAGCATGAGCATGAGCCCGGCTCGGCTGGGCTCCCTTTCGTCGCGCCACCCCTTTTCTCATTTCTCATTTCGCCCGTCTCGACCTGCAACCTCCCGTCCGCTCTAATCAAATATCACACCAGGCAACAACCCAGCCACACAGCATTAATTCCAAATTCCAAAAAAAAAAAACTTCAAAATTAAAACGGCATCTAGGGAGGGGGGAAATACCAGGGAGATGGGTAGGCTTTGTGGTAAATTATGGGAGGACTAAGCCTAATACTGTTCCTTTTTTTCTTCCTCCTTCTCCTGCTTCTGCTTCCTTCTACTTCTCTTCTGTTTACACAATATGGAGCATGTGGTTTGTTCTGTTCTTGTTACCTACCAACCTACTTACACTCTGTTCTACTTTACTTCTTACTACTTCGCTTCTGCTCTCTGCCGTTCCTAGTTGCATTACATACTTACTTAACACCCCCTGGACGGTACCAAACAAAAATACTATGATCAAATGACTTTTGCCTTTTACTATCTGCTCCTGTCTTTCGCCTCCTATACGGCTCTCGTCTCGTCTTGTCCCGTCTCGTCTCGTCTCTCCTTGCCTGATGTGTGTTTGCTCTACACGTCGTCTACCTGTCTGCCCCTGCCTGCCGACATGTCTACCACGCCAGCCGTCTGCCGACCAGACTTGATCGACCTTTGACTTGATCTCCAGCATCGGCATCTAGTTCTTATCCCGCAGCAGCAGCGTTGTGATATCACTCACATCAGCAGAAGCAAAAAAAAAGGGGGAGGGGATGCGAATCCCTCCCTCCCTCTCTCTCTCTCTCCCCCTGTTTGTGTATGTGTATGTGCGTATATGATCAGCGGACTCTCCCTAACCACGGTACGTGCACTGCGCTCTACCAAACGGACGAATCTCTGCCGAACGATCTCAAAAGTACCTAACTTATGTACATCATAACTTACCACCATCTATCCAGCCAGCCAGCCAGATAGCCAGCCAGATAGATTAGCAGGCGAGGGCGCAAAGCAGCAACATTTTATGCTTTGGACGAGCGCTACCTTTGCCCCTTTTTGAGGCTCCGTGCGAAAGCTACAGCCAGTCATCGACATCCAACACTCTAACTATCTATCATTCTATTTACCCATTCTTGGGTCCTTATTTTCAGTTCGTCGATTAACCGATCACGCTAAAACACGTACGTACTTCACCTGCCTACATACCAGCCTGCCTGCCTACCTTACCTAGACCGGCGTGATCAATGATGGTGCTGGAGCTGGTGATGCCGTGTTCTGTGCCGGGCCATGGCTCTGGAGCTGGATCTCTGGTCCCTCACCCTCCAGACTGAGATCAAATGAGATCGGCCTGCGTTTTATGGTTTGGGTTTGGGGATCGGGGTATTAATTTGCTCTGTTTTTTTTTTTTTTTTTCCGCATCTGTTCAGAAGGCTGGCTGGCCGGCTGGCTGGCTGGCTTGGGTGGATGGGTGTACAGATGTCGATATAGGACGCACGTAGTTGTACTATCTGCTTCCAAGTTCGTTCCTCCAGCAAGCAGGACAAGCATCGATGCCAGCCGGAGAGAGCACTTGTTGAACTAGTTAGTTATCTGGAGGGAGGCACTCTCACATGCAGTAGTGGCTGATCTGGGTATCTATCAGGTGGTGGCACGGCTCGCACCGCCCAATGCCTGCGCCACAGGTCACTAGACACTCGAAGGACTATAGGGGCAGATCCGTTACTCCCTCTCCTCTCTTGGCTGCTGGCTGGTTTGATAGACGCGAGCACTGATTTGCGGATGGCTGTGTGGGGAGGCAAGCAGCTAAGGGGAGATCGGGGATCGAGAGTGCATCATGCAGCCTGCCTGCAGGACCAAGTGCCTCGGATGCTGTGTTCCCTTTCCCTGTTTAAAGATGCAGTCGACATAGCAACTCATTATTCAACACATTCTGCAGACCTCTTGTCTTTCTACTAGTTTCGCTGGTGGGTGGCTACTCGTAGGGGAGAGGGGGGTGTTGGATACGTCAGGTACGCTATTGCTTATGATGAGATGCCATACGCTGCATAACTACTGCATATACATTTGAGACGGGCTTCCCGAGAGCCGGAGAGACATGTCATGCCCACTGTGCGTGGGGGCTCCAAGGGAGAGGGCAGATAGCCGGCAGCAAACGGGGGAATAGGAAAAGCAGAAACGAGCTCGAGCCTGAGTCGACGCATGGGAGTGGTCAAATCCATCTTTTTTTTTCTGACATTGGATAGCTTTTGATAGTGGTCAGTTGGGCCCTGCATGGAGAACCCCTGAGTCAGGTAAATGCCCTCTATAGTTATGCCTGGTGGGACAGACAGACAGGCATGAGATACCACAGCAGCATCAACAAGAGCATCAACAAGAGCAACAACAAGAGAGACGGTCTGTCCATGCCGAAAGCCTAGATTGGGCTTCTGCTGTTTCTTTTGCGTGCTTCTTTTTCTACGTGTTCCCTCATTATTGTTTCTTTCCGTCCGCCGGCTTCAAACTCTCGCGCCTTGTTTTAACGTCAAAAAACAACCTTCCGGGAAGGATATCCAGAGAGTGTCTCTAGGGTAGACAGAGGGAAAAAAAAGAAGAAAAGCAGTTAATACTGCACGCTATCTCTCTCTATCTCTCTCTATCTCTTATTTTATTTTATTTTTTCTTCTTTCTTGGATGCTCCATACTCGTCCTCCCAGGTTCCAGGTATCCGTGTAGAGCGTTGGAACCATATCCCAAAATTTAGGTACCGGCGACGGGAATGGTGCTTTGATGGCAGCGACAGAGCCAGGTCCCTGGACACAGCTCCCAATAGCATATCTGTTTCCCCGCAGAAAAGGCTTCCTTTTCCTTTTTTTTTGCTGCGTTTTCGATTCTTCCCATTGTTGAAACCCCCAATATTCCCTGCTCCATCTCCCCCCAAATACCGGGAGGGTGGGCCTTATCCGCTCGTCTTGCAGCTCTCCCGGGAAGCGAGCAGATGAAATTGCAATTCAATCGGACTTGGGTCAGGGAATTTAGTCAGTAGTTGATGGGGTATGAGGAACACTCCAGTCCTCGACCGATACGAAAATGGCAGCAGGGAAAAGAAGATGAGAAAGTGCAAAAAAGTAAGACAAGAAGAAAAGGAGAGTTTATCCGCTGAATCTGTTAACCTTCTTCTGCTTCTTTTTTTGGGCTCCATAATATAGTTCTATCGATCGCGGAGTCTGTACGGAGGAGTATCTGTGAGGTATCCTGCTCGTGCGGGCCAGGTGCAACCTCTACCCGACCAATACCCTTAATTCTCAGGGGGCTGAACAGATATCCCTATTCGTTTCTTGGTTGTGGCGAGGGAGGTGAAGGCTGATTCTAACTGGCTGGGACGATCAACCGAGCATGCGAAATATCCTCCGCCTCTGCCACAAGTCTTGCTTTCTTTTCCCCCCTTCTTTGCTCTCTCACTCTCTCACTCTGCCCCTAAACTCCTCTCGTTAAGGCCAAACGGGGGAGGGAAAGGGAGATCAGGGTCCTGAAGAAAGGCTGCTCGAGCAACTAGACCAGCCACACCTACCCCCACAACAACCTGGAGACGGAGAACTGTGCTTAGGGCATGGACATGGACATGCACACGGCTAAGCCAGACCCACCACGGGAGAAAAAGGAACGAGCTAAGGAAGCTTTTGTGGGGGGTTTGAGGAGGGAAGGATTGGAGAAGGTATCTTTTTTGCGGAGGGAGTGCATACGAGTTATCTCACGGTAGAGAGACAGCCAGATAGGTAAGCAGATAAGGCAGAAGGCGGAGAGAGAGAGAGAGAGACCAGCGATGCAACTGAAAAAAAAGAAAAGGCAGCTTTGATCGAAAAGTTTGGTTTGGTCTGTGGGTGGTACATCTCTTTTCTCATTGCTTTTTGCTTTAGTTATGATCATTGTTGCGGATGTTGCTTTTTTCTCCTTATTTTCAGTTTCCCAACCTGATGCCCTACCGTTTTAGGTAAATTGTCCCCCTTTGCTCTCAGACTGGTGAACAATGCTCGCTCACTAGCTTGATAATACCGCCTGTCGATGAAAAGGCAGTGAGTGCTGACTAGAGGAGTGTCTCGCAAGAATGGAGCAAAGTGCTCCATCTCCCAGTCTGATTTCAACATGCGGACGAAGCTCGAGAAGATCTAGGCCGGGGACGGCACTTGACTGGCTTCTCTGCCGTCCTTGCATTCCCTTGTGTCTGCCATCTCTGTTTCTGTATGCATGTCCCCCCCATGAGACACATAGCCCAGACGAGCTACAGAGGAGGGTATCGCAGACTGTAGGGAGTAAAGTTTGTGTGTACTGCGTGTGTGTTATTTCTCTCCTTTCTATCCTCGGCCTGGGCGGCAGGTGGACCGCATGTGCCTTCTCCCTATGACCCCAGGATTCGCAGCAACAAAGTCTAGAATCGAGAAGTTAATAATAGATGGAGGAAAAGCCACGTCCATGAACACCCACACGGTACGGCGGGAAGGTCACTGTTGTTCTGTCCTCTGTTCTCCGCCCACGTACATAACCCATCCACAATACCTAAATCGATGGCTGGCCCATGGGCGGTAGATCTGTGGAGGAGGAGCCACCATCAGCAAACAATTCCTCACTTTTCTTCTTCCTCTGCTTTCTTTTGCTCTCCCTCTGTCTCCATGGCTCCAGCTAGAGGGAGATCATCCGTCGCCCAGGTGGGATCCTGGAGGGAGGTCTTGAGCCCGCAGGGCAGCGTAGATAACCAGATAGACTGAGCCACAGGCTGTCTAACGAACTAGTAGCTTCATAGAGCTCCCTGCTAGTTACCTGTCTGTCCTCCCCCGCGCCCCGCCTCCCCTATCTCGACGGACAACCTTTTGATCCGATCGGCCCTGGTAGACAAAACACCCGATCGGTGTGTGTAGGTAAAGAGTCAGGCAGCAGATCCTGGCCCACAAAACACGACTTCATGTGTGGCCCGGACCACGGCAAGAAGAAGTGGCTCAGTTAGCAATGCGGCTGGAGCTATGGCCTGCAATCTGGATAAAGCAGAAAAGCAAACTCCACGGCATGAGCTGGCTTGTTTGAAGTTGAACTTCCGCTTTGGACGAGCTATAGCTTCTGCGCGGCTATATCTGATACGCCCTTATGGAGTTGGTGTTTACCAAGCCGTTGATATAGTTATAACACAAGTAGTTTAAGCTCAACACCAGAAGAAATAAGTTCCTCAGAGGCCCTTCTAAGGGAGAGAGGGTCAAATTGTCTTCCCAGTCATGTCTTTCATTCTTCTTTACCGGATATCAAGAGTTGAAGTGCCTCTTTCAGAGAGCAGGTGGACAGGAGAGAATGGAGACGACAAGAAAGGCTTTGGAATCAATCTTCATCCGTCGAAGAGATCGAAACGAAACAATCGCTTTAGGAACCTCGATTGTTTCGCCACCTCTTCGGAGATGCCCGCCCTCGGATAATTTTGTTTTTGTTTTTTTTTCTTCTTCTTATTCTTTGCTTTCTTTTTCGCTGCCGCTGCTCTGTTGGCTAGTCGGTTGGGCCTTGAAGTTGATAACTCCTCAGGCTAACTAATGGCTTGTCAATCGGAAATCGGAGTGGAAGCGGAGGCAGAAGCCTTGGGCTGTTTAGCCATCCGCCATCCAGCAGCGTGGAAAGTGTAAAAAAGAGAGTGAGGGTGAGAGTGAGAGTGAGAGAATGCGAGAGAGCAAAAGAAGAAAAGAAAGAAAAATGCGAATATCGCAGTTATCGAGGAGGAAGTTTTAAATCGGACTCGGTGAGCTTTGCTGCATCGCCAAATGGCCATGAAGGGACTGGTGGTCTTTTGGCTCCAACTTGCCTTGCCTTGCCTTGCCAAATTGATGCCTTGCCATTTCGCTTCCTCGCAGGACGAAGAGGGAAAAAAGAAAATGGGCACCGATTTGATAATAATAGTGAGAGATATAGGCAAGGCAGGGCTTGAGGTTCTCTGGATCTACAGATCTGTAGCATGGAGCTACCTCTTGCCCAGAGCGAGTCGTGGCTCGGCTGGAGGTACCACTCGGTTATTCTCCAGCTTCGCCGGGATGTAACTGCGTATCCGAAGACCGTTATCGAGGTTTGTTTCTATGGAGTATCCGGATATACTTAGCTGTGGTTATACGGGACAAGAAGAGAGGTGGCCTGAGATGTTTATACCTAAGTTATTCCCAGCCCTGACAATAATAGATATCTTAACCTCCCTTAGTGACTTTTTTCAAAACTTGGGATGCGTCGCTCATGAAACAAACCTATAGCATGTCAGTTAATAGCTAGCAAGTTAGTCGATTCAATGCACATGTCAGAATCGAGGGCGTCGTGCATCGTGCGGTGTGTTTTGTTTTTTGTTTTTCGTTTTTTTTATTTTTTTTTTATTTTTATTTTTTTTTTTTCTTCTGCTTCCGTCGTTTCTTTTCCTCTATTATTATACCCGTCGACACTTTTAATCTCCCTTACTTGCAACAACGTCCCGGACAGAAGGCGAGAAGGGAGAAGTAAGATGAAGATCCAGACGACCGAGCGGGATGACAATATTAACATACTGCTTGCTGGACGGTCTCGAACTCGACAAAAGTCAAGGGCCAGGGAGGCAGATGGGGGAGTTGTTCTCGGCCCATCTGCCAACGGACAGCACACGGCTCAGGAGACGGCCTGGTTGCGGTCAAAGCGAGAGGCAGTGACTGGCTGACTTGCATGGAACTACCATAACTAGCTAGTTAGCTGCCTGTCGATATAGTAAGAAAAGAATTTAAGTGACAGGGGGGAGGCTCGTGTTAGGCCTCGCAGATAAGTCGTTAAAGGGATAGGGGTTGGAGAAGGATGTACAGCATACCTAGTCTCTGGTACTCCCAACCACGGGTTCAGATGTAGTTGACACATGTAAAATATGTAGCTCTCCGCAAAGTAATCGAGTGCCAAAGAGGTATCTTAATCTGCGGTCTGCAAGCTTGGGATTAAGCTCGTAGCTCGTCCGCCGGCAGTCTAAGTAAATTGAGACCAGCCAGAGTAACCATCACCCCGTATCTCGCCTTCTCGCCTTCTATGGCTGGCTCACTCTCTGACTTGCTTCTCTCTGCTTCTGTCTCTTGTCTCGAATCCAATTATGTTGTGTAAGGAATTAATGTAAGGGTTCAGTTGAGATTGCAACTTTCTTCCTCCCATCGAACATACAGTACTTGCGTGTCTTCCTCTTTTCTTTTGCTTCCTTTTCTTCCCTCTCTCACTGTCCATTTGTTCTAATTCCTTTTTCCGCATTTCTTCTTCTTCTTTTTTACCCTCTTCTTTCATTTTCTGCTTTTCTTTTTCCTCAGATTGATTTTCAGGGTCCAGGAGCGATTTAGAATATGCTTAGCAGCCATGCGAAATCCATCCCAAAGAAGCAAGCTGTGCCAGACCGCAGGTTGGGCCCCGGTATGGCGGCGATTCTCGGCTTCCAAGGAGTAATAGGAGTGAGAAAGCAGAATAGACGGCAGGCCATAGTTTTGTGGTGGCTCTTCTTTTCTTTTCTCCGTCCTTCCCGCAATACATGGCAGGCTAGTTAGGTGAGTAACTCCTCCGTGAGTAAGTATGGAGTTATGTATGTATGCCACTAGCTCCCCCGCAAAGAGATGCGAGGAAGATCGACAGTTATATCCACCGGGGGTTGAAGAAGGGAGACGCAGCAAGAAGCAGCAGAAAGGAAGAGAGAAGTAAGAGTAGAAAGGGAAGATCCTTCTCCGGTCCTGGTCTCTCCCTCGTTGCTTTTTGGGCTTCCCGCGGTACACTGCATGTCTTGACCCTCCTTAGCCTTTTTTTTTTTTTGCTAGCTACGGGAACAGCACTCGAGCCACTCTCTTGTCTGTGGGCAGCTGGTGGCAGTGCGGTTCGATATCGATGTCGACGAACTATGAGGTTATCGTGGATCCCTGGCCGGAGTTCACGGAGTTCAATTGGACTGTTGCAGGAGCACAACAAGAAGAAAAGGAAGAGGAAGAAGAAGAGGTGTCGAAGGCCCCAGACGGCCGATTCCGATCGATCTGCCACGGATATGCGTATTATAGCTGGAGCCGTTAGTTAGCATAACTAAGCCCCCCCCCTTGTGGACTCCGGATTATATGCAGCATATTAGATAACACTGGCCAGCGTCAGCGCAGCTATAGCAGACCTGTATACATCCGTACTTAGGGCAGCTATAGCGTCCGGAATATAGATGAAGGGGGACAAGGGCCGCCGTAGAGAATAGAGTAATGAAATCCGGAGCATGGGCTTCAGCGCTCTCCACGGGCTCGCATGACATGACCTATCTCGAACATTCATGCGCCGCGGCGAAGAACCGTGGGAAGAAGAGGCATGCCAGGACACGTAGACGTCGACAGGTCCGTGGGGAGCTCGCATCTGTCTCCGTGCATCAGAATCGGCATCAGCATCAGCATCAGAATCAGCATCATCGTCATCATCGTCATCCCGCAACGAACGTCCTGGAGTTATGCTCTGGCCATGACGAAATAATGGGAACCACAACCAGAGTTAGCAGTTAGCTCGCAGGACGACGTCTTAACTTAACTGCTAGTCGTGAGTTAGATGGATAGTTAGACTACACGGGAGAGAGATGTGAAACCCACCGCGAACTCTCTGGCAGCCAGTTGCTAAAAGGTCGGGCGACCCCCAACCTGCGTGCTCCCCCATCCCCCACCTCCTCTGCCGGTCGTATTGGCCCTCGAAGCCCATCGAGGTGGAGCTGGCGTTTCTCTCCCGCACGCTCGCTGCAACCTGACGTCATGGCGGGCGCCCGTCTCCGTCGCTCACTGGCTGGCCGGGGGGTTTATGCTCGCCGGACTGACTGGAGGGGGGGGTGGACAGTGGACAGTGGACAGCGGACAGGGGACAGGGGGACTGGGGACGCCGGACTGGACTGGCTGGCCCAGATGTACTTACGCTTTTTGCACCCAACTCTGGCGCTGCCCTCTGCTGGCTTCGATATGATTTCACACTGACTTCACACTGACTTACATAACCGTCGGTCGGGGCAAGGAACAGGGACGCCAGGACAAGGGGGCCGGGGGCCGGGGGGGGGGGGAGTTCTTCAGGGGTCAGGGATCAGGGATGCGCAGATAGGCTTTAGGGCTCTCGCCTGCCAGGCCTGCGAGTGGTGCGCCTGTCCAGAGGGCTGAGGAAGTGACATAATAGCACCCGGCAACTAAACCTCCTCGAGTCGAGGTCGAGTCTCTGGCTACCTAGCTGATGCACGATCGGGAATAGAAGACAAAAAGGGTTCGGGATGGCGAAAAAGGAGGATGGGACCCCCGGGTGTTCCACAGGCGTCTTGGGCTGCAAGAAATCTCCATGATGCCGAAGAGTGATGACGCTGCTGAAACGACGGTGCTACTGGCCCTGACGCACGTAGGATAGTTAGCCGGCTGCATGTAAATATGCGTGTGCATGAGGGAGTGCATGAGTGACCGAGTGCGGGTGTTGCTTCTATATGTTGGGGTTTGGTTATAAGAGGCCCGGGGAACGATATCAGATCGCGATGCATGCATGTAACTGGTAGATATATATATATATAAACCATATACACGCTTGGCTGCCATCTAGACGCTGTTACTTCGTTATTACACTGCGAGTCAGTTATACTGTAGTTGGTCGGAGTCGATGTCAATAATGGCGATCGAGTCTGCTTCGGCTATTCTCCTGTCTCGGCAATTGTCCCCCGGGCGTCAGCTAGCCATGAGTATATCCCGACAGAGTCTGGGTCTGTCTGTCTGCAAATCTCTGTCTGCAATTATAGTTATCTGCCTGTCACCCTGGTTACATACTTAGTTTATCAAGCAGATCGTGTTGACATGGCACACGTGTAATGTATGACTACACCTGGGGAGATAAAAGGGCCTGCGATAAGAGGGTACAGCTCTCCCCCCTTTTATCCTCTGCATGTATGTACATATATGTGTATGTATATAAGGGGTTGCATCTACAGTCTGCTGTTGATCCCAATTGAACATGGAGAGAAGTCTCGTCCTGGTTCTTCACCACGCCCGACTATCGACATGGATAAGGTCTCGACATGGATCTCCCCGTCTGCCTGTCTGTCTGTCTGTCCGTCTTCTGCGCCTCCTCGTACCCCCCCATCCCTACCTTGAGAACCGTGCAAAGTCAAACCACAACCGCATATCAGTAATTAAATTTAGTAAAAAAAAAAAAAAAAAAAGGACAGCATCCAATCCTTACCCGCAGATACTCCGTACATCGAGGCAATTCACCCAACCAACGACTGTAGCTCTCCTGCCTGGCCTTATCTGCGTCTACGAAGTTTCTAGCGGCGCATTAGTTAGTTACTTGTCGCAAGGGAAAAGTAAAAAAGAAAAAAAAAAAAAAAAATAAGGAGACAAACGAGGCAGCGAGGGGAATGTTTTCCCTTCCTCGGCAGCGCATATGCTGACAGCCCTGGGTCCCTCTTATTTACAGTATTCTGTCCGTCGACTGTGCTCTCGGTACTTCTCGCTCGCTGCTGTCCCGGAGATATTGCCAACCGATCTGAGATTCAGTTTGGCGCACGGTTAGCAAGCTGTGCAGAAGTCAACCTGCAGGTAAGTTGAGCAGAGGCCCAGCACAGCACAGCACGGGAACTTTGCACAGGGGCGGGCGGTTTGACTGATTGACTGATAGACTGATAGACTGATTGATTGATCGATCGCTCGATCCCGCCGGTTAACTGATAACCAGTTAAGGAGGGCGCCTCCTGATAGACGGGGTGACAGAGTTACAAACGCCCGGTAGTCCAAGCAGTTTAGTTATATGATATGAATGCTAATTCATCCCGTGCACAGGGAGTGGTGACGTCGACCATTCGTTGTGGAAGCCTCCTCTTGTCAACGATCGATCGACGCCACAAGAGTGTGTTTTGGGCGACAGTTATTTATTCATCAATCATATATCACCGTCCGTCCACTGGCATCATTGCTCTGCACTGCAGAAGAAAGGGAGGGAGGGTGTGCGTGTGCGTGCGAGTCTGTTTCTTACTAGGGGGACCCAGGCAAAGGAAAAGGGGGGTGGTAGGGGGTGGTAGGGGGTGGTTTGATAGCGTGGCGAAAGCTGCGAAGCGTAAGTGTAGGGCAGAGTGGACACAGAAATGGTCAACCTCCGACCGTTGGGGCTTTATTATCATAGCTTCGTCCCTCTTATAAGGCAGGGATGAGATGCCGACGGTCGTATTCTGATAGCCCTACTCGACTGCCAGGCTGCTTGAAACAGACGAGGTGTTGCATCACTCGGTGTATGCTCGTGGGCGGCGCGGCGTTGCGGCCGCGGATGGAGGCCGCGAAAGGGAGCGAGAGCCCACGGCGGTCTCGGTCTCGATGGCTCTGCCTCAAGGGCGGCTGCTCCGTACCCCGTATCGTATCCATGCATTCCACGCCCAAGCAGAGAGCACGGAGCCAGACTCCAAAAGCTAGAGCTGCAGACCAGAAACGAGTCCAGCGGACGGGTGCTGGGAAAAGAAGCGCATCTGAGATATACACTGAGATCAGGGAGCTCGATGGCGTCAAGGGACCCCCACAGATAGTTATGTCCCCATCGACGCTATGGGCTCTCGCTGCGTCTACTTGTCATATATATTACGGAGTACGGAGTATTCGTTCATTCATTCATTCATTATTCATCAATTCATCCATTCACTGACCAGAAGCCCAGTCCGGGGCCGTCAAAAAGGCCAAAAAAGGGGATGATGTATCAAACTAGCATCGACTCCCAATTATCAACGCCAATATCAACCCAACAGCAGTATCAGAAGCATCAGAAGCATCAGAAGCAACAGACGCAGACCAAAGGCCGTGGCTCGCCTGGCCCTACGAGGCCTGTGGCGGCGCATCTCCACATCTTGGGCTTCCTTTTTATCCTTTTTTCCTTCTTTTTTGCTTCTTTCCTTCGTTTCTTTTTTGGCTTTTCTCTTCTCCCTTTCTGCTCCAAATCTCCACCCTTAACTATAAGTTGCTAAGTATCGAAAATATATGTGGCGTGTGTGGCAGTGCGAGGGCTATGGGTATCCGCCTCAGCCAGTTGTATGGACGGAGTAGACGAGCAGGCCGAGGGAGCAACGGAGAAAGAGGAGCCTGCTGGGCCCTTCGCCGGGGAGATTCTTTGGCTCCGAGGCAGAGCCAGACGACGCAGACGAGCCCTTCGGAAACATGGTACGAGAGGGGCTGCAGTACGGAGAACAAGGGCGCTCTGGAGAAGCAGGAGAGCAAATTGTGGCGAACCAGACGCTGAGGGCGAAATTTGATTGTAAGCCGTGAATCATTCGTCATTTCAACTAGTCTGATGGGACGGACGAGCGCATCGCGGAGGGTCTGTAACAATGTAGAAGCGAGCGAGAGACATGGAGAGCCGACCTTAGTTAACGCAGTTTGACCGTAAGAGATAAAAGTAATAAAACAACAACAACAATTATTATTATTAACAGTAACAATAACAAGATGGTTAAACTATGGGAAGAACCATTCGAGAACACTTTACAGTGTGCGATGCTTGTACCACCCCGTCTTCCCAGGAGCAGGAGCAGGAGCCAGCCATATTATTATCCTCCGCCTGGGAAGAATAGAAATGGAAAACCCCAGTTTCTCGGCCCTTTTTACTCCTGAACTCTCTCTTTTTCTTTTGTGTCTGTCTCCCGTAGGTTAACTAACTTGCGAGCTACTCCAGAGGAAGGTAACTGGGACTGGGAAGGTTATCGAAACGAACGGCCCCCCCGTAGAGCAGCATAGTTGTAGTAGATTGGCTCGTTCGACGCCTACGATGAAGCAGCAGCAGCAGCAGCAGCAGTGCAAGTAGTACCTGGTACAACACCTCTGATGTACCTCCCTACTCCTCCTCCTCCTCCTCCTCCTCCTCCTCTGCCTCCTCCTGCTTCCCCCCGTTTTACCCTGTCTCTCCTCTCCTCTTCTCTCGACCCCCGCCATAGTCGCCCTTTATATACCAGGAACCAGGGTCTGTAATAAAAGTCAACTGCCGACCAATCCCGTCAGGCCCCTTTGCTGTCCTCTCTCGTGGTTGTTCATCGTAGACGCAGGCCTACCAAATCAACTGACTTGCGCAAGGTGTGGTTCTGCAACAACGGACTCTGCGCGATAGTGCAAAGACTAGCTAGTTAACTAGCTACCAACTTGATAGACCGTCCCCTACCAAAAAAAAAAATTCACCGACCACCACCACCACAACCACCACAACCACCACAACCACAACCACCCACTGGCTGCTACGTAACCAACTACCACAACCGCCGAGGCGATGAACATGAACAAACACCGAAAAGTCCCCCAAGTACCTTTTGAGCGGCGAAAAAAGGGCCATCGAGCCAAGCTTCTCTGCCTCCGTCTGGATCGGCCAATCACCCCCGAACCCAACCTGCCCTCCCCCGGTCTGGAATGATGGAATATAGCATCATGGGTGGCTTGCTCCTCGGATCGTCTCTCTCGCACAGGAAGGAAAAAGGAACATCACGGCCTGGTGGATGCTCAGTCTTCGAAAGCATAATCCCATCCATCTCCCTCTCTCTCTCCGTTGCTTTTTCCTCGCTCATGCAACCTTGCTTTTCCTTCCCTTGGTCTTCTGGCTTTTCTTTTTTGCAAAACACCCTCCATAAAAAGCAAATCAGAGTTGCAAAAAGAATAAAAAGAAAAAAGAGGACAAGAAGAGATCGAAGGGGGAGAAGGAGAAGCGCAGCAGGAGATTATTAGTTGGTGTCTAGATGGACTGCGTGAAAGAAACGAACAAACCGGCCAGACCAGACGACGAGACGAGACGAGAGACGGAGAGAGGGAGTGAGTAGTGACACGCTTGCCCACAGAGAGAGAGAGACAGAGAGACAGAGACAGAGAGAGAGGGAGAGAGAGGACGGAGCTCCGTGAAAATGACATAGCTGTGGCCCCACCGGTTGCCTTTCTTTTCTTCTTCTGCTTCTTCTTTTCTTTTCTTTTCTTCGTTTCTTTTCTTTTCCCGCTCTGCTGCTGCTGCTATCGTCATTATAGTTAATTTCGGACTCGCTGAGAACTGTTGTTCTTCTTGTTGATTGATATTTATTCGGACTCTCCTCCTGCTGCTTGCCGGGCCTGCATCTCATTCCCTCCCAATCAACCCCACGGGCACCGGGCCAGACGATACCATCCCTGACCAGGATCCTGCAAAGAAGACATACTATATTAGATACCGTCCGGGAAGCGGTTCCTTACAAATATATCTTTAATCGTCTTTTCGTCTCTTTTTTTCTTTGGTTTATTTTTATATTTTTATTTTAAGCTCTTTTTCTCTTCCTCCTTCTTCCTTACTTCCCCCCCTACCTTTCTAGCTTTTCTACGTCTTTCGTTTCTCTCCTCTCTCTCCCTTAAGAGAAACTGATCGTCACCAGCTTCGACAGGGAAAAGAGTAAAACGGCCTGTGTGTGTTTCTGTGTCTTGTGTCTGTGTGTGTGCATGCGAGCAGAGAAAAAGGACGGAGTAACAAGCTGTTGTCGTTTGATAAAAACTACTACAAAACCGGCTGCTTCGGTTGGATTTGTACCTGTGAGCCAACAATTCAAACCAACCCCTGGCTCGCCCTCATCCCCCCCTCCCTTACCAGAACATACAGCATCTCCTCCCGCTGCTGCTGCTGCTTCATCAACCATCTCGACCTCTCGACCCTCTCTGCGTCTCCATCGTCTCTCTTCTATCTAGAGCTAGACCCTCTTTATCCTCGTGGTTTCTCTCCATCCCGGCTCTTACTTGCGCCCTGCTAAGAGAAAGAGAAAGAGGCAAAAAAGAAAAGGCTGTGATTTATCTACCAGCCGCTTTTTCCGGATTGCTCTCTCTCTCTTCTCTCCATCCTCGTTCTTCAGTTCTTCAGTTCTTCATTGAGGTCGGTTTATATTTTTCTCATCTGGTTGCTTGCAAGAAACGAAACGGAAAAGGAGACTCCCGAATGTAGTATACCACCAGCTCTTCATACTTCTCTTCTACTTCTCCCCCTTCCACCCTTTTTTTCTCTTTCTGTCTTTTCTTTCTCATCAATCTATACCCCCTCCCATCGCCTACACCATAACTTGAATAATCTTAATCCCCAGATTGACTCGGTGGTCGAGCTTGGTTGGGTGGTTGGGCGGTTGTTGTTTTCTTTCCCCCTATTCTATATCATTCTCTACACCCAGGAGGTTGTTTCTTTTTTTTTTTTTTTCGCTTCTATCTTCTTTTCTTCTCCTTTCTCTCCCTGAAGTCGACCGGAATGTTTCAAAATCGGTACGTACAGGAAGGAAAAAGGAGTGAGAAAACTTTTATATATACCCGCCCCCTGTGATTTTGGCTGTCTTTTCCGTCTCGTTTCGATTCCTTGCTAGAGGACGTCCGCAATTGTCGTATTTGACTCTGAACTGACTGCGGTCTCCAGAAACAACTCCAAAAAACCGGACGAGGCCTTCTACGCACAGTTTAGAAGGAATTTCGTCCAAAACGGCCCCGGTGCATTTACTCGGCCGGACCTTAGTCGGTCTCTCACTTCTTCCAAGTTACCCGCAAGTGGACGCCCAATAATGGGCCAGTCACTCGTTCACAGGTTGGTCATCGATTCACCCGCATGATGGAGGGGAGGGGCGTTGAGAGCCCAAGCAGTTCCAGTTCCTCTCCTGTTGGCAGTCACAAGGACTTTTGACCATGGGTGGAGAGACGTGTTCATTGCCTTGTTGAAAAAATAAGAGACATTTGCTCCGGCTGCCGTGCATCACGAGAGAGAGAGAGAGAGAGAGTGCGTGTGTGTGTCAGTGAAAGATATTACAGATTTGGCTAACCATCTCGTCTCTTCTATTGCTTTGTCGGTACATATAGAGGTGTTCTCGAGCAGCACGATCCCACAAGAAATCACGATCTTTCCTGGGGGTTGTCAACTCAGGTCGGGATGGATCACAGCCAGAACATGTTCGCCCATCTGAACGGCCAGTCGCCCTTTTACTCCACGATTCCCGGCATGGGAATGCACCATGACATGACTAGCCCGCTCGATGACATGCTAAGTCCCCTGATACCTGCTGCCACTACTTCCGTGGACCCTTCCGTTATCTCGAATCAGCCCATTAGCATGGCCGGCATGCAGCAACCCTATGGCCAACCCATGGCACACCAGATGTGTACAATGGCAGGAGACCATATTGATGCGTATGCGCAACCACATGCGTTTCCCCCAACAGCGATGCTGCACAGAAATTCGGATCTAGGCCCTCTCAGTCAAGATAACAACTCCTTTGCTCAGCTACAGCTGCGTCGTGGGTCGGCCAGTGTGGCCACAGATCAGAAGCAACAGCAGCTAAAGGAGCAGGAATTCTACAATGAAGAGTAAGCTTTACTATTCTAGCTCACACGAGTGGCCTTTTTTGTCTCTCTTTGCTTTTTTTTTTTTTTCCTCATACTAACTTATTGTCTTCATCTACTTCTAGCTTCCGGTTTCATGCCGTCCTTCGTGCAGCTACAGCGATGGTCAGAGACCCAGACGAGATCCCAATCACATACCTCAACAAGGGTCAGGCATACACTTTGACCATCTTCGACTCGGCCGCTCTAAGCTCCCCTCGTCGGCCCACAAAATACCGAACCTACATCAGAGTCTCCTTCGAAGAAGAGGAACAGAGATCAAAGCCTGCTAGCTGCTGGCAGCTCTGGCAAGAAGGACGTGGTGCAAACGAGGCCCATCATCGAGACGGTAAACTCCTCGCCGTCGAACATGTTGACCCTAACCAGGGCGGTGATGGTGACCTGCGCCACCAGCAAGTCCAGCTTGAGAGCGAAAACTTTGACGGGTTCTCGGTAGTTTGGACTCCGAACAGAATCAACGGAAGACACGAGTGTGCTATATCCGTGCGGTTTAACTTCCTTTCAACCGACTTCAGTCACTCCAAAGGTGTGAAGGGCATCCCGGTTAGGCTGTGTGCCAAAACTCAAGTTGTTTCCGGTATCTCCGAAATTCCAGTACCCGAGTATGCTGAGGTCTCGTACTGCAAGGTGAAGCTGTTCCGTGACCATGGAGCTGAGCGAAAACTGTCCAATGACGCTACTCATGTGAAGAAACAAATAGAGAAGACCAGAAGCCAGATACTCCAAGCTGAGTCTGGTGCTGCCAGTGGGGAAAAGAGAAAACGGAGCGGCTCGATCTCCCGGGGAGGAAGTGGGAACAAGGTCAGCAAGACGCCCAAGTCAAAGCGGTCCTGGTCTCAAGGCCAGGGTGAAAAGGCACCGTTCGAAGACGATCTACATTCTAGGCTGCAGAGTTTCATGGATATGTTCCGCTCCGTGCGACATGCCAGCGTCTTGAACCTCAAGGGTGATCCCGAAGACGATCCCGATGCGTACCCTGTGAGGATAGACCAGCCTCTAGAAAACAACAACAACAGCAACACTAGCAACACTAGCAACATCGTCACCACCACACTTGACTGGGATCCCTCCCAGGCCACCACCGCCCCTACCACCAACGATGGAGCCAACTCACATTCTTTCTCCCCTGCCAGCAGCCATCGCTCTATCACATCCTCTGGCCACTCCTTCGACGTAAAGCCCAATCTGGCTACGAATGGAGTCATGTTTGGAGACTCACGCCACGGATCTGTGGACTGGTCTGGCTTTGCCTCGCATGACCCCGAGATCCATCCAAAGCACGGTCAGATTCTGAACCATCCAATCAAAATTCAGCGACAAGGCGCTACTGATGCGAATGATGGATGGTTTGAAGCCATGGGCGTCGACCCTAACTACAACCCTCCATCAGACGCAGTCATCGTCCCAAGTATGTCTATACACGTTTCCCTCCCTTTTTTTTTTTCTCTGCTTTTTTTTTTCTTATTTGATATATCAATATCAATACGCCCTTGTACATATACTAACATATATCACGTGCTCCAGAACACTGCTTCTACGTCAAGGCCAGCCAGAACGATGACGAGAAGACTGCAAACTATCACCATGCAATCTACATCCAGCAGCGCAATAGCCAGGAATTCGTCGAAGCCCTTGCCAGGAAATGGAAGCTCGATCCTGCTAACGTCATCCGCACCATCCAGGTCCGTGATGATGGCCTCAGCGTCATCGTCGATGATGATGTCGTGAGAGAGCTGCCTGAGGGTAAAGACATGGTAGCCGAGTTCCTCCAACTCCGCGAAGAGTCTGAAGGCCCAAACATGGACGTCGACTCTCCTGTCTCACCTGGAGCTGCCGGCCCAGTTGAAATCCGACTGAAGTTCTAATACCCCCTTTCATTTTTGCCTCTAAGGACCTTTTGAATACACCTATATGGATGGGGTAGTAAAGAAGAAGCAAAAGAACATTGAGCTATTAAGAGAAAAAAAGAAAACAGGAAAAAAAAAAAAAAAAAAAGGGAATACAAAATTTTTTACTAAGGCAAAAAAGCACTTCTCAGTTCCGCCTTTATTTTGGGAGGGGATGCTTCTTTCTTCAAAACATCTTTATCCTTTAATAATTGGAGGCTTTTTAATTCTATCTTTCTCTATACCGAAGTTTCCTTTGCCAGCAACCCTTGTCACCACTGACGCTTAATCAAGACTTTTAATGCTTGTCTTCCAACCCGACTACCTCTCATCAACCAGAAAGACCAAACAGAATCAATCACAGGACACCGGGAACAAAAAAATTCTGCTTACAGCGCCAGCAATCATAGATGGGTCTCTTTTCCTTTTCTCTTAGCAAAACTCACGCGTTCCCGGTGGCTACATGTACTTGCGTTCTCTGATTTGAAGGGAAGGGAAAATCGAAGAAAAATGGACCGGGCTGCTGTCTGATTTACGTATACTTTTTTACTTCTGATTTCTTCTTGCTACACACCCCTTCTTCCCTCTGAAATGGCCCTCTGCTATGGGCTAGCTCTTATCAAAAATGGTCCCTTGGCTTTACCCCAATCCCCACACGGCTGGTTTCAAGGGCTTAGGGGCAAAAAACAAAACAAAAGGACGGGCTACATCGATCTAGCCAGACAGGCCTGGCTAGGTTGGTTTTATATCAATGACGACTACGACGAATCTCTTTTGTACGGAGTACACGCGGCTGGACTTGGATGGGGGGGCGGTGGACTGGCTTGCTTTCTTTTTGCCGTTTTCTTTCTCTGGTGTGCTGCTTTCCCAATGGAGTGCCTCGCTTTTACTTCTTTTTTTCGCCTGATCTTGCTGTTATTGCCCTTCTTCCTTATTCTTGCTTCCCTTTTCTTTTTTATTTTATTTCTCCTCGCTGCTAATTTCTCCCTTTCCTTCTGACGGGCCGAGTTCTCCTTACTTTTTTTTTTCCCTTCTTGATATCTTGATTTACTTTTGTATCAGAGCAATAATTCTTTTTTTTCTCCCGTGTATATTTCTTTTCTTTCTTAAAAGGCTTGCCTTCTAGCTCCCCCTTTTTTTTTTTTGCCTGTTGGCTTGCTGCTATAAATGAATTATCCCGTCTTCCTTTCATTGGGGCCTGCATGTCATGCCGTCTTTTATGCAGAAACGGGGCAATGGTCATGTAACATTTCTCCCTTTCAGGCACATGCCAGGCCAAGGGCAGAGAGCTAGGACATGTACAATAGCCACAAGCTAGAGTATGCCAGTGACTGAAGTGTAAAAAGCCACCACCCTTCTTAACCTTATTGTCCCTTCCGGCAGATGCTGTCCTACACAGCCGGCTAGGCTAAATAGTAGCATGCATGTAAAGATATCGGCCGTTTTGTCTTAGAATCGCATCGTTAATCGGGCGCCTTGAGAGTACAGAATAATCTCCACCATGCAAGTGAGAGAGAGTAGGACTAAAAAAAAGAAAAATAAGAAGAAGGGAATAGAGCGACGAAGGACAGGAGGAAGAGGGAGAAAAGGTTGCTACCTAAAGGAGGACAGAAGTTAACTGTAAAGGAGGAAAAGATGTAGCTGGCTGCCCCCGTGTTCCCCTTTTCCCCAACCTAGTGACAAAGTAATATGCACAGGAAATCTGGGTAAAACAAGCCTGCTTATGCAGGTGGGCTGAGGTGACGTCATCCTATGTGCTACACCTCCTCTAATTCTCCTAGGAGATATATCAGATAGTTGTGTCAAAGCGCCAGTATCTAGCCCTCCCAAGCATGCCAGAGCTGCTGTAACTGATCCTCTTGGCATGTTTGCTACACAGAATAGACTGCAGAAGGACAGGAGATGTACAAGGAAAGATATACATGCAAGTACCAGCAGAGCAGAGCACAAGAAGAGGGCTGAACACCTAGAGAACATACTCACACTTCCTCTCATCCAAAAAGTTGAGGCTTATGCACTATGACGTTATTACCTAGCCTTAGCGCCCTTTTTTCACGTGGCAGTGGGTTCCTGTGTGGAGGTTAGCGTAAAATGTTAAATTTAACCTCCCGTTGCTTGGCTATCTTTAATTATCAAGATGGGAGATGAAAGGGGGCAGCATGTTGGGGATAGGAGCTCTGTTTTGTAGGATATCTGCTTGTTTACTTGCTTTGTTGTGGTTTGTTTACATGTCTGGCGGGGAGAGAGAGACACAAATAAGCTGGGATCGAGCAATTGAGTCGGTAGGAGCAGAGAAAATGTACATTTCAAGGGCAGCATGCTTAGGGGAGGAAGACGATGTAAAGCTACAGTAAAGAGAGTAGAAACAGCCGTTTAAACGAATAGTTTGTAGCTTATATGGGGTATCCCCAGGCAGATTGGCGGCTAGAGTGCCTGGTGCAGCTCGGGGACAGGTCAGGAAGGCCTCGAGAAGTCTCTGACGAGCCTCGAGTATAGGACACGGCCTCAAGGGGGTTGGCTGGCAGGTAGAAACACTCTTGTCACTGCCCAGCTGGCTCAGGACGGACAGGACAGCGCGGTGGCCGGCAGCAGGACGCCGTGAAGCCGCTGCTGGAGGAGGCAGACCCTTGCCTGATTGGACAGAGCCCCTTCGTTCGAAACCTCGCTTGTGTGGTTGCTCGGTAACCCGCCCACGGCCGCACTATAAAAGGCCCCTCCTCGCCCCCCTCTCCTCCCTCTCCCTCTTTTTTCTTTTCCTTCTTCTTCTTCTTCTTCACCACCATCATCATCACAGCAAGTTCGTCCAGCTCGCTACGACGTCTCGTTCTCCTCTCTCAATCCAATATCATCTCATCTCTTTCCATCTCTCCAAGTCTTCATCGACTCTCCATCTGCAATCAACATGATTGTCTCTACCAAGCTTATTCTTGCCGTCCTGGCCTTTGACGCTGCCATTGCAGCTGCAGGTATGTGGTATCTCCGTCATCATCTTCTTCACACACGCCCTCCTTGCCTTGCTTGACACGTATTGCGTCTTCCTTGATGGTATCTGCCTTATAGGAGACGTGATATCGTGGCCTTGCAGAGTCACCATCATTCTACCCTTGCATCCACGTCGTTTTTTCGTGACTTGTTGAAAACCCAGCTCCTAACTTGTCTGTCATGTATAGCTCGTGCTTACGGGCCTGCCAATGTCCTCCATGGCAACATCTTTGGACGTGATGGTAAGTATATGTTGACTCTCATGTTTGCAAAAGAAAAAAAAGCAAAGAAACGCGTCCAAAATGGCCATGCTGACGGGTATCATAGGCGAAGCGGCTGTCACTGTCACTGCGACTGACTGCAACTCGGCTTCTGGCCCTGCTCCTTCGGGCCCTGCCACTTCGGCTCCTGCCCCTTCGGCTCCTGCTACCACCGTTGTCAGCGTCTCCGTTCCTGACGTGACTTCTGCCGTTCCAACTGGGCGTCCTGAAGCTCCCATCACTTCTTCTGCTGAGCATACTACCACTGGACCTTCCACTGAAGCCCCCCCACCATCGATGTCTACTCCAGTTAGTGAGACAAAGACTTCTGTCGTTTCCCACGAGACCCCGCGTCCTACTCGCGCTTCTCCTTCTGAGACTGTCGCTACCCCAACTCCTTCTGCTATGGCTTCTCGCCATGTTGGCTTCAACGCAGTTCTCGCCGGTGTTATCGGCGCTGCCATCTTTGCAGCTTTGTAACTCAGCTCAGATGATACGGACAAGCATCCCTCTGTGTTCTCCCTTCACTGGTTTCCCTTTCTCAACTGAGCACACACACATGTCAATATTCAACTGATGCACTGTTCCCAAAGGCATGTACCACCTTGAGTGGCTTACATCACTATCTGACTGTTTTCAAATTTCTCTGACTTTTTTTTCATTTGTGATTATTATGATCCTTGGGGGGTGATTTGAGGAAAGGAATATGGTTTCATGTTAGGCTTGCACAGGCAATTTTCACGGCGCATCGGATCGGATCAGGGGCGGCCTTTCATTACCGGTTTATCAAAAGGATCTTTAGTTAGCATAAAATTAGGAGAGTCTGGTCTAGCCATTCGCTCGTTTGACAATAATTCCAAGGACTATTTCTCTCCCATCTTCTTCTGCTTTTTCCTACTGATCAGTTGCTCCTTAGGGTGATGGATATGGGTATAGGTGGCATGTAGCCTTCGTTGGTATTAATATTATGAGCTATTGGAACGGTAAACAAACCCTCGGCTGGGCCGCACTAGTAGCGGAGGTATCAAGTAAACACACACAAAACACGTCGGCAAACGCTGGCAACTTACCTCCCACAGAAGTACAAATGAAACAAGTCACGATCTAAACAAACACAACGATAAATATGTAGCCGGACCAGATCGCTCCGATTAATATACGTAATGCATAGCTGTCCAAAATCTTCCCATAAACATAACAAAAACAAACTGATTGGTTGGATATTGGAAAAAGGGGTATAATCACGTGAGTAGAGAATAGCCCAGGGTTCGTGATTAATTACGATGGGCATATCTGGAGCTTCGCTTCTCTCTCTCTCTCTTTCCCTGGTAGTAATTTTCATATGTTCTCCGTATCTTACTGCTGCGCAGAGTCCTTCAGAGATTCAGCGCATATGCGGCACCCATCACCAATTTTATCTCGTAAAAGTCTGGCATTGGTGACCTTGAGGCCAACGGTACGAGAAAGGGCTGGAGATTGGATAGAGGAAGGCTGATAGTGAAGTCTCGGTGAAGTGGGATCCTGTTCTTGTGGCGTACCCGGCTCTTCGGGCGTTGACGGACCATGAAGGTGGGAGACATGGTATATATGACCGCATGCGAAGACGACAATAGTCTCCGTTTCTAATAAATCATTAAATGCCGGTTAGAATAACAAAAGGGATGTTGTTGACATGTCTCAGGAGAAGGATAAGCTCACCTTGCTCAACGAATGGCTTCTTACATCCCGCACACCGTCCTGGAGTAACATCCTTTGATGGCCTTTTCTGTTTCTCGTCGATGGTCTCGCCATTTGTATCCGGGTGTGCATCTTTATCTTGGCCATCAGCATCTTCAGCAGCGCTATCTTCGTCATGGCAAACGTCAAATTTCATTCCCTGTCGTTGACCTTTCCGCAATGCGTCCATTCGGATAGCAACTTCACCAGCCAGAACTTTCGCAACCCCCAGGCTTATACTGGCTTGGATATCATGGTCACGAATCATTCTTGTAAGGCCTTCTCTCAAGCCCTCGATCTCCAGTCCACTGGGGATTCTCTTCACGAGCTTTATAGGATCAATGGCCGTGCTTGCTTCCGTGAGCAGCGCGCGGATATATTCCGGTTTATCCATCGAGTACGATAACAGATCATCCCAAAGATCCGGATCATCCTGAGACTTGGCAAAGGAGATAGCATGAGATATGTCGTTCAAACTCGAGAGGATTAGCTGAAGTGCCCGCTTCGTTTGTCCAGTTTTAGACAAGAGGTAAATAAGTTCTGGCGTGAAGTTTCGACGTTCACATATAGAACATGCTATGTCGTAGGAGTATGATGTGCTTGACTGCAAGAATTCCATGAGTAATGGACGGTCATAGTTCGCGAACAACTCGACCACTGTATCCGCAAATCCGTCGATCATTATTCTTCCTTCATCAGCGACTAGTTTCCCAGCCTCTGCTTCGGTTCTGTGGTGTCCGCGAGCCCTGATAGCAGGCCTGCCTCCTTCTTTAGACACAAAATCCCCTCTCCAGAGTGCACGGAGGTAGAAATAAAGGAAAAGTCCCAGATCTGCCTCTTGTAGTTGCGCGACGACTGTTTCGGGACGGACTATACCATTCGCTGCCTCGCGCACAAGTAGCTTGATAGGTTCTGAAGTAGCCTCTTCTAGCTCTGTGGTAGGAGCAGTCTTTATTCGATTTTTTGGTACCCGGAGTAGGATAAAACCAGGAACGTCCTCAGAAATAGAATCAAGAAGATGATACTCTCGAATCAGACTCATAACAGCGTCCCCATCTTGAAGTTTTATATAGCACCGCAAAGCTTCGCGATAGTGCCCACCAACCAGGAATAACTTAGCAAGGCAATTCAAGAGATTCCTCCAATCATCAGTCCCTTCATCTGTCAGGAGAAGTTGGTCTTGTATAGCAGCAGTAACGCTATCAGTCTCAAACAAATTAGGGGGCCAAAGCTCTATAAGCTCATTGAATCTGACTCGGTCGCGGGAAACATAGTGGCCAAGGATGACCTCATATACGAATGATGGTAATGGAGGCTCAATGTCGATGGGCACATGGGGTGTAATTTCATCAAACTTCCCGTTTCGCGCAAAAACACAGATCCAGTGATCCCATGCCGCAGTAGTACGGAGGACTTTGGTACAAATGTTCCCAGCCTTCTCCCACTCCCCGTGGCCAACTAGCTGCTTCAGCCACAACTCGCCGACGCGACGCTTCTCTTGTTCAAGCTTAGTGCTACCAGAATGGCTAGTTGTCTGAATAGAGGAGTTATCGAGTAACGATAACCCCGGGTGGCCTGGAGCACTTGGAGTGGGGGTACCCGGCGGACTTTCTTCGCCTTCACCAGAAGCTACATTAAAAGCGTCTGGATTTTGTTCAAGCAGTTCCCAGGCTTCTTCATACCGCTCGCGAGAGTCAAGCCAAGCTAGCCGATCCTCAAACCCCCTTTTAACAGCAAGGATGCAATCGTAGGGGCTATGGACGAAAACCCTAACCCCTGCTGTCGCGGCGATCTCAATCTCTTTGTTGTATTTTCCGCCATGAAGTAGGCCTGAAGAATCAACCGTACCAGTTACCTGGAAACCAGACCCCTTGTCAGCACTGCTTCCCATGCTGCGAGAGCTAGTCCCTGAGCTAAATAAACGTTTGGGATAGAGCGTAGCATCGATAAGGCCGGCTGTTATTGATTCTAGGGCTCCTCGGTGAGTAGTTGAAGCAATGCGACTCAGCGGAAGGGTATCAAGGTGGTAATCGGATGCAGAAAGATTTTCATAGTTTCGGACAGAGAGGATGTCCCCGCTCAGCTCTTCCTCGGTATCGATATCAATTAACCGCAGCTCTGGCTGGAGACCATTCTGCCTTCGTCTAATTCCACGAGCAGGGCCAGCCTGCTTTGAAGGGGTTCCAGGATCGTCATCGTCGGGGATGATATAAGACAAAACAAGTAATAAATTTTGGGTATATAGCGAAACACCAGATATGATACAATCCGTTCGTAGTCTGTAATAATGTTAGAAACTAGCGAAATTAATTGAGCGCAGAGAAGAACCAACTTAGTCGTGATCTCAGCCGAGGCTATTCTCCGTTTCCCAACACCCGCCGATTGATCACCACGAGACACCTTTATGATCCATATTGTGCCTCCCCAACCAACAAGAAGTTTCTCAGGGCCATGATTCCCTAATCGCTGTGATCGAGTTGAGGCATCATCCACTTGCACAACAGATGCGTTTTCGCGCTCTAATGAATCCTCATCAATCCATACGACCCGTGGCTTCCACACTCCAGCCATTTCATCCCACATTTGGGATCGAGGTCTATCTGTATGACCAAACCGCTCCCATGCATGTTCGGCCTCTGTTTGTTCAAGGTGTAAATGTGAGCGCATGATTTTTATGCCCTCTTCGTTCACCCAAGCAACATATTTTCCTGACCTCGACCACTTAATGCAGCTTATGGCCCCTTCGCCATTGTGCAAGACCCTGTCTTTTCCATTATTCCCTCCAAGACCCAGGGATCCAAACCAGCCGGTGGGACTTGCACCCCCCAGTGTAGCGTTTGAGCTTGCACCAACACGGCCTCCAACGGTAAGGACCAGGTTTCCTGATTTACCCCCCGAGACGTAAGTCCTGTCACTTTTATACTCAGGCGACAACGCAACTGCGCTAACCGGCCTTCCAAAATTCCGGAGCGTCACATCTTTGGGGTCGACCAAGGATGCCACGCAAACATTTCCATCCATAGAAGATGTCGCAATATATATGGAGTTTGATGGGGTTGGTGGTATTGTGACTGGCTGTGGTTTAGATCCATTTGGGCTCTCGGATGCGGACGCGCCTGATCCACCACTTTGAATTATAGGGGCAAAATCCGCCTTTGTAGGCGCAGGCGGGGGAAATGGGGAGACTGAGATGGAGTCGATGCTCGCAGAATGAGCGTGGTATACTCGAAGGCGTTGGAAGAACGGGACGGAGTAAACATGCTACAGTTTGTTAGCCGGAGCTAGGAGTCGGTTGAAGTATAGGCTTGCATACAATGTTCCCATTATGGGTTCCAACAATCTACAACACTCTTAGTTAAAACCAGTTCTCCAAGTCTAGACCATAGTATCAGCATAGAGCATACCATCTTATTTCCGGCAGTCATGAACGTGCTCGTAGCGTCTTTATTGCGGTACAGTGGGCCAAGGACTGGTGTAATCGGGGCGTATTTGAGGCGCGGCTCCTCGTCTTCAACGTCATCCTCATCATCCTCCCCATCGTCATCCTCCTCCTCCTCCTCTTCGCCCTCTTCGCTCACGACTTCATCCTTCGGGGTGTCTCTGTCCCCTGCGTCAGTGGTCGACGTGCCCGGCTGTATCTTGTTTTTGCCGCTCTTTGCTTCACTGGGGCCCGCGGCCTCCATCCCGCTGGGTTTCTATCTTATCGAACAAGTGCGCCAGTGCGAACAGAAGCTGGCATCGCATATAAAAACACAAGAATCGCTGAAATCCGGGTTTCTGAGTGTAAGGCAAGTGGTTGGAGAGCAACCTGGAAGCTCCCGAAGCGGCAGCGGAAGCTTAACCGCCGGATATTAGTAACGCCGATATCCCGGCGCGTTTTTCGGGCCGTCGCCGTTTTTGAGCTGCAGATAAAAGACGGATATCAACATCCATGCCAGGCCGTGTATACTGACACTCGTTACAGGAACAGTGAAGCGCCGAGGTTGGCATGCATCTTATGCGGCAATTAATGGGCTAATTACCCTTGCTTGGAATTACTCTCCCGGCAGTTATGCTCCTTCGTCGAATTTTATCTGCACCCAGAGAATGTGCATTACTCAGGGCTTCCGTTCGCCGAAATATATGTACAGCACCCTCGAAGAGTGCTCTTAATAACTCACTGGGTCGCAATGCCTTCCACTCGTCGAATAGGAGGCTTGAACAAGAGACAACATCTCCCGATGCCGGGAAACCCGCAATCCAACAAGGAAAATTAGAGTCGTCTCGAGGAAAGCGAACATCGCGTTCCCCTGCTGGGAAAACATCCCTACGACGTGCAGCAGTGGAGGCACAGATATCCAAAGATGTCAGGCGACTGCCCGTATCTCCGGATATACCCTCACCAGAACCAAAGGTTAGCCCTTACATTGGTCACATTCAAGTATATTGCCTAGTAGCTAATCCTTCTAATCTACTCGGATGAAGGTCGTCACCGCCTATGCCGTTGCCGAACGGTTTGATATTGCCAAAGTTATGGAGATACTCCTAGCCAAAGGATATGAGCCTGACCCCCTCGAAACTGGGCTTTACCCCCAAGTGGTCCATATTCAAGTTCCGCTTGATTCCATCCGACGAACCACTAGTTTAGCATCGTCAGATCTATCTTCAGATGAGGTTGGAGATGTATTTGTCTTTCCGTCAGGAACAGTTGTTTCATGGTCGCTTCCCGAGACATTTGCGTCATACCTAGCAACCACTGTGCTGCTACCAGCAGCTGAGAATCCGCACATCGAACGAATGGAGACGGAAGATCTCGATTACATCGAAGATCCTCAGCGAGATAATAGTTTTATGAAGGGCGACGTTATCATTCTCGGGACTAACCCGGTCCCTGAAGAGCAGAAAACACAAGATATTCGACACCCAAATCGAACTACAGTCGACACAGTACTGACAAAGATTGCCTTCTCCTCAGGCCTTGCCCGAAGTACTAAGCTTGCCGTATTAGAAAGTTTACTACTGAACTACTTTGATTCTACACGAAATATACCCACGCAACTCTCCAAGGGTTCTCGATTACCTTATACACGCAGTTTTATACTGCGTAAAACTGGCCAGCTACTCAGCCTCAGGGCGCAATTGAATCTGTACTCAGAATTAACAGACTCTCTTCCAGATATCTTTTGGGATAGCCGACACGAGCTTGGTTTAGAAGGGAACTATGACCAAGTTGGAAAAGCTCTGGATGTTGGCATCCGCATCAAGGTGTTAAACGAAAAAATGGATTACGCACAAGAGATTGCAAGTGTCTTACGTGAACGCTTGAGTGAAACTCACGGACTCCGATTGGAATGGACAATTATTCTCTTGATTGCAGTTGAAGTTTGTTTTGAAGTCCTAAGACTCTGGAAAGAGAGAAAACAGGAGCTAGCTGACATGAAAGAGAATAAAGAAAACATTACCGATGGAAACACCCTCTCTTCCTAACACGCCCTTCCACTCCAATCCTTTACTCTTCTTCTATCCGCGGTCACTCACCTCCAGCATATCCACCCATTCTTTTTTTGTACAGATACCATTTGATTTTAAGCGCATTTGCGATAGATTACATGCATATGCAAATATATGTCTTGTATACAAGCTCTTCCATCTTTATGATATCAGAGATACCCAAAATTCCATTATAAAAGCTCACAGGCAAGAGGACCATGGAAAACCTGGATGCGATTCGGACAGTAAACATATGAAAGGCTAATGGCTCGACTATTATCATACAACTTAACACATTAACACATCCCAAAACGTCATTCGAAATTGAGACCAGCTAAAAATCTGACATGGAAATCGTCACTCAAACGCAAGGAAAGAAGAAAAGGATATCTATAAACCTCAGTCAAGAAAATCAATCGTGCCACACATACACCATTTCGCCGTCGTCCCTTCGAATATCAAACTGATGGAAAAAAATAAACTGCCAAAATTAGGGACAAAAACCAGAGTTGATCGCGGAGAAATCTTGATGTTTGGTATTATTTCAGCTCCGTCGTGAATGAATCAAAAAAGGCGTCTGTGCTTGGTGACAAAGATAGAGGGAAATAGTCACTGTCTAGGTTTGGAGCTTCGCTGTTCAAGTGATTCAGGAATATTTCATCGTCATACTGCGACGAGCCAGATTCTGATATTCCTGTTGTTGACTGAGGTCCCAGAGGAGGGAGTTGGTCGGGGTCGAAGGCCGATGTACTTGCATGGCTTGAGAAAACATCATCAAATTCAGTACTATTTGAGTCCTCAGTAAGAGTGGGTCCTGGGTTGGTTGGCCAGATAGTTCGGCATGGTGACCCTATCAGGTCTCTTTTCGTTTCACGCTTGACGGGTGTGGGCGATCCACATTCGAAAGATGGAGGCTCAATGATCTCCTCTGGAATGTCGGCGAGATATCGTTTTGAGGGAGACAAACACAGCGGCGTTTCATCTGGTTCCTGGGAAGTGGAATAATAGCTGCGGGCGGGTGAGCCGATATTTCCAGTGCTATAGCTGGGGGACGCAGGGGGCGTAAATGTGAAAACGTCAGGGGGTAAGGAAATCGATTCCATGTCCAGAAATAGCATATCCTTGACGGGACTATGCTCTCTAGTGCTTGGAGCCTCCAAATTTTCGCTTTCTGGCGACGGTGCAGAAGAACTCGATGAATGTTCCTGAACTGATGGGCTAGATGCCTTCTTTTTCTCCCGTTGCCTTGCCCGGGTTGCTTTCTCGCGTCTCTCTCCATATTTAGGTCTCTCTTTCCTTGGTCTACCACGTCGCTCTGCTCGCCTCACAGCTCCAACAAATGCACCGCTGCACATTCCACGCTGCTTATGCCTAGTTAAAGCATCATGTCGTGCGAAGCTGTTCCCACAGTCGCAAGGGTATGGTTTGACGCCCGTGTGAATCTTTGCATGTCTTTTCAGGTCATGGCCTCGAACAAAACTCTTGTTGCAATGATTGCACTTGAACTGTCTGTCGCCAAGATGTGTTTGAACATGAGATTTTATGTTTTCTTTCCGCCCGAACCTCTTCATGCATCCGTCGAAGGTACATATCCACTTATTGTCTACCGGATCGGGGCCTTCAATATACCCACATATATCCTCAAGCGTAATTCCAGTCTCCTCTAGGGAGGCGTCGATGCTGGCGTCCAGCTTAAGATCAGCAATCGTAACCACACGAGGAGCCAATGCTGCCTTGATGGGAGAAGTAGTTCCACTTGAGGTGGCCGGTCTTGACCTTGTTGGCAAGGCGGCAGTCGAGGCTGGAGCAATGGGAACTTTCTTTGCTTTCTGGTCAGGGAGCTCTACTGCAGTCTCCTTTGAGTGTTCGGGCTGTGATGAGAAAGAGGTCATAGTTGGTGATGGCAAACCGCCCAAAGTGAAAGGATCAGAGCTATCCAATGAATCGAAAGTCAGGTCCGAGAAGATATCATCGTCTGTTGTGGGCATTTTTGATTCGAGAGGTTCAGGTAGACGAAACTCTGGGGGGCCTTCAAATCCCTTGGAATTCTGTTTCGGGTTATAGCCATTCTCAGAGCCTTGAAATGACTTTGCTCTTTGCATTGATTCTCCATTTCGAGGGAGTAGGGGCGGAGGAACTCTTTTCGTGGGAGATGAGTGAGCAGTTCTGCAGTTTCGTGGAAAGGCGGTCGATGGCTTCCAACATGGGGTTGTTGCTGGTGTTAATAATGAAGAGTCCACTAAATCATGATAATGTTAGTCGTGCATAGTGCAAACACGGTGTGAGCAACTTACTATTCTCAATTGGCTGAAGTGGTGTTATTGGGCGTTGAACTCCCGAGTTAAGATGGTTGTTATAATCTCCTATATCCAACCATCGAGACCAATCGTGCATCTCATGTCCATACATTGATGCATTTTGCTGGTGTCGTGCCACACCCTGGTCAAGACTCAGGCCTCTTCGGTGACAGCCCCGTCCACCAGCTGGCGCAGGCGCAATTGGTCTCGGGGCGAAATGCCTTCTGGAAGCCAGAGAAGCTATGTCCTTCGAGCCCTCTGGCTCTGGCGGGAATGAAAAGTTCTGTAACATTGCGTTCACCGGTGTCTTCTGATCAACCAAGTCAAATAGCTCAATCTTTGCAGGGGTAAAAAGACAGTTACCGAGACAAAATCAAATATCAAGTGAGGGTCATTGCCTCTGAGGGCGTCTCTGGCTTGTATTCAACAATGAAACGGAAAGTGCTGAATGCGTTAAATGGTTGCAATGGTGCTTGTGAGCTTTAGATGAAAGCGTCTTGCACTGAGCTAGCTAGAGCTGGCGGCTAACCACTCTTTAGTTGTGCAAGGAAAGACAAGGGATAAATAGCAGATAAACAACAGACACAGACAGAGAGGGCGTGAAATGGCTTGTATGCTTTAAAAAAGTAATATGTGCATAGTCTACCCAGAGAAATGGACGATGACATCCTGAAGGGCCCAAGAGCTCCTTTTGATACAAGCTGAAGGTGTTCGAGGTCGTAAATAAGCGCGTCGTCCAGGCAACGCCCGATCTGGTCTAGCGCCGAAACCTAATCTCGATATTAGGTAAGTACATCACATGATTTAGATCTTGGAGTCACATGATCCACACTCGCGAAAACTAATTTTCGGCTTTTTAAAGATTTTTGGTGGGAAAAAGAAGAAGAGCTTCCCTTTCCTCTCCCTCTCGTCCACCACCAATTTGCATATTGAAAGGTTGAGGAAGACAATTTGTCTAGGTATGTCAAGACTCGCTATTAATCCCTAATGCTCTATCCTTGTATCTACGACGAATACGCAAGACCGCCTGCACATTGAACCATAGAACTAACTGGGAGACTTTTTGCGACAACCAGGCCTTTCGTCAAGATGCAAATTTTCGTCAAGACCCTTACGGGTAAGACTATCACCCTTGAGGTGGAGTCTTCCGACACTATTGACAATGTCAAGACCAAGATCCAGGGTAAGATATACCCTACAGAATACCGGCGACGGGGTTGGGAAAATGCGAGCGATGTGCTGATGTTGTGCGAATAGACAAGGAGGGAATTCCCCCAGACCAGCAGCGTCTGATCTTCGCAGGAAAACAGCTCGAGGACGGCCGCACTCTTTCTGACTACAACATTCAGAAGGAGTCCACCCTTCATCTCGTGCTCCGTCTCCGTGGTGGTGGTAAGAAGCGCAAGAAGAAGACCTACACTACCCCAAAGAAGATCAAGCACAAGCGCAAGAAGACCAAGCTCGCTGTGCTCAAGTATTACAAGGTTGACGGCGACGGCAAGATCGAGCGTCTCAGACGCGAGTGCCCTACCCCCGAGGTTAGTTTTATGCTACACACCCCCCTCAGATATGCATGTGTACGTGTGTCCAGTGGCTGACTGTATATTTCTAGTGCGGTGCCGGTATCTTCATGGCTGCTATGCACAACCGTCAATACTGCGGCAAGTGCCATCTCACCTACGTCTTCGATGAGTCCAAGTAAATCCACACTTGGCCGATTGACGAGTGAGCCTTGAAATGATGTGATTGGATGAGCTATGTTGAAAGTTACTGTTTTTATCTATGAAGACATGGGAGGATTTACCTTCCAGCGTTGATTATACAGTTCAGTAGCTGAACTAAATTCATGAACATCAATGAAAGGAAATGATCTTGGTCAACAAAGTATAAAAAACATTCATTCCTTGAATGTCTAAACGAGTGACGCGTACTGTATACACGCGAGTATCAAACATATATAACTGTACATCATAAAGAAATAAATCATAATAGATCATCAAGAGGGGGTATGAATGGAGTCGAAAGGTAAACGTCAAACTGCTAGGGAGTACAGCACAGTGCATGTAGCCAAATGTGACATACAACCCAACAGAAGGATCCCTAGACGCCAAGTCTCGGCATAGTGTTTAAAAAATGATAAATATCAAAAAAAATATTAGAGAAGGAAGAACGGTAATGGGAACAAACAAGCAAGGTTTGTCTGGAGTCGGTGTTAAAAGACCTCAGGGGAAGCCTTTCTTCAAGTTCTCGTATTGACTCTCGGGGTATTCGATGGAGTTCTGGGACTTCTCCAAACCCTTCTGGCCATTGGCAGTGACACCCTCGACGAAGGTAGCAATCAAGCTTCCGCCATCCTTGGTGGCATTCTTACCACCTCTATCACCACTGGCTTCCCACCACATTCCGCCTCCTAGACCGTTGTCGATAACCCACTTGGTCTTATCCTGGACCATGGGGATGGTGTCGTAGGAAATCATGGTACGACTGGCTTGGTCGTAGCTGTAAGAGGCACCGCATTCGTCATCTTTCTTCTCCTGGGCTCCGTCCTTGGGTAGAACCTTGTAGTCCCAGATACCGTTTTCCCAGCTTCCCTGGCCAACTCCCTGGAATGGCTTGCCGGGGCCATCGGTGTTGGTGAAAGCACGTCCGTACAAGGGCATTCCAAGAACAATCTGGCTCTTGGGCACGCCGCCGTTATTGGTGTAGTAGTCGACTGCAGCAGTGGTTGAGAATGGGGTGCTGGCGGGGTTCGACTTGGATGGTCTCAAGTTAGCCTGGTGTCCAGCATTCTTATCCCAAGCACCGGCGAAGTCGTAGGCCATGAGGTTGAAGAAGTCAAGCTGAGCGCTCATTTCCTTGAGCTTAAGCTTCTCATAGTTGACGGGGCCTAAAAAGCAAGATTAATAAGTGACATTTAGTGCAATTGTGTATGGATATACATACCGCATGGGACTGCAGCAGTGAGAAGGAACTTGCGGTTCTTCTGAGCGGCATTAAGAGTCTAGAGGTACATTTATTAGCTACATGGTTCCGTAGCTGTAATGGTGTTGCTCGGGAGAATAAATACCTCTCTGCAAGCCTTCAGGAGCAAGACCAAGTTATTGGCCTCAGTCTCATCTATTAGAAGTCAGCAGTGCCCTTCTAAATCAAAAGTTCAAGAAACTCCTACCCTTGGGGTACTCCCAGTCAACATCAAGGCCTGAAAAAGCAAAGTCAGCCACGATGTATCCAAAGGGTATCTATCCTGAGAACAACAAACCGTCAAAACCCAAGTCAAGAAGAAGTTTGGTAGCGGATTCAGCAAACTTCTTCCTTCCAGCGTCGGTGCTAGCAGCCTTAGGGAAGTTGGCGGAATATGTCCATCCGCCGATGGAAAGAAGAACCTTGAGGTTACGGTTCTGCTTCTTCAAGAGGAACAGCTGTTTGGCGCATCCGTAGACGTTGGTTCCTGGTTCACTCCACGAATCTCCGGGGTAGTGCTTCTCTATATCGGCATAGGTGTCGGAAAGATAGCTATTGTATTCTTAATATGATATATAGTGTATATAGCAAAGACTATGGCATAGTTAAGGAGCTGGATAGGACATACACTTCTCCGGTCTCTGGACGGACGTTGGCAAATGCATAAAGAACATGCGTCAACTTGTCGATTGGGAGATCGGCTGGGTTGAATGCTCGTCCATAGATACCCTGATAACCAACCATAATGGTTAGCAAATAGGCTTGCAATTTTTTAATCCAAACAGAAGGGCAAATATCGACGCATACCCAGTTAACGAAGTAGACCACGGAGCGGTATCCCACAATATTCCCCATGATGGCAGTAGTGTAATGATATTGTAAAATGGAATGATACTCTCAAGCTTCAAAAACTAGACAAAATGCAAATATTGAAATTGTGATTTGGGCGTTAAGTGGAAACCAAGCTGGTTGGAGGTACGACGCTATATATAAGAGAGAGGTAGTGAGAAAAGAAGGAAGGAAGAATCCAAAAACAATTCAAAGTATGCCACAGGGGGTATAAATAGACGGACAGGCAGATAGATAGATGGAGAGCACCTTCAGCGGCACACCCGTTTTCCAGTTTTGTTTTTTCTCATCCAGTAGTATTTCCTTTTTCTTCATTTTGGTTCGGCCCAGGTACCATGATACTGATCATCATACCAATGACGAGCACCCATGGCAGGTCACGGCGACCGAAAGCTCGTCTGCATATTGATCACGACCAGCGTCAAGGCTGGGCTTGGGGGATGGGGGAGGCGGAAGGTGTAGGTGTACTCCGTAGGCAGACCAGATGCATGGACCCGCACATCCGTATCTCCGGTGGTTAACTAACGGGTGACGAGGCTCGCGCATATTCTTTCCTGCGAGGAAGCTATTTTGCTTTTCTCCCTCTACTTCTTTACCTTCCTCTGATTCTCTTTCGTTTGCTTCGCTTTGCTCATCTTTAGGTCTGTGTCTTTCAATTATATGTATTGCATTGTTTTGCATTTCCAGTACTCCGTACACGGCGTTGGCTTTGCTTTTGCGGCAAAGCATGTATGGTATGTAAGTCCACGCACGCACGCACGCATGTATGCACACAGCCTGGGTTGCACAGTGACCGGACACCTTTTTTTTTGCTTTCCCCAGCCACGCCGGTCTGGCAGGTCGTGCAAATGATCACGCCCCATGATATCATAGATAAGTAATATAACCAGTCTTCCCAGACCCGAATCGCTTCATAGCAGACGACTAAAGGACTGCATTGCCCTGTAAGGCTGGCCCAGGGAGGGGAAAAGAAAAATTAAGACGAGTCTCGTGGAGGCAGGTTCGGTTGGTATGTGCAAAAGCTGGTATAGTGTGGGTGGTCAAATCCAGGGAATAGGAACAGGTGGCTTATGCACTAGCGTCCGATAATCAGCGAATCTGCTGCTCTTGTAGCTAATTGTTATAAGCCAGGGCAAAGATAGTCCGCGGGGGATCTGCTTCGCCCAGAGCCTACGCAGGCTAAACCACAGCTCAGAACGCGAACAGAGCTCCCCAAGTTCGACAATCCCAAGCCCGGTTAACTCTAGCTTACTCTGTTAAAAAGAAAGAGAGAAAGAGGAATCCGCCTCCTTCCCCGCCCACACTTGGGAGTGTGTGTGATTTAATGCTTGGATTGGACGCCTCCCAGGGTCGCATCTCACAAAGCCACGAGGTTCTATAATTAATATGGATGGGAGCGAACCCCCATCCTGCGAGGACTTCATCCTCCTCTGGCTGACTCGGAGGAGGGGTTGGGAGGGAGGGAAGAGGGTATTCTGCAGTGCAGTGTTCTACAGCCACCGTCACCGTCACTAATCGGCTTGTTGACAGCTATCACTGACAGGACTGCCAGCATCATCCGCCCTCCCCTATGCAGGCGAGCTCTCGGGCAGTCTACCATGAGACCGCCGCCGTACTGACGCTGACAGCCATCCCAACAACCAGCCTGACATGTACTCACAGCACACAAAGTCCAGCCAGGGACCACGCGCGCGTTGGACAGACGGGGAGCGGGAGAGTCACACAGAGCCTGCGCTCGCTCCTCCTAGCGTCGGGTGAACGAGCAGGATAAAAAATAAGCCTGGCAGAGACCGCATCTGATAGATCGTAAAAAAAGCAAAGAAGACGGCGCTTTGCATGTAACCAAGCCCCCAGCCAACCAGCAGCCGGTGGTGGTGGGTGAGGTCAGAGGTCGATGAGGTTTGGAGATCGAAGATCTTTCCTTGGAAGTTTTGAAAGCGCGCGTTTGTTATTGGCAGGAAGGGAGGTAATTACCTAAGCAATCCCCGTTGAAGGTTACATTCCGAAGATCACACGAGCTGGCTGGGTGAGAAGCCGGCGATGGAGACGAAGATGGAAAAAGATGGGATGGTTACAAGAGGAAGAGGCATGGAGAAGCGGTTGATTCATTAGAATGCTTTTATATGTACATCCTTCGGGGGTGTGTGAAGGTGGAGGTGAAGATAAGACTTCACAAGTCAACATGCAGGGGTCTAGTTTTATGAAACTAGTTCGTATTTCAGAGCTGAGAGAGATAGGGAAAAAAGAGATAAAAAAAAAATATAAGAAACAATGGTAATTAGAAAGATCCTATACATGACAGACATCTCATCTTGCGTCTCGTCTCATCTAAACCTTGTCCTTGTCCATTCTGTTCATCTCTTCTTCCTTCGCGTTGAGACCACGGAAGATGATGAAGAAGAGGATACCGGTGGAGAAGGAAACGCAGGCCAAAGACACGAACATCCACTTGATAGCAGGGTCGTAGGCGACGGGGACAAGGGCCTCTCCGATAGCGGAGCCAAAGGCGTTGGTGAGCAGGTACATGGACTGGACGAAGGACTTCATGGAGACTGGGGCCTTGGTGTAGGCGTATTCGAGACCGGAGACGGAGGCGAAAATCTCGGAGATACCGATGAGCATGTAAGCGGGGGTCTGGATGGCGATATGGACGTGGTTGCCAAGAGCGACACCGTTGACCTTACCCTCTGGACAGGCGAGAGGGTGCTCGTAGCATGGTCCGGCGCTGTAGATGAGGTGCTGGACGATGGCAGCGTAGGCCATGGCGAGAGAGGCGACGATGAAGCCGACGGAGATACGGGAGATGGGTGGGAAAGGGATGTGAAGTTTCTGCATGATCGGGTAGACGATGCGGTCGAGGATGGGGATGAAGACGAGAATGGCAATGGGGTCGAAGTTCTGCATGAGATCGTTGGGGATGCCGTGGCCCTCCATCTGAGCGGCCTGGGAGACGAAGTTACCGGAGAACTGGTTGTAAACGACCCAGTAGATTGGGTAGAAGCAGAAGACCTTGCAGGCAACGAGGGCACGCTTGAGCTCGTCGACGAACTGGTCGTCCCAGGCGACGGTGCGGCGGTTTCCGTGCTCGGCCTGGTAGGAAGGCTTGGGGCCGTCCATGTTGCGGGTGGTGACCATGATCCAGAGAGCGCTGAAGGCATTGGTGATGATAGAGCCGGTTGGAGGGCGGACGACGTAGGCCTTGCGTCCGAGGATGAGGGTGACGGTTCCAACGACGAAGACGCAGAGGCAGAGCAAGTAGGCGGACCAGAAGCCGATGTACAGCTCCATGTAGGGGGTTGCCAGCAGGGAGAGAGAACCGATGTTGATACAGGCGTAGAAGATCATGTAGATTCTCTGGATGGTGATGGCTGGGTCGATGACGACACGCTCGCCGGTGGGCAAGGTAGAGATGGCGGGCACACGGCGCTTGTACTGGTCAGCGATCAGGGGAGCGACGTTGGACTTGATACCACCGGTACCGATACCGATGATGATGATGGAGGCAATGAATCCACCGAGACCAGCTCCGTGGGCGAGAGAGCTGTGGACAGAGGTAGCCACGAGGATGATGAGACCGGCCATGTAGACGAAGCAGAAGTACAGAATGGCCTTGTACTTTCCGAGGTACTGGTCGGCAACAATGGCACCGAAGATAGGAGTAACTAAATAATTGTTAGGTTTTTGATCAATTCAGCATTGCTATGCAATTGACGAGGACCTACCATAGCACCAGAATTGGAAGAAGGTGGTCAATCCAGTAGCACCCTGATGGCCGAGGCCTACTCCAGTTAGCACTATACTCAAACATATATATATATATATATATAATAGAGAGAGAGAGAGGAAGCAATGTAATGAAGAATAAACGTACCGAGAGCACCAACACCCTCACTTCCGTCGAATGGACGCTGGATGTAGTTCTGGAACAGGCCGTTCATGCCGTAGTATGTGAAGCGTTCACACAGCTCGACGACGGCGACCAGCCAGGCGGACAGGGGCAGGCTCTCGCCGATATGTCTGAGGTTGAACTTCTCGCTCTCTGTAGGCTCCTCGCCGTCTGGGGTCTCGAAGCCCTCGCCCTTCTCGGCATCAATATCAGAGCCGGCCTTGGTGTCGAGCACAGGGTCCTGGGCGACATCCTTGACGACCTGCTTCTCGTCATGCTGCTCCGTCGCCCTAGAGACTATTAGTATGATTGAATAGCGGTGTTTTTTTTTCGTACAGGTGACTCACTGAACAGGCACAGCTTCTTTGTCCGCCATAATGGGTGTTGGGGAGATGCTCGATGCTCGCCTGTCTTCCTAGAGTGAGAAAGCCCCAAGCAGCGTCAAGCAAGCGATGGGACGAAAAGAAGACGAAGCGAGAAAGGCAAGCAAAGGGAAGAAGGGGAGGAGAGAAGAGCGGAAGAGGAGCCCGGCGAGACGAGGACGGGCTTGATATATAACATTATTGTAAAAAAAAGTCGCCTTTGCCCGCTCCCCTCGTCGCTGCCACACACACCCCCATCATCCTGCCTGCTGTCGTCCTAGCTTCTGCTATCTACGGCCTCTTCGTCCGGCCATCAGAAAATTCCCGGGGGATCCACCATGTCAGGAAGGAAAAAAAAGGTAAAAAAAAAAAAAAAAAAGGAAAACCCCTGTCAAGAGAGATTTTTATAAGGTAAGATAAAAAAGCAGGCGGTGGATCCGTACAGGAACAAGCATAATTAATATTACAGGCGTATGGCCAGGGGGGTGGGGGAAGGGAACTCGGCTTCGGGTAAGGAGGAACAAACAGGCCACAGAACCACAGATAACAGCTGGCTCTGAACCGCCAACCAGAGAGAGGGCAACCTCAGCAGCCTCTTGGGAGTGATAGCAGGCGTCCTCCGTCGAGTAGCAAGACACGAGGCCGAGTCCCAGGTCCCAGGTCTGTGAGAGAACGAGGGATGCAACATGGCGAAGGTCGCATCCGCGCAGGGAGAAAAGGATCAGCGATGGAGGTCTGGAGAAGGCGCATGCATGGCATGCCACACGCACACAACGCACGCACATAGACTTCGTGCTTCGTACAGACAGCCGTGGTATGGATGTGAGAGTGCTGACTTAATGCACCGGCTGCATGCTGGGGTACCGTCTTCCCTTTGCTCTTCTTCCTGGCTTCTTCTCTGCTGCTTCTCTCTTCTCTCCGTCTTCTCTTTTCTTCCCGGAAGTTTCGTATTTCTTCGTCTTCTCGGTGGAGCCAGGCCGTGGGTAAGTCAGTACTGTAAGAAAGTAGTAAGTACTGTAAAGTAATCTAACCAGCTAGCCGAGGTAGACTTTTGGCTCTCTCTCTCTTTGGTCTGTTCTTATGTTCTTATCGTCAAGGACGGAGTATCTTCTCTCGCCCAGCTGCAAGAGGCGAGAGCAAGAGTGGTCGGCCCTCCCGCGACGACGGCGAGACGCGCGACTCACTGCAACAGCCCATGCCGGCTTATCCGCGAGGCCGCAAGACCGGCGGCGAAGAGACCTCCATCCATTCCCTCGATGTCACCCCAGGAAGAGTTTTTATCGCGCTGACTAACTTGGTAATACATCGTAATATAAAATATCAGTCCAGGAAGTAAGGTAAGTTAATCCAGCTGTGCGGGCGAGTGAGATGCGCCCTTCGGCGGGAGACGGACACCGTTCCCCATGGGGCAGGCAGCAAGAGGAGGGCGGCGAGCGGCGGACAAGCAGGCGATCACTTGCTCTGCCTGTCGATAGACTCTGATTCGACGTTGGTGGTGGTGATGCTGGCGATGATGATGATGATGCTCGACGTTGGTTCTTCAGCCGTCGCCAAGGCGGTTGCGCTGCTTAGGCGGTGCTTGGGCGGCTACAAGCACTGCGAGAGGCTTGGGCGAAAAGGCTTGTGTCGACGAGGCGATGAAGAGGACGCGGATAGCAGCAGCAGCAGCAGCAGCAGCAGCAGCAGTAACTAGCGAGTCGAGCGGGCGAAAAAGAAAAGACGGTTGGCCGGAGGATTTTGGACAGCCAGAGACAGCCAACAGCCAGAGACAGCCGTACGAGGGATGGAGATGGTTTCTCTCTCTCTCTTCCCTGCCTTCATCTCGCCCAATGATGCACCACCGCGTCTCCTCGCCAGCGCCGTTTCTCTCTCTCTCTCTCTCTCTCTCTCTCTCGGACTAAACTCGCATAGGAATAACACCGCAGGCCAGCCCATCCCGGTCAATAGCCAGCATCCTATCACTAACCTTACAGGCTGGTTCAAGCAGGTCATCCATTATTTTATTCTTTGACCAGGGGCTGGGATGCGGAGACTGGCTCTCAGACACGTTCAAGCTTCATGGCCCCCGTCCGTACGCCGTATTACGCTTACCGAAATTGATTATGATGGGTTTATTAAATTATACGGAGGGATGAAGGGGGGAGGGGAGATGGAACAAGCTCGCCAGCACCTGCTCAACGGCCTTGTTGGGCTGTTCGTCTGGTTTCCCCAGGCCCCTGGTCTCCGTTTTTACGAAGCAAACCACGGGCCTGGATGCTCCTTTTGGGCTCTCTTTTCCGCGCTGGCTTGACTAAAAGGAACTTAACTCGTTAACTCACTCGACCGAGGGGAGGCACATTGCCTGGGTTCCTCGCGATCAGTGCGTAGAAGGGAGGTTTCGCCGTCGGTCGTCTTCTTCTTCTTCTTCTTCTTCCTTTCCTCTGCTGCATGACTCGAAGCTGTTGGGTGGATGTTGTTGTGGATGTTGCTGTATATATGATGTCAAAGTGAGGCTATATAGCTAGCTGTGTAGTACAGTAACAGCGGAGCCCGTCAAGGTATCTTATCTCCATCTCTACTCCAGTGTGGATAGCCCATAGCTAGCTGCTTAAAAGCCATAAAACGGTGGCTGGTTCACTCTCTCGCTGCGTCTGATGGGAAGATATCCACTCCCAGAAGGATGTCTGTTTGCGGAGACGTGGGCTCAACAACAGAGAGCAAGGGTCATAACGAGTTACTTTCTGTCTGTATACTCCGTATATATACGACATGTCCAGGGAACCAGCGATGAAGCCCATCCAATAACCACCCCAGGCTGGCTCCCCCATATCTCCATCCCCATCCATCTCCATCTCCATCTCCATCTCGCAGCAGGTTACGGCGTACCGTAATAATAACTGACAAAACACGTCTGTTACTACCTCTGTTATGGGTGGACGGGATGGGACCGACATTTTAGTTTCGACGAAGGCCTTCCCGCTGCCTAGGTGACCGACCTTCTTCACCTTAGTTACTTTTATACATCCCCAAGGCTCACTCCCGCCCAGTCCAGCAGCGGAAAAGGGTGGAAGTTTTATTTTACTCTCCCTCTCTCGCTCCCTCTCGTTTTTAGGCTTCTTTCTAGAACACGGAAAGGAACAAATGGGCTGCGAACTGGTTTGGCTGCGAGGTGAACCCACTCCTTTTACCCGGCCTCAACCGCAGTACCCCTGAACGGAAATAAAATTATACGTCAGTCAGTCGTTGGGTGATGGGATCAGATCATGGGGGCCGCCCTGATGGGGTTCGTCTTTCTTAGGGCCTTCCCTGGACAAGCAGGTAGCGAATCTCAGTCCTTACTAGCTGCTCGGACATGCGGAGAGACAGAGAGCTTTAGCCCTCCCAGCTCTCTTCCATTACAAATTGCAGTTTACTGACGGAGTATTCTCCCACAGCTTGCTGCTTCAGCTACTCCTGCTCGTTCTAAGGCTAGGATAATTTATACATCCGTTGGATACTTATGCGGACGTGAAGACAAAGCCATCCATCTCACACACATCGAGTACAGAGTATACCTCCTTGCATGACGTTTCTTTTGACAGAGTTCCCCTTTCGGTCCATCCGGCCATCATCCCCCAGGCATGACTCTTATTCATTCGACCACTCCGACCTTTTCTTTTACGTACATCCATCCACTTTTTGCGTGTGTAGTCGACGACCAGCCCAAGCACCCACGTATCTGTACGTCATGTTTGTAAGAAACAATTTTTACGATATAATAATGCAAGCAACTCCCATGCTCGTCTCATCTCGTTCCGTTCCTCTGCCAAGCAGGCGATTTCAAATAATTGGCGCCAGGAAACGAAGGCACATCGGCTTTTTGACTTTTCAAACTCGAGGCCTGGTGAGAGCCATTTGATCGATCCTGATTTTGATCCTGGTGGCTTCCACGCGTCAGATGCGAAGCATCGCACTTGGTGGATCTTGACTCTTTGTCTTGCAACTCACAGCCTGATTTCTACGAGACCACAAAAAAAAAAGGGAAGGAATAGAGTGACAAGTTGGGTAAGCCCTGAGACAGCATAGAGGAATAAGGATCAAGATGAGCCGACAGCGCGAGTATCACTGAAGATATTCAACCATCACAACAGGGCTAGCTAGATGATAAAACCATCTAGCTAGCCGCAAAGGATGGCATTTGATGGGGTGTAAGTGCCTGAGTGAACTGTGTACGTATAATTGCTGGAAGGTAGAGATCCAGGGAATAATATATCCATCTGTCTCGCTTCGCGGGGCGACGGAAAAGTTGGTCTTTCTCCCGCTTGTACGCATGCCCATTATCGATTATCCATAAGACCAAGCACAGCTGAGATAATGTGATTCATCATCGCCCACGTACCTCGTCAATTGGCATTCTCTTGATCGACTTACGAACTACCGGGGCGTACCAGATAGCCACCAGCCTCCTCCCACCGTTTTGGCTGCCTGAGGCCTGAACGGTAGTTCAGATCTAGTGAAGGCAGCGGCAGAGGATTCAGCCTCAGCTTGCACGACGTTTTCGCCTCCTCCACTAAAACAGCTTTCCTCGCCCTTCTGAGTGCATGATAGTCAAATAACCCACATAACCCTATATATATAGTTTGCTATATATATACGGTCTTGGACCGGCATTGCATGACTCTGGTTGCGGCTCACGGCTGAACCCGTTTTGCCTCACACTAAGATCGGCAGGGAAGGGAATTGCATATACCGTTATTCTTTGATATGGTATTCAATGGCTACGGAGGTAGCCAACGCATTCTCTATCCATCCAGAGTTACTGGTAGTTCATCTCACATTGAGTTTGTGGGCATGAAGAAGAAAGCCACAATGGTCCAAAAAGAGAGGAGGCGGGAGATTGGCGGTGGATATCAAGGAGTCCTTGATTTGATACTTATAGGGCTGTGTATCTCTCTCCCCTTTTTCCCCTCTGTGTGTGGAACCCGGTGTGCTTGGAGCCATCGACGATCATGGATAATGTATATCCATTAAATTGTGCATGCGGGGGAGGAGGTGTTTGTCCGATATTTGAAGCGTCCCGTGGCAACTATAGAACAAGCATCTAGTGGGTTGGACGTTGCCTGAGACCGGATCAGGAGTCTACCCGTCGGCACCGCTTGTTGCTCCTCAAGGGCGTTCAACCGTGGCTGAACCTAGAAGTCCAGGCAACCCAAACACATCGAATAGGAACGGTAGCCAGTCGGAGGGGGGAATTCGAACCGTAGCTCGGAGTAGTTAGTTGTCCAGAACATCCACAGATAAGACATTGATTCTGCAGGACGATCTGTTTATTAAACAAAGAGCCCACAACCTTCACAGCCACCACGAATGAGATGCAGTACCATCTCGCTGCTACCCGGCAGGACTTCCGCCGGAGGTTCGCTGTTTGCTGCACCGCAGTTGACCGTCCAGTTCGGCTCAAAATCATGAGCAAAGGGGAGGAAAAAGAAGTAAAAAAAAAAAAAATTTTGATGCACAGCCACAACCCAGCAAGCGCAAACAGAGATTTACCGCACGGGCCATGCAAGGTACCTTCCTTTAACCTCATGCCAAGACCATGTGGCTACCTGAAAGAGCCTCCGCGCTAGTGCCAGAAAGGGAATAACCCTAATGTTTAACCTTTTCCCGGTCCAATGAGAGGGCGCGCTAGTCCAAATATGGCTGGTGTCCCGTCCTCTTGGTTTCTCCTTTAGGCAGTTTCTGCTCCCTTTCCTGCGCTGGCGTCCTCTCTGGCCAGCCCATTTTCGCCGGAAGCAAGCAGGTTATGCCGAGATCTTCCTCCCTTTGCATCCACCGTACCGTTAATTCCGCGGACTGTAACAAGAGGAGAGCGCCAACGGAGAAATGGCTGGCGCCCTCCATATCTTTGTACATCATCCCTCCTCTTGGCCTGGGATGCTCGTCCACGATGTGCCTCGGAAACCTCTCTGGTGGCAAAAGGATATCAATCAGTTGTTTACAATAGGCTTAATGCCAGAATAGTTATACGAAATAGTTTTCCTCTTGGAGCCGATCTCCTGTCAGTCAACCCATTGTGCAAGTCCCCGTCCATCCTTGCACAGGAGTCTCGACAGTTAGCATTCCGATGTGCATTTGTTTCCTCGAATAGATGCCTGAAGTCACACCAGTGGGCCCTCCAAGCGTTCGACGTGCAGATTAGCATGCACACAATTTCCTTCAAGGAGTGGATTGACCAATTGTATCACCACAGTGGCTTTCACTAGCTGGTAGTCCGTGTATATGGGGCCCGGAAGCTCCTATAAGTGTACAGGATGTCCACGTACCTTGGCCAACCCAACCCCCATTCCATGATAAGCCCAAAAAGGAATGACGGAGACATATAGCTCGTCACATTATGTTTCTGTTGGTCATGCATTGCTGCAATTCCACGCGCCGGGAAGATAGTCAGCTTTTGATGGCAGCTCTGCATTCCAGAGACCAGTGAGTGATTATCCCGATGGAGTCTGGTACACAACACGCTCATTCCAGCCACTGTGGCGAGTATCTCGCACACATTCGAAGAGAGCAACGCCAGGATATAACGCCACCTTCCTGTTCTACCTTAGGTAATGGGTAATTTAATGTGCTGGTCCAGCACAACGCCGTCGTGTTCACGACGCAAGCCACATACCTCTATGCATTACGTGGAAACCAAGAACTTCGTGAGGAATACACTGAATAAAGTTTTTTTGTTCAGAAAAGTAGCATTTCTGTCTCTATGATGGTTTTCTGCCGTGAAAAGAGTTTTGAAGACCGGAAGGAGAGGTGTAATATGGTGTTGCTATGAAATAAGGGGGGCGCCATCCTGCAGCGCGGTAGTGGGCAGTAGTCAAAGTAAATAAAACGAAACATTAAAAAAGGACGTCAGAAGTCATGCGATGCCAGTTCGTAGTTCCCGTGACAAACAGAAAAATGAAAAAGGGGGTGGAAAAGCCATGCCGTCGCTAAAATCCTGCATCCAAAAACAAAGAATGGGGTATCCATCCGTACCAAAACATGCCCTCCACAATATGCCAGAGTAACAAAAGTCCAATTTTTTTTAGTTCCAGGGAGGGAAGGAGGGGAAAGGAAGTGTGAGTGAAGAAAAGAGAACAAGGTTACCAAAAGCAATGCAAGGGCCAGTTGGTTAGGGAGTCTTGATGTGGGAGAAACCGAAGACTTACCCCCTCATTCCGAAGACATGAGGCTCCTCTGAAGCAAACAGGAATCATGCCCAAAGAAATTAAAAGCAAAAGAGAAATGAATCGGTTGTCCAGCAACCCCCGAAAATAACGGAACCCGGTTCCGGCGGTCGTAGATAGAAAACGACAGGAGTAGATATGCGAGCCGACATAGAGGGGTGGATGTCGTAGGGTGGGATAATAGACATTAGTATTACTAAGAGTGCGACCGAATCCAGTTCAGTATGGTGCTCAGGGAAGGGTCTTCGTTGAGCCAGTAGCCTGCACGAACATCGGCGGAGGCAAGGGTGCTCAGGACATAACTATCCGTAATCCTCGAAAGCTCCTAGGACAAGATATTAGAGTAAAAGTCAAATATACAACAGAAACAAGGGCAGCGGGGGGAGAAGAGGGTGGGTGAAAATTTTTTTCGTACAGTACGGAGGGTATCGTCTAGGGCAGCAAGGGCAGCAGTATGACGAGAGCTGGGGCGTTGGCCCTGGAGCACCTGTGCTCGGCTCATCGCCCACCGTCTGGCTGCCGCCATGCGCTGATAGATCTTGTGCGCCTGGAATCTGCGTGCGCTGGCATCGAGAATGATCCTTACAATTATCTTAGCAAAAAGGACCAGGGAGCTTCACACGGTATGACTGCATTACCTCTGCAACTGGACCTTCTCAAATTCGCCGTCACCTTGCAAGTTTTGTATAGACTGGATGTCAAACTGCGATGCCAACAGCTCCTGAGCTTCGGCAACGCATTGTCTCATCAGAATGTAACCTTGAGCCACCTCTGCCATTTCTGTAGCGTCTAGCTTCAGCTGGGAGATATGGACAAGCAGTGTTCGGAAGTCATTGATGAGTTCAGATACTCGTAGAGCACGTGCTTCATTGTCTATTTAAAAGGTGTAAGCAGGAATGCACTACGCCGCAACGTGGTTATCGTGAAGAAGCGTGGATTCAAAATGAATACATACATCCGTCAGACATGTTGGAAGGAATTGGTCCGGTTTAGGTATATATCAGGTATTAAAGGTGTTGTAGAAAAGAATAGGTAGGCCCTGTTGAGACGCGGCGAGTATGCTTGATATCTGCTGCTAGTTCAATGTATAGAAAGAAGAAATTAATGAGTGTTCCTCTGGTCGAAGTGGATGTTGTTGGTCTTGTTGATGGAGAGGGATAGAAGATTATTATCTCCAAACGGCGGGAAGAGCCGAGTTTAAAAGCACAACAACTCACGACCAGCCAACATATTGAAGTTGATGGTATCTAAGAAAATAGATCCTCCCCCCGGCCATCCAATGGCGCTGAAGAGGAAGACATCGGACAGATCACCGAGTCAGAAGAAAAACGAGAACCCAGGTCACCACCAAAGCTCCGTACGACGAGATCATCATGGTATAGCGATTGCTGGCGAACGAATGGACAGGAGCCCAGCAAATGGGTCTTGCCGTCGGAGCTAGCAGGCATTGGCATAACGCGATGCATGTCTTGTTTCCCTCTACTGCTGCACTGCTATCCTCGTCTGCTTATCCGTCGGATAGACTCTAGCGAGCCAGGTAGCAAAAAAAGCCTCCAGGGGCCAGCTCGCGCCTGCGTCAGCCACAGTTCGATATACGCCACACAGACGCCCGAAGCAGGCTAGCGCGGCCGCCGCCGCCGCCAGCTGACTTTTCCTGCCATCGCCACGCTTACAAAGCCGCCTGTGTTTTGCTTTTGCTGGGGTGGGCAGGACCCAGATGCGATGGCAGACGGAGCGAGAGAGGTGTCGAGGATGGATATGGGCGGCCCTGCAGGGGACTCTGATGTCCCGTATGCAGGCCCTCTGCAGCAGCTGAATAGACGTTGCTGTCCGGTCTGCGTCTACAGGCCCTGGTCACAGCCGCTTATCGTAGCACAGACCAAACGCTATCCGTGCGCGAATGGCGATAAAATCGACCTTTCACTGGGCTTCCTTCGCAAGACTCCTTGCTGCTCAGGGGTGAATTGTCCCGAACTCCGAATGCAGCGGATAAGCATAACCTGCAGGTCAGGGAAGGACCATCAGAAGGCGAAAAAGAGGACTTCAAGGCAGCTCTGCTTCTGTTCTTCATAGGCTCCTCAGGCTCATGCAGGTATGGACGTCCTCTCACAGACCTCCGGCAGTGCGGATTGATTATCAGGCCGACTCTTGATCGCCTATACAAGATCAATTAAGGATGCCAGCAGTACCTTGTATAGATCAGACATGATTGGAAAAGGCTCGGTTTTGATGTTGACTGGGGAGACCTGAACTAAAGGGTTTGTTCTCCCGCACAAAGAAGAAGAAAATATACCTAAGGAGAAGTTGAGGAGCAATTGAGTTTTCGAATTGTAAGAAGTAGAAGCCCTGCATCATCAATTGGATCAGAAGAGGGAAATGAGATATTGAACAAATTAATCCCTTTCACTGATGGCCTGTAGCCGTTCTTCAATCTCATCCTCAGTCAACGTGCGGAAGGCGGTTTGTGTACCTTCATTGCCATCTGCACGGGGTCCACCAACAATGCCAACCTCTATCTCACCTTTCTTGAAATCAACACTCAACACAGTCCCCAATGTTGTTATTGCCAGCTCCACAACTTCCTCCCAGCTTGCACCCCCATCTTCTTTGTTCTTCAGCTTCTTCTCCAGTAGGTTTGTGACCTCCTGCTGCTTAGGTCCTGAGGCGGTGGCGCGGTATCCAGCATAATACCCGGCGGGATCACACTTGAATAGCTGAGGACCATTTTCAGAATCAACTGAAATTAGAGTTGTTGCAATACCCAGTGGTCTCATGTAGGCCTAAAAACAAAGTCGGTGTTAGTTGAAGTATTGTTTCAGCGGTCACAGCAAGTTTATACACCATCCCGCATAAGAGTGTCGACTTTGAGGTAGACAAACCCTTTGTGTGTACACCTGGTTGATGTTGGCAAGTCGCTTTGCAAGAACATCACAGGGCATTTCATATCCGAATTTGTACTCAAACTCCGCAGCCTCGCTTTGTGCTCGAGTAACTTGTGCTCTGCCGTCGGCTATAGAGCCAGTTACGACACATCCAACAGATGGGGAAATCTTGAAGACATGGGATACAGAGGATGGTTCAATGAGCTTGTCCTATACAGTATGGAATCCGCCCGTAAGTTAGCAACTAATTCAGACCACCACGGAGCTCAATTTCGTCTGGTATCATATCATTATCGTACCGGAACTTTCTTCTGGGATATAATCACGGCGCAGTTCTTGCCTCGGATTCCAAGTGATGTGATATTTGCAGCTGTGATGGCTTTGAAGGCATACTCTAAACACACAGGATAGGTTAGCACTCTCCCCGGCGCAGCGGGGTCAGAGATAGTGTCACTAACCGACTTGGTACAGCCTCCCTTGGTCAGAAAATATAGTAATATGTCTATCGTAACCCGCGCTTCCTGTAATAGTAATCGTTCAGCTGGGTGGGACAACGTCAACATCACCCACTTATCGGTGAGCGCTTACCAGACATGATGCTTGAGGATGGACGAGGTCAAAGTGTAAAACAATAACAGGCCGTAATCTCTATCTATGCAAGTTGTCTAGAGAAATGGAGGATGGGCGATGGTGGTTGTTCCGGTAGCTAGGGAGCTAGGTGTCTTCGGTCGTTGAACGCGTTTGCTCTGAAGCTGCCTTGGAGTAAAGCTCAGGCTGGCCCCATCCCCCGTTTAGGCTTAGCGCCATATCCCCGGCATTAAAAGTATCAAAAACAACTTTTGCATTTTTCTCAAAGGTTCAATGATGGAGACGCCATTTGGCGATTCACTTCTTTTCTAGCGCTCTATCATAATCTTTTTTTTCCGTTCCATTTGTTTTATCTGGGTTAGACTCAACCGCTTTAGCACTCTCAACAACAAAATCTAGCAATTGGCGTTTTATACCTGTTCCATTTTGCTCCGATAGTTAGTGCCTGGTCGTTGAGCACCGAGATATACAGCTCACCCTGCCTCAGATGGGATCTACGCTGCTTTCCGCCTCCAAAAAGGCTGGGAGTAAATCAAAAACTTCTAAGCGTTCATCTAGCAAACGCACTGACACTACTGGTGAAAATTGCGAGAGGGATCAAGTCAAGTCAAAGAAGCGAAAGGCTGCTGCGCCTGAAGAACGGGAGGATCAAATAGAGAATAACGGACCAGAAAAGCCTCTGATACCCGAAAATGAGAGTATAAAAAGTTCAAAACCCAAGCCTCGCAAATCTGTTACCTTCTCAGAGGACACGAAGCCGGACGATGATGCGGCTATGGCTGATTCCGAACTTACTGTGGACCCTGAAGATGATCCTGACTCGCTCGCAAACAGAAGAGCAGCTAAGAGGCGCAAAAGAGAAGAACGCAGGAAAGATCGCAACATAAACATACAAGCAAAACCAGAGGAGCCTAAAACCCCGACTGACCCAATTCTATCCTACCTTGCAACATACTACAACTCCAGGAGTGAATGGAAATTCCAAAAGAACCGAGACACAGCTATATTGAAGAATTGCTTCTCAATAGACCGGATACCGCCTAGCTACGACTCTGCGCTGAGAGCTTACCTCTCCGGCTTAAAAGGAGAGGCAGCCAAAAAGCGTATCGTCGAAGCCGCCAAAGAAGCCATATCAAATGATGACAAGAGCACAAGTGATCCGACGACGGCAGATGTTGAGACCCAAAGATCCATATATGATGATGCAGTCGATGAATATAGGACTCGATTGGAACATCAAGATAAGAGCCAAGGAGACGATGATATACCTACGGACCTAAGCTCGTCCTGGCATAAAAGGCTAAAAACAAGAAGACGAGCTGAGTTGATTCTGTATCTCTTCCGTGATAGTCTTCCAAAGCCGCCTCCACCGAAGAAAGTTACGCGGAAAACCAGGACGGCTGTCGTCTCCGATTCAAGCAGTAGCAGCGACAGCAGCAGTGATAGTGAGAGTACCAGTGATAGTGGCAGTGACAGTGAGAGTACTAGTGATAGTGGAAGCGACAGCATCAGTGACACCGAGGACACCGATAGCAGCGATATATCCGGCTCTCATTCGGTTCAAAAAGGCGTGGCACTAAAGCGGGAGAGCCAGGAGAGTGTTGCTGCAAAACACAAACTGGATTTTTCTGATTCCGAATCCAGTTCTGGTGAGTTATCTACCCGTTTCCTGTTTGGGGGGTCAGAATTCTCTTTCGAGCGGATATGCTAACCAGTTTTTACAGAAGCTTCTGATACCACATCATCATCCGGGTCTGACTCAGATCCCGACTCGGATTCCGAGTCGGATTGATTGATACACATTCAGGCCCTGACATTATTTGACATTTGTATATCCTCTTGATCTTAGTTAATAGCGCAAGAGTATGCTTGAAACTAGTGTTTCTTCTAGATTTAGACTCAACACATGACGGTAGCCTCTTATTCTTTGCTCTCTATTCTCCGATATCAAATACAAACATTCGTTACACATATTACTTTGAAGAAAACCTGCAGGGTGAAAGTGATTGAGCAAGCAACACAATTAGACATTGCTAACTTCTCAGTTGTGAGAATCAGTCATTGGGGAACGTGGGACTCATCGTCATGAAACGCCAGCAGCTTTCTCCTGATCCCTGTCCGCTGTTGACTCTCCACTAGGGTTACTGGTGCCTTTCCTCTTATCCCGCGAGGAAACTCCACGCCTTCTCCTGGTAACTTGATATACATCATTAAAGTTCATGACTACCCCTAGGAAACGCATGTCGACATCAGGTTGGTATGCGAGGTCACCGAGCAGGGTGACGAGGCGAACGCGGAAGTCTGAGGACAGTTCACGTAAACGCTCGCGGAGAGAGGGTAGTAGGTGGTCTTCACCACCTAGAAGTGCATCACCACTGGGAAGAGGTGTCCCCGGTGTATTTGGGTCCGCAGTCCACCATCTTTTCTGGTTTGGTGGTACCTCAACAGCCCCAAAAGCAGGAGAGTCTACTCTGCGAGTTGAACCAGATCTGCTTGGGCGCGTAAGCGGTTCCTGCGCGTCCTTATCAGTAACGCCCCATCGGCCTTGTGCTGTGCGGAGTTCAATTTTTGCGTTTAGCTCTTGCCGGCGGGTGAATTCTGCGACAGAGAAGGAGTATAAACCATCCACTGCATCCTTGTAGGCAAGCATCACTTTAAGTATTTGATGAAGCTGAGAGAGAAAAGAATCCTCTTTACTTCCAGAGGAACGCGAGAATGAGGATGATGAAGAGCCTAGCAGGCCTTTGTGGGTAATGGAATTAAGGTATTTGGTATGCGCCTCGATAAGGTCATCCAACGTGCATCCCGGTTTGGAGATAGCAATTTGTAACTGGTCCCAGCTGGCTTCAATGACTTCGAATAAAATATAATATTGAAGCTGACAAACAAAATGTATCATCTCAGCGATAACACAACGGGCCTTTTTCCAGTCTGCTCCAAGTTTATCGTCCACACCACCTAATATTCCTCTTGCACCAGTCATGCAGCGTCGCCATGTACTTCCCAGTGCAAATTCAACTCTTTTCACTCTCCAGAGGAAATTGAACACTTTGAGGTATTGTGTTGAGGCCCAAGGGGTAATGATGACATCTACTGGAGCATCAATCTTATATTCCAGCGTGAAGCAATCCCAGCCAATTTCGCCGTGACTAAGTTCGAGCATGCGTGCATCTAGACGCCTCAATACTTCAGGGGAATCGTGCTGCGCGTTAGAAGACCGTATAGCATGCTCGAGCTGGGCAGTCAAGGTATGACGGTACTGGGAGTTTGCAGGTCGATCGAGATTTGAGGCTAGACTTTCCATAAGCAGTGCAATGAAGTCTCCCTGACCAAGCAGCAGGTATTTTTTCAGAGCTTTGAGATGATCAAAGAGTTTAAACTTAGTGTCCATAAGGAAAATAAGACGAGCCATTGTGGTTTTATATGCTTCGTCAATATAAGTTTCAAGGGTAGCATTGTCGCCATACTGCAGTGTCTTTGACGATTCACGAGAGTATGCAACGACCCACGCTGAATCCCCACAGCCATACCTAATGAAATTGAGTGATTTTCCAATCAAGAACACCTTTTTTGCGAAATCATGTGTCATGATGGTAGGAACCATGTCACTATCCAATTTATATTTCTCGTCCCAAACGCTAGTTGCTGCTCGTCGTGGGTCAATGTCCGGTCGAGTTTCTGGTTCCACGACAAAAAATTCGTTGTAGGGATCCGATAGTTCACCATCGTATATCCATTGCCGAAGCATATTGTAAAATGGCCTCGTCACATGAGTCAAAAGCCTCTCAGCATAAGCACCAACAAAAGGGTCACCGTGCGAGGTTGAAAATTCGTGAATCATGGATATCAGCTGCCCTCCTCTTTTATTCCGAGCTTCCTCTACCATCAGACTCATTAACCGTAGGGCGAGGGTGGCATCTTTCACCCATACAACGCATCTTTTTAAAGTCACTCCAGCCCCCATAACTGTTTTCTGATCGGATGAATCCTGGGAAACCGCAGTGAGAGCTCTCCTTATTTCCCCTTCTAAACTTGCTACCAAGCCAAGGTAAGACCGCAGCTCGCTACCTACAGCTGCTCTTAAGCTCTGCTCAATCAAACCGCCTTCAGCCTGTTTCACAAAATTGGATAATCCTCGATACAATAAACATGGCTCTGCAAGTGTGTGTAGAAGAGAAACTATAGGTGTAGGTAGAGTTCTTGGGAGTTTTAGAACGGATTGTGCCGAAAACTCAAGATTTGTTGTCGATAGCCCCTGTAGGAAGAATGGAAGATCACGAAGGATTTCTGGCTCTGATGGTTTGACCACGACAATATCTTGAATGGGAGGCTCTGGTTCCGGGCTTGGTTGCTCGGCTGGAATGAAATCATCGATGTTCCTCACGGTTGAGCCTGACGGCTTTGGGTCATCCTCAATTTTACGTTTCCGCTCTGGTTGCTTGGACGCTTTCGGGTCCCTCCATTCTCGTTGGGATTGGCTCAGCTCAATAGGGGATGCTTCTCTTCCAATTGCAGAGGCTGAAGATCCCGGGTTGATGCTCTCTGGCGCCTTTGTTCTTCTTGCCCCGAATTTATCCTTCATTGACATGTAATCCAACTGGCGTTCGTCAAGTAGCGGGCTACGAGCTCCCTCACGTAGTAGGTTTCCGTCCCTTTGGTCTGCATCCCCGCTGCGTGCTCCAATGCGGTAGAGTAAATATAATATAGCCCATTTCTGGCTTAAGACGGGCTGGGTAAGAAGCCGTGAGTACAGATTTGAGAACCGCACAGCTTTGTCTGGCGTTGTGTTCACTTTCAATAATCTGCGCTTGATGAGATCTGGTGCATTGTTGATAACCTCAACGGAGACCTCAGCGCCTGATCCAGGCTGACTCTTGTTGCCACTGCCATAATTCCTGATGATGCGCCAAGCGTTCTCCAGGGCAAGCTGGTGTCGGAGCTCATCTCTCTCTGCCGCTTCTGCGCGTGCGTGACCGTCGCGATACGATTCTGAGCCGGTATCATCGTCTAGGATGTGAGGACTGGGAGGGAGAAGGGAGTCGACTAGCTGCGAAAGAGCATCTTCAATACGGCGGCTCCGGGGATTCGCGGATCTTGGATGAGGAGCCATCGCGCAGATGCATGAGAGGCTGGCATCTGGCCAAATATGTATGCCTTGGATGTTATCCTATTCCTCTCGAGGTCTTATCAAAGTCGCGACATTACCTAATCAGGAACAAACTCCATATTTGTACTGTTTGCACACTTTGTAGTGCCAAGACGGAAAGCTCAGCCTCATCCAACTAGCCACACAGAGTAATGTGCGAATTAAGGTACGGAGTACAACGCTCTGTATTCTGTATGGAGTTTACTTTATTTTAGCCATTTCTCTAGTTAACTATGGACTATGTATTCATCACCTACTTTTATTCAACTAACTAGTTACGGATAGTTACTGAGTTAGAACTAGGCTGGTGGGTACTCGTAACCATCCTCGGGGAATAAGTCCAAGGTGTAAGGGAAACGCTTCCATTGAGTAGATTATCCGTGGTAGCTAATAAGTACGTACACCCTATTAGTTAATCAAGAGTATTCCACAGTCCAACCTCCCCCCCCCCATTCGTTAACTAGAACATGGAACGAAAAACGAAAAATACATTTTTTTTTTTCTTTTCTTGGGTGTTTTCAAGATACAATAACATGAAACGTTCTCACTCATTACCTCGATATTATCATAATTATCTCCAAAGATAAGCTTTTCCTGCCAAAGATATGTTGTTTTCAAATAATTATTGGCGTTCGTTATCAATAATAGAATGAAAAGGACGTTGAAGCTAATATCTTCGACGAGAGGAAACAAGGGTTTTCGGAATTGTTGTTTGTCGTTATTCGCTTCCTGTCAACCAATGTAACATTGGAAAATGGGACATAACTCCGTACCCAGTCGATACTTAGTACCATGTGCATTTGCCATCCCTACAGTGCTGGAATGGCAGGCACTGGAGTTAAAAGAAAAGTTAGCCATGAGGTTTGATGACGAGTTTAGGGTTCATTCACAACATACCTTTCTGCAGTCCTTGCCACATGTTCCTGGAAGGCAGACACATTGACCATACACACACTTCTTGGGATGCTCGCACTTTTTGCAGTCATGCCCACAGGTATCACTTGGACAAACGCATTGGCCATTTTTACACTCTCGAGGGTGCTCGCATCTCTTGCAATCGGAACCGCAGGTATCTTTTGGACAAACACATTGGCCATTGATACATTTCTTAGGGTCTTCACACTTCTTGCAATCAAAGCCGCAAGTATCCTTTGGACAAACGCATTGGCCATAGATACACTGTTTAGGGTGTGGACACTTCTTGCAGTCATTTCCACATGTATCTTTTGGACAGACGCATTGGCCGTTCTTGCATTCTTTGCCTGGGGGACACCTCTTGCAGTCTGGTCCGCAAGTATCTTTAGGGCAGACACATTGACCGTATACACACTGCTTGGGGTGTTGGCATTTCTTGCAATCAAACCCACAGGTATCCTTGGGGCAGACACACTGGCCATTCATGCATTCCTTGGGACGTTGGCATATCTTGCACTCAGCTCCGCAAGTATCCTTAGGGCACACACATCGGCCGTAAATACAAAGCTTAGGGTGCTGGCATTTTTTGCAGTCGAATCCGCAGGTGTCCCTAGGGCAAACACACTGTCCATTTCTGCATTCTTTTCCGAGGGGACATTTCTTGCAATCTGGTCCACATGTATCTTTAGGACAGACACACTGTCCGTTGTTGCATTCCTTTCCAAGGGGGCATCTCTTACAGTCCGGCCCACAAGTGTCCTTTGGGCAGACACACTGGCCGTCCTTGCATTGCTTGGGAGATTTGCACTGTATTCCAAATTATTAACAGCTAACTCGAGTTGTTATAGAAGAAAATGATACGTACCTCCTTACAGTCGCTTCCACAGGTATCTTTGGGGCAGACACACTGACCATCCTTGCACTGCATAGGAGCTTTGCATTGCTTGCAGTCATTGCCACATGTTCCTAATGCGCAAGTACACTGTCCATTGATGCATTGCTTAGGGGCTTTGCATTCTTTACAGTCAATACCACAGGTGTCCTTGGGACAAACACATTGACCATCCTTGCACTGCTTGGGTGCCTTGCACTCTTTGCAGTCATTTCCACAAGTACCAGATGGGCAAGTGCATTGGCCATAAATGCACTGCTTAGGAGCTTTGCACTACAATGTTGAAATTTCGTTAGTTATACATATGTGCTGGAAGGTACATAAATGCAAGGTGCAATATCACACACCTCCTTGCAATCGTTTCCGCATGTGTTAGGTGGGCAGATGCATTGGTGGTTTTTGCAGAACAGTGGAGACTTGCACTGTTGGTCAAGTAAATTAGCCCCGGACCTCTCGATATAGCAGAAAAAATGACAGGGAAGGGAAGCTTATGGAGGAAAAACATACTGGTCCACAGCAACATTCAAATCCATTGTGAGCAGCCTCTGAGACACAAGCTCCGACGTTCTTGTATCCACATTTAGCAAAGTTGTCCTTACACCAGCTGGCACACTCGCTATTGTCATGGCCGGGGATGGCCAAAGACAACGCGGCTATAAGGTTCAATTAGCCTTTGCAGGGTAGTAGTTATGGCAGGGGCTGAAATATGGGGTAACCTACTCAGGAGAGAGAGCAAAAAGAAGTAAAGAATTTTCGCCATCTTGAATCGCCTCCTAAGGTAAGTATCTCAGTTGCTTAGATTCAGACTTGATAAAAAAAAGGGGGAGAATTTTAGAGAAATGCATCCCTTTTTATCTTCTCCAGGACAGCTCATAGAGTCCATTTCGGGATATTAAACTTTCTAGCTCCTCATCTCAAGAAGTTGAATAGCATCAACATCTGTCAACGCCGGCTGCTCTGGAATTGGTCGAAAACGTCAAATATTAGCGAGAATCAGAATTCAATCTTGCATTCCAGGTATTAGCGAGGAGAGCAATCCAATCCTGCCTGTTCTAGAGCAGTGATGCTACCGTCAGCCTTGCCCAGGGAAAAAAAGAAGATATTGAAGAAAGACGTGGTTGCGAAAATTGACTGTAGAGAGCTTTTTCCCGCAGGCCGATTAGAATTGGAGCTAGGTGAGCCTCCAGAAGTCTTGGGCAAAAGCTTTTGTGGCGAAAGCCAGGTGGTTTGGCCTAGTTAACTGACTAGCTCAAGCTTGGAATTAGAGCTGGCTGAATTGAGGGATTGATTTAGACTATATTTCCGACATCCTGGGCTGCTCCGGGGATTTTGCGTTTGGAGGCTGCAGGTCCAGACTGATGGGCGGCACTCTAGCCTGCTCTGGCTGAGTTCAAACTTACAGTAACGCTCGATGCTCTTCCTCAGTCTGGCTGGACTCGCGAAGCGGCTGGTTCCTCTCGCTTAAGGGACTCTCCGCTGGTGGTGTGTTGTTCGACCCGAAGGCCAGAAGATGGCTTGCTTGACTACCCTCGGACAGCTTGATTTGTTAACTACTAGTTGGCTAATCCCAAGTCAGTCGATATCCCAATTGCAGAGGATCTATGAATAGCACTAACCCAGGAATTCCTATCCAGTGGCCGTGCTGACGGTGGTTGGCTGCTCCTCCTCCTTCGTTTCCTGGTTCCGCTGGGACACCAACTTCAACTAGTCGAGTTAGCCGGGATCTGGGGTACAGGGACCTCACAATGATGGAACCGCTACTCCGTACCAGAGAGGAGTGTGCAAGGGTGCAACCAAGTATCGGACCTTGCTGCAGTTGCAGGATGGTAGTCGGCAGTCACTAAGACGTACTCGGTACAACCCTCAATTGCTTGTGTTACCTGAAGCAGAGTTTAAAAATCTTTCTAGCCAAGTACCTTCTATATGCTAACGAAAAAGAATGAAGCTGTATCGTAGCCCTAGATACTTGTCATCGGCGAACATGGCGTTGATCTCGCTGGCTGAAGCTAAGAAAGGGCAGACCCCGACGTCTGCGAGTGCTCAAATGAATACCAGAATACAGCTCCAGAAGCATCCATACAGGCCGAATCCATCAAATGCCACTGGATTCATGCGGGATGCAGGCTCTGTCTGCTTATTGTTTTTTTTCCCCCCTTCTCTTTGGCCGCCGATGTTGTTCTTTTTGCATTGGTGTCGTTGGATTTTGATGTCTTCCGCCCTTCTTGGCGGGTCCATGCCCGCTCCTCCTCGCTAATATCGAGTCGCCATCGGATAGATATTGGGTAGCCATGCTTCAGGAGATGAGCCAAAGGTACGCCGGAGAGATAGAAACGCTTCATCAATGATGAGTCTATCTATATCACGAGATACCTTTGACCGTTTTACACCATTCGCCCCTTGTGTTACCAAACCGCCTCCTGGGGTTGAAGATTCGCTGGTCATCATTGTATCCAAGGCTTCTGAAACGCATAAGATACATGACGTTGAAGCCTTCGGTACCTCTGCCAATCGCTAGAAAAGTCACTTGGGTTTGCCTCCGGGATATACTTCTTATTGCAGCTGTTCAATTCAATTGAACGAAAACTTTAGGCAACTCCATACATCCGTATCCCATACCACTCGTACTCCTGCGGCTGGCCTTTGGCTCAACACTGCTAATATCCATACTTTTTCTCTTCCCTTGTTCTTTCTTGTTTCTTTTCCTTCACCCGCATTTCCCCTCCTTCTCGTGTTCGATTCGATCCAGTACCTTTCCTATGGCCTCTTTGGTTCTGGGCTTTGGAGCGGAATCACTGCCCAGAAATTGAACCATAGATGTGGAGGCTCCGCCATTCACATTATACTTTTACTCTCAGGTTTAAGGCCTGCCTTGGTTCTTTCATCGTTGAGAAGGGCTTTGACTTGTTCTTAGCCCTGTATGTCTCACAGCAACCGCATTCCATGAGTCTTACAATTTGCAGAGAGGTCGGCTAAATAATGCCCTGCTTTGGCTATGCCATTTGCTGTCTTTATGCACTGCTGAATCATTCAAAAAAGAGGTTCACGTTCATTTCCAGGTGCTCAGGTGCCTAACTCTCATCACCTCTCTCATCCGATCCATATTTCCTGTGATTCCCTCTCTTCATTCTGGGAAACAAAAAGGCTCATCCTCTAGTTGCCATCAAGGCCGGTTGGCTATTTTTCGGCTTATCTACTGCGTTTTTACACCCTTGTCATTGTATTTTTCCAGGACCAGAGCTTTCAACCTTATATTTCCTACTTTGATATCATTCCTGCTTATTGAACATCTAGAAGTTGTTTCCGGATGGGCTAATCTGATAGACCACTGGACACCTCTAACCTACCTGATCTACTACGAGCTTACATACTTGCCGTCATAAATGCACAACATTCCGTGCAACGCGTCTTGCCTGAAGCGCAATTCATGAAGTTTGTGTCAAACAATACTTGTGAATCTCCTTGATTTTATGTGAAGTTTCACGTAAGACATCAGAAAGCCACAGTATGTGTCTCTCCGCTGAACAGACTGAACGAACTCAAGCCCGGGACAACGACTAGGTTTATAACATGAGCGCCACCATCGTGATATTATATTTCAAAGTCAGTAGCCTCATGGCAGGCCTCGGGCTCTATTGTGTTAGAATAGGCGAATAAAAGCTGCCAAATAGTGGTGGGATGTTAGAGCCCAATGGGATAACATATATCTGTCATTCATGATGATATGCTGCCATGTAACATGATATTTGAATGTGGCCTGGAGATTCTAGATCTAGACTATTTCGACATCTTGGATCGCTCAAAGTTGACTTGAGAACCTTGGTGTCTATATGCCTTTTGTCTCATAGGGGTGTGGACCACTGGTCGGCAGGATCCTGTTATCTCCCGCTGTTGGCAAGTACCACAACGGCGAAGTGGCCGTTCGTTTTAAGACTGTTCCTTTACCTGGAAGTATACCTCCGCAAAGAGATGTTAACCCGACTAGCAATATAATCAACTAGTTATACTGAAAATGGCCTCAATTCATTCGTTTTTTGCTGGGTAATGAAGAGTTGATGCGGAAATGCATTGGGGGAGGACAATTTGGTCTATGGGATATTAACCATCCAGTTGCTTACTCCTCACAGCCAGCCCTGATCTCGAGAATCAGGCAATTAACAGTGCTCTCCTTTCCATTAATTAAAGCGTGTCGCACTTTCCTGTCTAGCATATTATGTTCCATTGAATTGGCCGTATATCGGATCCTCTTTTCAGTACACAAATCGATGGATATGTTCTACTTGTAAGTTTTCTGCCATTTCGTTGGGCTGACGATGAAATTGAGTATATAGAATTGTTGTTGATATTCCGTAGATAAAAACGAAGAACAGGCCATACAGGCTGCGTTAGATACACGAAACAAGTAAAGATGACTACCTAATTATTAGCCACGTTTTGCATCAAATACTTCCGATACAGGGAGAAACAGAGAGGTTGCGGGTATCGCACATCAGACTGTTTTTGAGGTCTCTATTTGGTACTCCGTATTAAACCACTATTTACAAATAATTCTAGGAGTAAATTGTAGAAATAGGGCATAATTTGGCATATATT